GGAACTATGCGGGGGCGCTTTTCTATCTGGGTTATCTTCGGGAGCATTATCTTATTCTATTATCGTTGTGTCAGTTAGTATTAGAAAGCGGGCCTTGGTATAGGTTCCAACATGTATAAATAGGGCTTGATTCTCCGAAGACTTGAGGGTATCATCAACCATCAAGTCAAGGGAATCCGGTTTACAATATCATCAGTTTAAACGCTACAGAATTATCGCTTAGCACTAGCCACTTCCCTAAACATACTCATACACCAGACAGTTGAAATGGCTCCGTTACAGAGATAACCATTTTGCGAAAGATTGCGTGGCGACGAGTAAGGTCAGGTTAACCGACTTAAAGAGGAAACGAAATCCTTCCGGAGGAAAGGACCACGGAAGGGAGGGTGAAAAGAAGCGGAAATTGGGCCCCCAGAATGAGGCATTTAGGGCACGTATTACAACTTTGGAGGATCAAAATTGATTGGGTATTTCTATTTTTCGGTATCTCATGTTGCGATTTTTCTTTCTATGTTGGGTCACAAAGAAAAAAAAACAAAAAAAAACAAGGATTTATGTATTACGGTTATTTTTTATCGGTTGGTTATGGGCTTCTCTATATTTGTTTCGTTACACGCGCGGAATTCAATTCTCTTTACACACACTCTGAGGATGGGGTTACACCCCGAAACGCCTGGTGCGTAAGTGTTGTACCATGATCTTCATCAAACACTCGAACTCTCTATATAAACCCCCTCACCCCGCGCTCAACAAAGAAATCATCGAACCAACCCACATCCAAAACCAATACAAAAACCAACACACCCACATGTCTCCCAACACACAAGAAACTCGCCTTGAGATCGAAATCTCTTGGGACCACCCCGCAACTAGTACCAAACATGTCGCAACAGTCAATGCACTCCTAGACAGTGGCACTGAGGACTGGATCATGTCCTGGGACTGTATCCACCGTGCGAAAATACCCACCCAACCTCGACCAAAACCTCTTATCATCAGACAGGCCGATGGTACCCCTATGCCCAATTCCGGCACTCACCTCACCCAACCTCTCACCCTCCGCATCGGCAACCATCTAGACAGGGCTATCACCTGTGAGGTTGGCTCGTTTGCAGGAGAAGACCTCGTTATACCACATCGATGGCTCAAGGAGCATCAACCAACCATCCAGTGGGGACGCAACAGTGTTAGCTTCCATAGCAACAACTGTATAGTCAATGGATGCTTCGTAGCAGTCGAGGACATATACGATCAAGACCCAGAAGAGCTGGTCATCAGGCTGTTGAGGGCGTCACCCAAGAAGCAGATGACGATCGAGCAACACCCCTTTTGGGCAAGAGAATCGGTAAACGAGGCTCTCGTTAGTGCTATACCGATGGAGTTTCAGGAATATGCCAACGTGTTCTCCAAGGAAGGAGCCGCTCGACTACCTGACCACTCTGAATGGGATCATACCATTCCTCTTATGGAAGGAAAGCAGCCTCCGTGGGGACCGATCTATTCGCTCTCCCCACCCGAAGATAAGTCACTCCGGGAGTATTTGGACGAAAATCTGCCCTCTGGCAAAGTAGTCCCCTCCACTAGCCCAGCAGCGGCACCCGTCCTGTTCGTTCCGAAAGCTAATGGTAAGCTTCGGTTATGTGTCGACTTTCGCGGCTTGAATGGAATCACGATCAAGAACCGCTATCCACTACCACTCATGAATGAGCTGGCCGACGCAACGAAAGGAGCACTCTACTTCACGAAGATAGACCTGAAAAATGGCTATAACCTGATTAGGATTGCTAAGGGCGAGGAATGGAAAACCGCTTTCCGAACAAAATACGGCCTCTTCGAATATAGGGTAATGTCTTTCGGCTTGACCAATGCCCCTGCGTCGTTTCAGGTTATGGTCAATACCATATTCAAGGATCTTCTAGATCAAGGGGTAGTAGTCTACCTGGATGACATCTTAATGTATTCAACGAGTAGAGAAGAGCATACGACGCTGGTACGAGAAGTTTTGGAGCGACTGCGACGACACCATCTATACGGAAACCTCGAGAAAACGGAATGGTATCAACAGGAAGTAGAATTCCTGGGATTCATACTATCAGGAAAAGGGAATCGTGTATCACCAAAGAAAGTCCAAGCGATCGAGGGATGGTTAGCTCCAACCAAGGTCAAGGAACTTCAGTGCTTCCTCGGTTTCGCTAATTTCCTAAGACGGTTTATCCACAGATACTCTGAGGTCTGCAGACCTATGACCGATCTCCTGAAGAAAGGTGCCGTATGGAAATGGGGCAGGGAACAGCACGGCGCGTTCGACGAGCTCAAAAGGAGATTTACGTCCGCTCCAATACTCCGACACTATGACGAACACCGCGAAGCAATCGTGGAGACTGATGCGAGTGACTGGGCCGAGGCCGCAGTACTCTCTCAGGTGTTCGAGGACGGTATTCTACATCCGATAGCTTACCACTCTCGCAAGTTCAACGAGGCAGAGGTCAACTATGAGATCTATGACAAGGAGATGCTCGCAATAGTTTCTGCTCTCTTGACTTGGAGACATTGGCTGGAAGGGACGGACATCCCTATCCAGATACATTCGGATCACCAAAACCTGCAGTATTTCACAACGACCAAGAAGTTGTCGAGAAGACAAGCCAGATGGGCCGAGAAGATAGCACCTTTTCGCTTCAAGATCCATTACCGACCAGGCGAAAAGAACGGCAAGCCAGATGCACTCACAAGGCGTCCGGAGTTCGCGATGGAAGGGGGAGTAATGCCTGAGCAGCCCGTAAAACAGCTACTCAACGCAGAACAGTTCGTCAGAAAATCACGGACCAGCGTAGAAACTGGGTCTGAGGTGATTGGCAATCCCGAAGAGGAATGGAATCAGTTGGATCAGTGGTACGACATACCAAGCGTAGAGCTGCCTCAGTTACTACAGGGTTGGTATGAACAGGAAAGACGATGGGTTCGGAGGATGGTTCCGGATGAACACCTCCCTGACTCAAACCTTGAGATCTTCGGACCACCGGAGGCTGCTATCGGAAAGGTAGAGCCTGCCGCTGAATGGAGTCCAGATTCGAATGACCCCACCCACGATGGTCGATGGGTAGTACCGGGCTACGCGGTCAAGCAGGTCATTGAGGAACATCATGATCGACCCGTAGCGGGGCATCTAGGAAGGGATAAAACCCTTGAGTTGATCGATAGGAACTACTGGTGGCCAGGAATGTCCACGGATGTAGCCAACTTCGTCAAGACTTGCGATGTATGCCAGAGAGCCAAGCAACGTCGGAGACACTTGTCACTCCCTCAACCCCTAGAGTTAGCCACCACACCTTGGACTGATATCTCAATGGATTTCGTAGTAGAAATGCGAAAGGAGAAGTCAGGATTCCGTAACGTATTGGTAGTTGTGGACCGTTTTACGAAAATGGCTCACTTCATTCCAATGACGGGAATCAACGCGGCGCAGACCGCTAACGCATTTGTCAAAAACATCTGGCGTTTCCACGGACTTCCTAGGAGCATCGTCTCTGATAGAGAAACACAGTTCGTATCAGCATTCTGGACGGCCATCACGGAAAGCTTGGGAATTCGTAGAAGGCTCTCAACATCATTCCACCCGCAGACCGATGGCCAGACAGAACGGACCAAACAGCACATGGAAGGTTATATCCGGGCATATACAGCAGGAACAGGCAAGAAATGGAAGGACCTGTTACCTATCTGCGAATACGCATACAACAATGCGAAGCATACGTCGACGGGACAATCACCGTTCTATTGCAATTATGGCTTCCACCCTCGAACGGACTGGCCTACGGATGCAGAGATCGAACGACTAGATGCTACGGGGAACAACTACTTGTATGAGATCATCACGGCTCACGAGTTAGCGAGAGATACGCTACAGAAGACTTCCGACAGGATGGCGTCAAAGCCAGGACCAGCAGTACAGCGGTTCACCATCGGTCAGAAGGTATTACTGGATACTCGGAACCTAGGAGGATACTCCAAGTGGTCAGATAAATTTACAGGACCCTTCACGATCTCAGCGGTGATAGGCAATCGGGCTTACCGCCTCGAACTTCCGGTAGAATGGAAGATTCACGACGTCTTTCACGAGATTCTGCTGCGACCCTATCGCGAGGACCCAGATCCCACCAGACAACAGAATACACGAAAGCGACTGGCAACACCCGAGCCACAGGAGGCATTGGCAGATGAGAATTTCCAGCCAACCTCGAACATACGACCCCATACGCGAAGTCGAGGCCCAGCGATTGATAATGACCGGGCTCACAAACGACAACGGAATAGGCGGGACTAAGCTCGATACCTTTCCCTACTCTATGACTTTTCCCACAGGGTTTTTATCATAGAAGGGTTTTAACGGTCGAGGGCGACGTCTAGGAAGGGGGAGTAGTGTTACAGGAATTACGGAACACTGTTCTAAAGGCTTAGGACAGTGAGGAATACGAGTGACGGGTTGTGATGCGAGGACGGTCGGGTAACGGAAGGACAAGCATAGAAAGGTATCGGGTAGTGTGGGGGCACGCGGTGTTACCACACTAGCATTATACTATTGTGACGGCACGCTTACTATTGGGTGTCTCACCCGAAATAGAATAGGAGGCGGGGCTTACGGCTGCAGGCTGTTCTACTTAGGGAAGTAGGTCTAGGACAATAGTACGATACAACCCGATGACTGGCAATTGCAAGGTTCATGGTTACGTGTCAGATTTAGAATGGAGGACGGAACTATGCGGGGGCGCTTTTCTATCTGGGTTATCTTCGGAGGCGTTATCATATTCTATTATCGTTGTATCAGTTAGTATTAGAAAGCGGGCCTTGGCATAGGTTCCAACATGTATAAATAGGGCAGGATTTTCCGAAGACTTGAGGGTATCAACCATCAAGTTAAGGGAATCCGGTTTACAATATCATCAGTTTAAACGCTACAGAATTATCGCTTAGGACTGGCCATTTCCCCAAACACTTGATCCTCATCTGTTGCTTGAATAGGTGTAGTCTTTCTCGATCGCGATCTCCCCTAAACACTTCAGGGTCTGGGAGTTTTTCCGACCGTTGGGTAACTACTGGAACAGGTGGAACTGGAGGTACCGGTGGGGCATTATCTTCTCCGATTGGTTCTTCATCAGGGGCAACCACTTCAACAGCAACTCGGTGGGCCCTGGCAGCGGCTAGATCTCGTTCAAACATTTCCCTTGCATTTCCAGCCTCCCTCTCCACCTCCTGTAAGTCCGTTGCATACTGAGCAAGGCCATGTTGTGTCCGTTGAAGAAGTGCATAGGCTTCTATTCCAACACTGCCATCCACCTCTGGATGTTCTTGAAAAAAGGTCTGAAGGTCATTGCTTAGCTGCTGATAATCAATAGGGAGATGTGCCGCCATGGTAGACTATGGTGTTGTATTGGTTGACAATAGAAGACGGAACCTAGTGTAACGGGTGTCTATGGACGTAGGGACTAGGGTGCCAAGGAATACAACCGAGGCGAGAACGTGGCAATAGGTATTCAAGGCTATGGGCTATGGAGCGGCTCTACCTAGTATGACAACTAGTTGAACCCTATGATGAGACGTAGAACAAAAGTAATATTCGTGGAGTAGACACAAGAGGTTCCGTGAGAAGAAGAGGAAAGGAAGGAAAACATCAAAAGGCACGAGACAACGCCCCCTTATATATCCAACTCCTAGTCCATTAATGACTAATGCCCCGCATAATGGAAACCGAAAGAACATAACAGAAACCCCATTACAAATCATAGTTCAACCGCGCAATACCTCCTCTTCCCAATCCAATCTATCACCTTAGCCGAAATGCAATATTGCCGTTACAATAAATAAAAATAATTTGAGATTTAATATTTTGTGTACGAACCCCTTGCCTTTATAACAGCCTCAATTCTCCTATGCATACTTTCAACCAACATACCAAATAACTCATCAGGTAACAGTTCCCAACAATGAATAAAAACTTCCTCCATGAGGGGCTTAATTACTTGAGGTGATCTAGTATCATATACTAAATGGGGCTAGTACTGATGGTAGAGTCTCTTGAAGTGTACCCAAACATGGTCAATGGGGTTTAAATCAGGTGAATAGGCAGGCCAGTCCTCAAGAACTTCAACCCCATGCTGCTCCAACCATTGAGTTGTAAGGCTGGCGGTATGTACGCTAGCATTATCATGTATGAAGATTGGTCTGATACCCTTCTCCTGTAGCTCTGCCAAAAAATCCAGGAGACAGAACTCAAGAGTACTGACATATGCCTCTGCATCTGTCCTCTCCCCTTCTCCCACCATAACTCCATTACAGGTCCCCTTCAATTCCCCGGCATATCATGCACACATCATTTTAGATACCCTTCCTGACTTTCTAGCACCATTAATACACTCAGGAAGCCATTTTTCCTTTGCAGTTCTGAATGCCCAAGAGATATATGGATTTGCATATTTCTCAACACTGCACTCATCACTCCACACCACTCTCCTGCATCTTCTTATATCCCAATTCCTGTGTCTAATACACCACCGCAGTATCCTTTTTGCATCATATGGGGTCAATTTGGGTCTCTCAGCCATAATGTGCTTGTGGACCCCAAATGTATCTAGCCTCCTCCTGATTGTTCTGGCCGAGAGTTTGACTGCGAATTCCTGTCGGAGTTGTTGATATGAGATTTCTCTCTCATGTTTACTGGAGATGAGAAGCTGTCTATCATCTCTAACAGTAGTTATTTTGTGTCCCTCATGCCTGGTTGTGGATTTAACCTGACCAGTCTTCTTATACCTTGCCATTGCATTGGCAAGGGTTGACTTGCGCAGTTTGAGGATTTTGGCAATTGTGGAATAGGGAGCCCCAATACGCTTCATTCCAATTCCCTGCTATAGTGCCCCCTCTGGCCACTCCCCTCTAGCTGATTTGCGAGGTTTGCTCAGCACTGGCTGTTGCGCAATATCGTCGTCATGATGGAATTTGGTTGCGCGCACGCGTTGCATTGCAAACCTGACGATCACGACTGACGACACGCTGTATATATATAGTACTCGGACAAAAGTTTTGGTAAGTGGTGAAGATTTGGGGATGGCAACCAACATCGACACCTCAACTCACCTATATGATCCCAACCAAAAGTGATAACAAAGACTTCAAATATGAGTTGGAGGTACTTTAGATAGAAAATATAAATTATGTTGAATTACATCTTCGTTCATATGCATGATTGCCATCTAATATTTGGTATACCACTCTTCTACCTCAATTACAGCCTGTACTCTATCTACCATTGAGTATGAAAGCCGTTGAAGGAAATCAAGCTCTATTTCCTCCCAAACTAAAGGAAGGACTTCTGATAGTCTCACCCTCACTGCCTCAGGCCTGCATATTGTATTTGGAATATCTGGGTATAGGGAATGCAGTTTACTCGTATTTTTCAGCCTTTTCCATAAATGTTCGATAGGATTCATGTCAGGTGAATATAATGGCCATTCCTCATATTCAATGTTCTTGACCTCCAACCAAATCATACATCAGCAAGCTCAACAAACTCTGTAAAGTGTCTCTTGTGTCTCCAGAGAATTAAAATCCGTTTTGAGGTCTTAGGGGAACCCCAGAAGACCCAAGAGACTGTTGGGAGACATATGAAAATGTACAATCTTGCTGATGTAGGGGTGTATGCTTTATGTACTGGGGAATTATTTTGGACAAAAACTGTGTCTCCAATGATTTGCTGTACCCGTCTATACTAGACAGGTCCAAAGAATGTCTCCAACAGGTGAGTGTACACAAATTGATTGCTAATTTTGATGCCGATAGGAACAAATGTGCCACGGTTTCTCCCCCAAAAACAACCCCACACCATCAATTTCACCTCACTACTTTTCGAGTCGGGGCTAATACAATCTTTTGTCCATCTTTACCATCAAGAACGAAACATCCATATAACCCTAGGATCTTTGCTCTTTTCTACTGAACATTCATCACTCCCTACTATGATGGCACTCCAGTCTTCAGCAGTCCAATATCTGTACTCGATAGCCCAGGCCAGTCATCTGGCTGCTCTCCACTTCCTAACTCCTCGGGAGTGTAGATGACGCTTTACCATACGAATTGACACCTCAGGTGCCAGATCATCCATTAACTCTCGAAAAGACTTGGATCTATTTTCTGTTGCAGTGGTAAAAAGTCTGTTGCAGTTCCGGCCATTCATTTTCTTAGGTCTGCCGGTAACTGGAGCATTTTTGGTTGAATTACGAAGGAAATATCGATGGATGAAATTATGGACAGTTGTGTATGTGTGGGGGTGTCTGAGGCGAGGAAGAATTTTTCCGACACTTTTGAACTCATCCCAAAGGGCAGTTATCTGACCCTTTTCAAAATCAGATAACCTACCCTCTCCGTCAACCTTTTCTGTTCTGGCCCTGGCATCGTTGAGTGGTAACATGTTGGAGCGGGGTAGAGAATCCTCAAAATCATGAGGCGATGCCGTTGCCGAGTGATATTACCAAAACTTCTGTACCCCGACTGTACATATATCTCGAGAACTCAATTATATTATACATATGGGTTCGAACACTATGATTCCAGTAGGGACCCAATGTCTTCGCGAGCTAGGCATCTGCAGGATGATTATCGGCGTAGGCACATCTAATAAGCCTCCCTTGGAGCAGACCGACCCCTATCCCTTGGGCGGTCAGCCCCAATCGAAATAGTGACCGAACCAGATATAGTAGCCATTCTCTGCCTAACGCAGTTCTCGTTTGTTCTATACTCGAGGTTAATTTCTTATAAAACGCTAGAGAGCTCCGCCCTCCCAGGGAGAGAATGGACAGTAACTGCTTTCAGCTGAGCATACATAACCATATCTAGTTCTGTCACTATTTCTATTGGGACTGACCACTTAGGGATAAGCTAATTAACTGCTATCGTTCACTATCCAGGACCGGCTCACCCTATTGCGAGTTGCCAAAATTAACCGGACGCTCTGCGCAGCTGTTACAACCACCCAATCGAATAGGCCACAATGACTAAGCGCTCAAATACCTGCGATTGAGTCCATATTAAAACCTGAGATAGTACAAGCATAGAGAATCATAGATATAACACCTCTTGACTTTTTCATCTGTGGTTGTGTTGCAAGGCGATTAACCCGCGGTGTAGGCGACATTGGTCGTTGAAGGAAGGGGACTTTTGGCCAATGATAGAAGACAAACTAGGCTTAGATATCATCCGGTGAATTACAGTACATTTTTTTCGCATTTGGAATCACCCATTTATGATCTGTGATTCTCCGCGTTTTATAGGTTCCAAGGCTTGCTCAAGGTAGTTTTCTCTGAAACTGGCCTTACTAACAATAGATATTAATTTGTAACTAGGCTTCGCTGCGGGGTAAAACCTAGTCATAGACGACGAAATCAGTAGGCTGTAATCGTAGACAGGAGTGCAGAATACATGCACGCAACTTCCCCGCCTTTCCCGACATGTTCATCAAGCGATATATAAGTGATCGATCGCAAATCAGTGAGTGTCCGCTTGGGAAGAGTCCCCTGTTATAAATCTATCTCATGGGAGCCGCTTTTACCTATTTTAGTCTCTTAAGTAGATAGGGCCAGGCACAAGTTGAGATGGTCGAGTAATCTTATAGGTAAAATAATTGGTATATCATAAAGTAGACTTTTTTGCTAAGTTGGAAGCGTTATTATTAACTGAGTCATCAGTTATAAATAGAATAACTAGTAGGTTGGTAGAGATTGAAAGCCTAGGGCACAAACGGGAAGCAAGGTAATTTTTAAGTTGATACAGGTATTATACGTCTATGCCTATATGTTTGCATTCGCTCAGCGCGCAGTTGATAATTCCGATGATGAAAGAGATGCCGGTTTAGGTGCCGAATTACTTCGAGTGGCTCGATAGATGAGGGGAAAGCTTTCAATTGAGTCCATCGTGAGTTTTCGATCCATTCGAAAGAGATCGATCCATCTCATGAAGTGGGTGTGAGGGAGAAGGATCTCAAGGTGTCACTCAGCCTAAGTTCTATATATATATGCGCATGTGGCTATGTGTTAATATCCTTTTGGTTGTATCTTACAGTACAAACGCACCCAGGGCGGCGCCTTCCTGCTAAAAATCTAAACTTGACAACTGCAGTTGAAATTGACGGTTGGGAAATACTCTCTAATACATACATGTACTTGTAATCTGAGCCCAATATTCTACTTGGCGCCATGGCGCTAGTGTCTTCGGAACTACATACACATATGTCCGTGTATTTATCACATCCTGCTTGTCTCAAGGTGCTAGCTGGCTCGTTATATACCAATATATACAGTGATTATTATTGTTATACTATAGGTATTGCATATCATTAATTCTAATTTACAATGACTGGTAACCATTTTAAAAAGACTCACCCACAGAAATATATAAGTCATGTATGCCGGCTGCTTGATACTTGTAACCTTATAACCGTAGGCTATGATGAGAGGATTTAAGAAGCTATATTTCATTTGTGCAGTACAGATACTCTCTGAATACTAAAAAATTATTCTTGAGATCAAACCATTCAACTATCACCTCCACTACATGCAGCAAAGCACTACAAAACTCCAAAATACAAACCACTCACTAGCTGTCTAGGCCAAGCTAGTAGTAGCCCCGCCTCAAATGGAAGCCGTATGCCCCGTTTTGTTCAGTCTGGCGGTATTTAAGAAACCCTTCGTTGAAGAAACGTTAGCCTTCCACACATATATGCATGAAGCAGCGAAGAACTTACCCGTTATAGCCAAGTTCTAGTAACAAGTCTCCATTGTTGTTAAATATGGCATTCTTGAAAAGGAAATTATCTGCGCCCAGCAAGATGAATTTGGCGGTTCCCCCAAGTGCGCTCTGTAGTTGTTTCTTCATATCCTCCAAGTCCATCTTCCAAACATGCGCTTTCAGCGATTCACATAATTACTTGCCTCATTCTTATGACCACTCCAAGGCATACTAGCCTGATATTCATTGAAGGTAAACATTTCGCTCTTGCCAGGCGGTAGTCTGAGATCTATCTCCAAGCCACCCTTATTGACGGAGACAAGGATCATATGTATTTCCCATGATACAGTGGCGACCGCTCTGTTACAGAATTCATAAGAAGGTGCCCATATCTTATTATGTAAAAATAAAAGGGGGGTGGGGCGAGCGGGGTGGAGTGATAAAATACGTACTCATAACCCTGGCCCGCACCAATGACATGGGTGTTTACCTTCTCCTTAACACTGGTATAACCAGATATTTTCACCACCTCGGTGCCTGGAGTGACACTTATCGTATTGTTTGTATCACCTAATAAATAATTGTAGGTATAGTTACCTTTCGTCAGATTATCCATTGCTCCCAATTATTCAGCATTGGAAACATCAGATAATATATGCACTTACACCACACCTCATGGGTAACGTCAGAGAAAAATTTCACGCCGGTTACCTCACTCTTATTGTTTTTCTTCGACCAAGTCCACCGCAACGTCCCATCATTGGAATCCTGTTTGACCCAGGCGATCTCAAACTTGATCAAGGCTACAAAGCGTTTGCTTTCGACGTTGCACAGGATGTTGATTCCACACTCTACATCATCTTAGCTACACAAACTCCAGGGTCTGGATCCGATCTACTTGTTCTTAAACCCTTTAAGCCGGTGGAGTACGATATGGCGAAGAATACAACAGATATGAGCCATCTCAAGATGAAGAAGAACGGGAAACCGACAATGCCAATTGTCAAGTCCATACACATGGTATGTGTTACAAGAACTTCGGAACACTGTTCTAGAGAGTTTAGGATAGTGAGGAATAAGAGTGACGGGTTGTGATGCGAGGATTGTCGGGTAACGGAAGGACAAGCATAGAAAGGTATCGGGTAGTGTGGGGCCAGCGTGTTACCATACCAGTATTATACTATTGTGCCGGCACGCTTACTATTGGGTGTCTCATCCGAAATAGAATTGGAAGCGGGGCTTACGGCTGCAGGCGGTTCTTGTAACGGCAGCTATGTAGTTCGGTTAGGTAATATATTGGAATAGGAACAGGAGGTATTGCGTAGCGGGATTAGGATTTGTAATGGGGATTTCTATTATGTTCTTTTAGTTTCTATTACGCGAAAGTATGAGTCATCATCAAACAGGGGTATTGGATATATAAAGAGGTTTTGTCTCGTGCCATTTCTTGTTTCCTTTCCGTTCTTCTTCTTCTCACGCAACCTCTTGTATTTTACCCTCGCAACACCAAAACTTTCGATCAAACAATACTTTTGGCCTGCACTCTCGTTAAAACTTTTACTCGAACACGATCCTGTATGTCAATAGACCGCGTAATCTATTGGTATCTTATCGCATATCTGTTCGTACGCGAAGTTATTCACGCTCTAGTTCCTAAGTTGTGAACTCCTCACCCCTCACCAAAAATACCTGCTACGCGAGAACAAACAAACTTGCGACAACAACAACAAACTGGCATCGCCAACAAACTCTCAACCAACTACCCCCCCAAACCTTGCCGGCAGAAAGAGAATCCTCTCAGAGGTCTCCCCCGTCCCAAACCGCTCCGGGACATCAGTAATGTCCCAACAAGCTTCACTCAGCTCATGGTTCGTGGGGGCACCCCCCCTGGGCACCCCAGCACCTCCCCACTTCGCTGACACCCAGACCCAACCCACCCAACACCCGCAACAAACCCAATCCACCACCATTGAACAAACCCAGATCATGAACAATGAGCCCTTCTCTATTTTTGCAGAACACGCGCAATATACGGAACCGTACGCCCCCAGATTTGACTACATCCACCCAATCATTGTCCCAGAAGAAACCCACGCCAGAATGGACCTGAAATATATCCTTTGGGTTGTCAGAAATGCACTAACCGTCGCAATCGAACCACTCAAACACTCAATCGACCAAACCAATAACAAAATCAACAGCAGCCACGAACTCTTAATCCAACAAAACGAGGCTCTGAAACATACTGTCGATATCTTGGGAAAACAGCTATTCAAAATGACAAAGAACTAAGACAAACAATCCGAAAAGCTACACAGGATGCAACACCAAACCTCCCTCCTCCTCAAACGCCCCGGCCCCGCACAAGTAACCATACGCGTTCCGCCACCCGCTCTCCCCCAAACCCGCCAAGTTCCCCCCCCAGAGAATAGGACACCAGCCAGAGCCAACCCGGTCAACCCGCCCAACCTACCCAACCCAGTCAACCTATCAGCACAGAAATCCTACGCTGCTGCCGCTACAAATTCCTCGAACTCGGAATTCACTATGGTCACCAAGAAAAGGAACACCAAACCCAAAGCAGACCTCCTGTTCAAACCTGAAATCACTAAACTCAACTGGGAGATCGTAGTTGAGACAAACAAGGAACTGACAGTCACCCCATCGGATATTAGAGCCAAGATTAATGCAAAAATCTAGGACCCTGACTGCCAACTAATTGCCGCCCAGAAAACAACCAAAAACAACATCATACTGGAAACAAAATTTGCAACCCCAGCCACGAAGGTTCTGGAATACAAAAAAGAAATTGAAACCACACTCAACGAACTGAAAATACCCTTCGTCGACATCCGGATAAACTCTAGGTGGTCAAAGTTCATCCTCCATGTCATCCCCACCTCCATAGGTGAAGCCTTCGACGCAGGACAACTACTAGCCTCGGAAATCAGAAATAACTACGGAAACACCGTCGAATTGGCAGATATCCCTAGATGGCTATCCAAACCAGAAGCCAGGATCGGAGAGTCCCACTCCTCAATGATCATTGCCCTCCCCGGACAATTCACCAAAGATAACCTCGGACTCCGATACCTCACCCTCTTTGATAGGAACTGCAAAATCGACAACTATCTCCCAGCAAACTCAGAAACCCAATGCTCCAAGTGCCTCGAGTATGGCCACAGACAAGAACGATGCTCCCACCCCAACGGAAGATGCGGACACTGTGCCGAAGAACACCAAACCAAAGACCACCCATGCACAGAATACACCGGAGGCCTCAGATGCTAACACACACCCATTTGATGTTATCACTGCAAGGCCCCCCACAAAGCAACAGATAACAACTGCCCAGAACGAACCAAAGTCCGAATCACAAACAAACTTGCACCAAACACAAACCCGAACCCACTACCAGTACCAATAGTAATCTCAGGAGAAGCCCACCCACATAAAGATGCAGCCATGGATAACTCCCAATGAGTTACAACAAAAGAACCACGGCTATCGCACAGCAACTGAACTGCGCGAAAAATGAGCTAACAACAAAGTCAGTAGTGGAGGAAGCAGAACAGGACCACAATATACTCTTTCTTTTGTTACAAGAACCATGGAACAACAAAGACGGCCACCCACCGGAATCCCCCCTTTTCTACCTATTCACAGCCAGCAACAAAGGCACCAAAGCCGCTACATACATCAGGAAACAAGCCAACCTGAAACCAAAACATCACTACACCCACAACAACTTCATCATCTCCGTCACGGTGGAAATCCAAAGCCAAAAAACACAAATCCTCAACATATACTCAACAGGGCGAAGCGAACCCTTCGCAGAAATCTCCCGACAAATAACTACCATCCAAAATTGCCTTGACATGGGAGACTTCAACTGCCACCACCAACTCTGGTACGGACACAGATCCTACGACTACACCAACACGATTAGAGCAGATTAATCTGGATCCAAAAAGCTGACAAGATGGATCGACCGACAAAGGTTATCCATACTCAACCAAGCAGGCGAATTCACACACTTCACCAGGAACAACAACAGACCGACCATTATTGACCTCCCAGAACGAACTAAGGTGCGCATCACAAACAAACTTGGACCAGACACAAATCCGAACCCACTACCAGTACCCATAGTCATCTCAGCAGAAAACCCCCCACAAGAAGATACAGCCATGGATAACTCCCAATGAGTTACAACAAAAGAACCACAGCTATCGCACAGCAACTAAACTGCGCGAAAAATGAGCTCACAACAAAGTCAGTAGTGGAGGAAGCAGAACAGGACCATAACATACTCTTTCTTTTGTTACAAGAACCATGGACAACAAAGACGGCCAACCACCGGAATCCCCCATCTTCTACCTATTCACAGCCAGGAACAAGGGCACCAAAGCTGCCACATACATCAGGAAACATGCCAACCTAAAACATAAACACCATTACACCCACATCAATTTCATCCTCTCCGTCACGGTGGAAATCCAGAGCCAAAAAACACAAATGCTCAACATATATTCACCGGGATGAAGCGGACCCTTCACGGAAATCTCCCGACAAATAACTACCATCCAAAACTGCCTCGTCATGGGAGACTTCAACAGCCACCACCAACTCTGGTATGGACACAGATCCCACGATTACACCAGTACGATCAGAGCTGACAAATCTGTTTCCAAGAAATTAAACGGATGGATCGACCGACAGAAGCTATCCCTACTCAACGAACCAGGCGAATTCACCCCCTTTCCCAGAAACAACAGACGGACCATCATCGACCTGACAATAGTCAAAGGACCAATCCTTGACTACGACGTCTGCTGGAACATCGACCGCCATGTGGCAGGCTCCGACCACAGAAAAACCATAATACAACTACGAATAAAAAATCCCCCCATACCCGCAGAAGGCTATGGCACCGAACAAACTGAGAGAAACTGGAAGAAAACATCTCAGGCCTCCACCTCCACGCCGAAGCATGGGAATCCCAAAACCATACAAAGCAATCAGTCGACTTTATATTTGAACATATAGACAAGTTAATAGATCAAGTCACTCCATGGAGCCAAGGACATATCAAATCGAAGAAATGGTGGACCCCGGAGCTAAAAAGGCTCAAAACAATCCTCAATATAATGAAAAGGAAAGCCAGAAACACCTAAAAAAACGAGGACAGAGAAGCCTTCAGGAAAACAAGCAGGAAATGGACCTCGACGATCCGCAAAGACAAAGCAGAACAGAGGGAGAAAGAACTCATGGAGGCCAAAGGAAGTGCCATCTGGAAACTAGTCAATGCAGGAAGGAGAAGGGACATGTAACGGGGGTCTATGGGCGTAGGGACTATAGTGCCAAGGAATACAACCGAGGCGAAGAAGTAGCAATAGGTATTCTTGACTATGGACTATGGGGTGGTTCTACCTGGTATGACAAACCAGTTGAACCCTATGATGAGACGTAGGACAAACGTAGTATTCGTGGAGTAAATACAAAGGTTCCGTGAAGAGAAAAGGAAAGGAAAGGAAACATGAAAAGGCACGAGGCAACGCCCTCTTATATACCCAACTCCTAGTCCGTTGATGACTAATACCCCGTGTAACGGAAACCGAAAGAACATAACAGAACCCTCATTACAAATCCTACTTCAACTACGCAATACCTTCTCTTCACGATCCAATCTATCGCCTTAGCCGGAATATGGTATTGCCATTACAGGACATCACGATCCCAACCATACAAGGTGAAGAAACGTTTGCGGGGAAGTACCAAGCTCTAAAAGCCCAACTCTTCCCCACAAATTGGACGTCCCCAACAACCCCCCGCTCCAAATCAGGCTCCCCTCCTTTGACCTTAGTGACACCTTTCAGGAAGTAACACCAGAAGTAATCACGTCCGCAATCAAATCATTCCCGATACACTCACCCACTAGCCCCGAAAGCATCCCATAGCCATTCATACAAGCGACAATAAAAGCAAACACCCAACTCTTCCAAGACATGTTTTCAGCCATGCTCCGCTATAGAGTCCAACCAGACCGATGGAAAGTGGCAAAATGTGTCCCAATCCCAAAACCAGGAAAACCCGACTACTCATCGGCGAAAGCCTACCGACCAATCTCCCTACTGCAATACTTCAGCAAAGTATTGGAAAAAATAGTGGCAACAAGACTATGTACGGCCGGATCCATCTTGGAGACACTCACCAAAGACCAATTCGGAGGAAGACCAACTATCTCAGTGATCGATGCCCTACTACGTACCCTAACACCTATACAACAAAACCTCCTACTCAAACGAATCACAGGAACCACCCCAGACAGATCAGCCCTCCTCACAAACGACATACAAGGAGCCTTCAACTACGTCGACCACCTCCTACTCGTGGAAATCATGACCCAACAAAAATTCCCGACTTACCTAACCAATTGGTGGAAAGAAATCAACTCCAACCAAACACTCCAATTCCAGTTCAATCACGGACTAGAAACCCCACAACCATACAACTCAGGACTGCCCCAAGGATCTCCCCTATCCCCAGTCCTATTTATGATATATGCAGGAGTCATAACAGACCCCAGCAACCCCAGCAAAGAACTCAACACCACTTACATAGACGATGACGCACTCGTCCAAATTGTGAAAACACCCCTCTTCGCTACTAAAAGACTCAACGAAAGGATGGCCGAAAGAGTCAAAAAGGCAACACCCCTCAACATCAAATACGAACCACAGAAGTCCGAACTTATCTCCTTCAAACCCACAACATCAAAAATCCACACACCAAGACACCCAGTCACAATCGCAAACGAGGAAATCTACCCCAAAGATAGACTCAAATACGTTGGAGTCTGGCTGGACTCAAACCTCTCCTTCCGACCACACATCGAAGAAACCATCGCCAAAGGCCTCCGTGTACTAGGGCAAATTAGAAACATAGCATACCTCCCTGGAGCAACAGTAAAATCCACACACCATTTTGTTGTATAAGGTCTTCTCCCCAGAATCCTATGGGGATCGGAAGCATGGTGGACAGGAGCAAACCACACTCTCAGATCACTTTCCCCACTCTATAACGAAGCAGCCAGGGTTATAACTGGGCTGCCCCGTTGGACAAAAACCGAGAAGCTACTAAAAGAGGCAGCACTCCCCCCACTAGAACACCTCCTCACCCATAAAATACAAAAATATGGTACACGGATCCTTTGCTATCTGGCCGACCACCCCCTCAACGAAGAACTCATCCAACTCCTTCCCACCAAAACAAAGAACACCAAAGGCACGGGACTGCACCGAGTCGCAACACTCATGCTTCCCTTCCAGGAACCAGGGAACCGTAGAGAACGGTGGATACAAAACGATCTCATCACCAAACGCATGCTGGAAGAATGGAACTCCACCCCGATCATCAACTACCATGAACCCGGAACCCTCAAAATTAACCCCAAACGAGCAAAACTCCCAATCTCGAAGGCAAAACTGATACACCGCTTACGATGTCAGGTCACCAGACTAGACAGACACGCAGTATATACGCACCTGATCCCTGTCAATGCGGCTCTGCACAATCCTCCAAACACACCATGATCGAATGCCCCCGATGGACACAAATCCGAAGGCCAGTGATGGATAACATCACAGGACCACCCACCTGGGAAGATTGGCTCTTCACGAACCTCAACGTAAATCTTATATTACAATTTGCTGCCAAAACAAATCTACTTGACTGGTATGAGATGGACGAGGAGGACCCGGAGGACTAAAAGCTTTTCCTACCTTCTTCTGTACTCGTTTTTTCGTATCTCCTTGCTCGATTCTTCTTTCCTTCGTCTTTTTCTCTTTCTTTCCTTTCCTTTGTTTACTGACGGAGTGTGATGGCGTACGATAAGTCTTGTACTTCAAAGCAATATAAATTATCTATCTATCTGTACCTTATACTACGAATATAACTTTGTCCTATGCTACCTCATAGGGTTTACCTTGATCCTCGATCAGGTCAAACCATTCCATAGTCCACAGCTCTGAATACTTATACACCTCGTCCTTGTCTTGGTTGTATTCCTTGGCACCATAGTCCATCTTCCCATAGCCCCGTGATAGTTCTACTCAGGGAAGAAGGTCTAGGACAATAGTATGACACAACCCGATGACTGGCAATTACAAGGTTCATAGTTACGTATCGGAATTAGAATGAAGGGTGGGAACTATGCCGGGGCACTTTTCTATCTGGGTTACCTTCGGGAGTATTATCTTATTCTATTATCGTGTATCAGTTAGTATTAGGAAGTGGGCCTTGGCATAGGTTCCAACATGTATAAATAGGGCTGGATTCTGCGACGATTTGAGGGAATCATCAACCATCAAGTCAAGGGAATCCGGTTTACAATATCATCAGTTTAAACGCTACAGAATTATCGCTTAGCACTGGCCATTTCCCCAAACAGTATGTCTTCAGTAATTAGTTTTCCATCTCTGTTTTCTTAAGTCTACTCGGTTTAAAGTCTATTTATAATTTATAAAATACGCCGCATATTTTCTTAATATTGGCGTTACACTGCTAACATAATTTATTGCAAATTAAAAGACAAATTGCACCAGAGATCCTGGGCAGCTGTATCCGCCAGTCATAGTTTCATTCCAGCCGCTTGACCGTGTCTCTAAAGCCGAGGACGTAGCCCGACTTGTTACTCATGAGTCGACCAATACTTGGGATATCGAACACGATCTTAGTCTACCGGAGAATGCCTTCGAGATGCTTGCGCTCCAGCCCGTCAATTTACGTCTGAAATTCGAGGGCTCTTTACCAGGATTCGTAGCAATTTACAAAATTCAAGGTCAGTGATAGCGATAAAAAGTGCTGGTATTTCACGGAATTTAACTTTGCTTTCATGTTCATCTCAGGTGACCTGCAGTTGGTCTTTGTAGCAACAAGAAAGATGAACGGTGTTTATACTAAAGCTGCTCTGAAATGTCCTCCTGGTATGTATGGGTCTTGGGAATCTCCTATCCGCTTATATTCCGAGGAGATTCATCTGCTAATCCTCGAACAGAAGCGAAAACATTGTCTTCATTCGTGAACCACGATGGGTACACTGATCTTCTTGTTGGAGGGAAAGGGCTTTACCACTTCACATCTACGGAGATCAAGAAAAAGGATGCCGGTGGGCGCTTGGTCAGCAGCAGCGGAGTGTTCTCATCAGTCCAACAACTCCATATCACTCAAACCACTAATGGTGTCTCGGTATGGGCCGCTAACTCAGAGAACGGCATCGGCTATCTCACCGCTCAATCCACGATGGACGCTCCATCAACACCTATTCAGGTCATTCCTGACACACAGGGTGGTAGATTCTCGCCATTCCGCTCAAGCAACAACCACCCGGAACAGTTCATCGTCTCAGACAAGGATGGAACGCTCACTCTACTCCAGTACGGCAGTGTCCAGCACCTCTGGGATAATACCCCTTTCTTTACCCCCGCGCTCTCCACTACTATCGAGTTCCAATCATATACCACACTCATCACTCTGACGGGTGTCGACAAACGCCCATTAAGAAACACTGTGGTTCTCCTAAAGAGCTCCGGTTTGACAAGGATTATTGCTAATGGTTCTTCGGTCATCACCGGACCTGATCATACTGTACCAGTCTCCACAGATATGTCAGGACATATCACCCTCATTAGCCCGGCTAATGGAGTATCCTCATATATATACAATATTATTGGGGTGACCAAGGGACCTTTGGAGGGAAAGTCTTGGGTAGTCGATCCGACAGAGAAAGCCAATAAGATTCTGGATGGCATTCATAGTGGCAGTGACCTAATGAATGCCACCTTAAATTCTGGGGAAAAATTGATGGATGGTACAAAGCTTACCCAGGACCAGATTTGCCAGGCTGCCAAAGCCATCGAGGCCATAAAAACCTCCCGAAAGGATATTTTAAACAAGAGTCGGTCTAACGGATCCTTACACTTTGAGAGTTTGGTGCAATACTCCGCCTGTGATCTATCTTCCAGATCTCTAGACCCAGTTGCAGATCCTATCTCCAGTTCGGACAACAAGGAGAATGCTGTTGAGCAACCACAATTTTCCGGTAAAGGCGGCTTCGTGGACATGCTTTGGGTACGTAGATTGATAAGTCACACCCTATATTCTTTTAAGACACATACACATTTTCCCGCGCTGACACTCTCAGGACGGCTGGTACTGGTTCCAAAGCATGGCATCAAAAGTAGTATTCTAGACAATCCACAAGTTGGAGGAAGGTGCTGCATTTATCGTAGAGATCGGCAATAAATTCTACCGATGGGTACTAGACGGCGTGACTCAAGTCGGTAAGGTCTTATCCTGGGTATTGGAGAAGGTTCTAGGACTCGCCGAGAAATTGAGGGAATGGCTTGGCTTCCTATTCGACTGGGAATCTATTAAGACCACCAAGAACTCCATCGTTCATCTCACAAACAGTGCAATCGACTGCGGAGTCGGTTATATAGGCACACTTCAAGACAAGGTGGACAACTTCTTCACTGAAATCGTAGCCAACTTGAAAGATATTTCTGGAAAAGAACATCCGGAGGGAATCACAAATATCACCACAAAGGATGGCCCAGAAACCGAGAAGTCAGATGAGATTACTGCCAGTGCAAAAGCCAATTGGTCGCAGTATCAGGTAAGCTTCATCTATCGTCGGGGATTTTCTGAGAAACATATGATCTGACTTGAAACCTCGCGTGAATGGCCAGTTGGTGCATGGGGGCGGTCTAACCGCATCTGTTATTCATGACGAAAAACCTAGAGAGAAGGCTACATCCCTCGAAATACTATGGTCAGACGTTATTATTCCTGCCGGAGAAACCCTTCAAAGCCTGGTCTTAGATCTTGCGTCTCTTATCTGCCAGATATTTTCGGAGAATAGCGAGTCGATATCAGTCGAGCAGATCCTGAAGCAGTTAACAGGCGATGTCCTTGCGAATTTTGTTGAAGGGATCCGCAAAGTAGTCGTCGGGATTGTGGGGGTTATAAAGACCCTTGTCGAGGAATTTAAAGATCTTATCAATGCTAAGATCACGATCCCAGTCTTTTCTGGCATTTATAAGACATTCCTCAGCGGAAAGGATCTCTCAGTACTTGACGCTATCGCGTTGATTCTCGCTATTCCCATCACAGTATTACACAAACTCATAACCGGACAAGCGCCTCCGGATATGAAAGATTTACAATACGCTAAGATTGTCGACTCCTCTCTCAAGGATGAACAACAACTTCTTAACTTCAATCACTTCTGTAATACTTCTGGCCTTGTGAGCGGGGGGATCATCGCCCTTCTGAACAGATCTTCAATATTTGTTGACTCCGACGCTATCGATGCAGTAAATATTCCTTCAGCTGCTGGCCCCGGAGGTCTCGATGCACTATCCGTCTCTAGTATTAGTGCAGTAGATGCCTCCTTGAGCAGTTCAGTTTCAGGCCTTAGTGGATTGGGCGACCCCTTCAATAGTTCAATGTCAGCCTCGGGTGTTGCAAGCACGGGTAGCTCTAGTAAGTCAGGTGGGGGCGAATTTGGGGGAAGGTTTATGGAAATTGCGGGGCTCCTCTATGGCGTTTTGAGCATTCCCGATTCTAGACTCCCGGCTTACACGCTCCGCTGGATATCCTGGGCGCTATCTATCGTGAACACGCTCATAAAGATGGTGGTTAAGCGTATTACATCAGCAGCCAAGTTCTTTTTAAAGAAGGTTCTGGCAGTTATTGAAGCTGTTCTATCCAGCATCAACTTTGGTCTTCTTCTCGCTATCAAGATAATAGAGTTTAATACTGATAGCTTCCCCGGAAAAAACAACGTACACCAAGGTTTCAAGCTCCTTAGTAGTGCATGCGATCTAGGGGCCACCCTGGGTAATAATTTTGGTATTTTGGCAGTAGGCATGTTCTCCCTCCTATCACACTTTAAAAATTATCGATATTAACTCTCGCGCAGATCCCGCACTAAAGACCAAAGCCCTAGCCGCATCCACATTCGCAACGGCGCTGTGGTATAGTATTGAGGGTGGTTTGGTGGTCAGTAAACTGGCTCACGGGGAGTATAACGAGATAATTGCGAAAATCCAATGAAAATGGACCTAAAGGTTGTTGCAAGTAGATGGATGGTTATTTGGTTTGAGGCACACGGTATTGCTTGGGAAGGACAACTAAGCACTTTTCATATTATTTCACTAGGGATGGAAGACAACTGGTAGAATGAATTGAAATGATAAACGAATTTATTACGATATTGAATATTATGTATCTCCTTTCAAATCATTCAAATCTTAGAATACAGCTTATGCTCAACGACATGTTCAAGGTACTGGCCAACCGGGAAGGGTGTTTTTCGGGGTTTACGCCATCCGTATGACTAGCAAAAAAAGACAACTGACTATATGGAGCGTGAGTTGAGTTATAAAACACATGTTGGTGCGCCCACTCTTAAAGATAACCCAAAGTGACGGAAAGTCAATCGCTTATAACTTCACCACCAAAAATGATATCAAAAAAGTGGAAAAATAGAAGTATAGTAATAGTAATGAATTTTCGTTCTATTTTTCCAGAATTTTAATATATGTCTGGGTTGTAAAGCCTTAAGAAGTTGAAATTGCGTATTTTTGTATGTAAAATACGCCAAGACTAAACAAAGTGGAACAGTATTATACCCATTTATACCCCCAGAAAAGCAAACCTGACTGATCCGTGGCAGTAATGCAGCAGAATGGCTAGAAATGGGCCCTCTTATTGGCCTATGAGGCCCTATTGTAGCCACAATTGTTCCACTTCCGTATGCCGCTATATCACCTTTAAGAGTGTGCGCACCATAGCTATCAAATAACTCCTGCCCACAATTGCCATAGCTTTAAGGCCGCATGAAACTAATGAATTAAAGCAGGGGGAAGGGGAAAAAAAAAAAAAACCTGCCCACAAGCTGCTGGCGTGGATCACTGAATTAAACAAAAAAAAAAAAAGCTGCTTGGCGTTTCTTAACATCGAGTGATCAATCATGAACGAGTCATCTCATGTGATCGAGTGGTAGATGTTCGAGTGATCGTCTATGATTGGCGGCTCATTTATTGATGGAATGATTGATTAATTCATTCGTATATGCGACCCGGAGGTTACGACCCTTACTAGTCTCCGCCTCCAGCCTAAACCAATACAAAAAAAATTTCTCCCCATATTAACGCCCCTCCATCCACCGGCATCTCAACAGTAGGAAAATTATTTGTAACATGCAAACTTAGCTCTTTCCCTTGTCCCGTTCTCCTTCCTCCCTTCATAAATGAACCCTTTGTAACGATAGATTCGTCTAGATCCTCAAATACGTCCTTTGGGATCTCAATGGCGCCTGTCCTATCTCTGATTGTTATTCCTGTACGTCCGGCCTCACTCGTACCGGGCCTATCGAGGAATACAATCACAAATGCCATATTTTCACTATACTTGAGCCAAGCCTACCTCGTCATCGTGTACTGTTCCCTGTATGATTAGCGGCGCACGCCAGAGAGTATGGGGCGGTAAATGTCTCAAAAGTAATTTTAGCAACGGTAGTAAATTGTTTACCACTGGTGGTATAATTACTTTTGACACATTTAATTACCGCCCCATATTAAGAGAGACAAATGCAAAATAGCATCAGTTTTGGAATTTAGGACCATGCATCGATGACCTGCGGGTTGGTGGTCCGAGACCGCGTAGGGGAGTGTATGAAAATCTGGTCTCTTGGGGAGCTTGACTTATGATATTATAGGGTATTATTTGAGGTAGGCTACTCTAGGGGCCGTGGAAATGTGTACCTAGAAAATTCAGTAAAGTCGTCGGGAAAGTCGTTTCTCGGGTTTTAGTTTTCGCTGGGAAATGTCGATATTTTGGTGAGGGGAAAGTAGATTTAAGGGAAATTGGGCGACTTTACAGATGACTTTACTGACGACTTTACTGACGACTTTACTGACACCTTTACCTGTCACGCTTCTGTCACTCATGTTGGATGTATTACCAAGGGGGATATATAAGATTTGGCCACCGGTGATGCTTCACATGATTGATCAAAGCCATCGCCAATGAAACGAATCACCAAAGAGCATCCTACCATTATACCTGAAGCATCAAGTCAGAATACCCTACATGTATATGCCAAACAATGGATCCACCAAAATAAAATTGTATTCCCCAACTGTTACAGGCTCATTGATGCTAGATACCATTTGATGACCCCACCGAAATATTCTATTTGGGGACTCAACTATCTCGAGATCTAGAGGAGAGGCTTCATTGGAAAACATTGATTTTCCGGCGGAAAACAGGAAACCCTGGAAACAGTCAGTAAAGTCGTATTTTATTGCTCTTAACATGCCTTAAACATGCCTTTAACGGGCAATGTCGTCAGTAAAGTCGTATCTGATTGCGTTTAACATGCCTTTATGCATCAGTAAAGGTGTCGGTAAGGCGTCGGTAATGGGACAGGATTGCCTTTAACACAAAATAATGCGGTTATTGCATCAAATAATGTGTATCTCGCAAATTTCTGTATGGGAAACGTCAATATTGATGCATTTCCACGGCTACTAGAGCTACGGATCTTGATCGAGTGGAGTTCCTCTTTAATTTCGTTATTGTAAGGTATTTATATTTAGAGTGCACATGTGTTCTCATCCATACTCCGGTCCAACCCTTTATGTACAGCGACAGGTAATAAGTGATGGAACGCCCTGAGAGTACAAACACCAAATGTTGGTGGCGTTTTACCAAAACAGGTATCGCTGTGTTTCATCACTTATTACATATATACCGCTGTACAGTGGTAGGTATTAAATGATGGAACGCCCTGAGATACAGTTATACCTGCAAACACCTAGTCTCGTGCCCAGCCCGTTACTTGCAGCAAGCTGCCCACAGAAGTAGTTAGGGACGAGCCTAGCAAACACCGTATGTTGGTGGCATTTTACACAAAAAAGGTATCACTGTGAATCACGCCGTTCCATCACTTATTACCTACCGCTGTACAGCGAGAGGTAGAATTATTGCAGAAACCAGGGTCTAAAAACAGGGTTTAAGTGGCTGACCCGGCCAATAGGACTCTTCCCATACTTCTGCGGTAGTTTTACCACACGCTGTAATAAACCATCGGGCATATCTGGGCTCTTTCCTAACTCCTTAGAAAGCGTAATTCTGGGCTCTCTTCACGGATCTAGCTCGCTAAATCTTCTGCTCCCGTATACCTGAAAATTGAAACACGCATTCCATTTAAACATCAACTGAAGGTCACCTTGTCAGAAATTGAAACTACAAGTGGTTTCACCGGCCACATATCTGGGGGTATTGCTATCGAATAAAGAATTTTGCGGCGACTACATACTCCATGAAATTAATACCAAATCACTAAACCATCGATAGCTAGGCTCTGGTGAATAGTTTTCAATCACTTCTGACTGATCCGTTCGGGCTCTCTATATATGCCACCCCCACCAATACATGTCCCATCATATTTGTCCTTTTGCACATCGCACCGAGGATTCCGGCCCCATAAAAGCATCTTCTAAATGATGGGCACTTTGAGAAATAAATGCCATGCGAAGCTCGTGCGGCCGCCAGCCGTAGCTCTGACGCGGACCTTAGACGCTGTAGTAGGCTCGGTAATATAATAACGCGAAGGTTCCGGTAGTTAGTTATATAAGAGTTGAGGAACAGAAGGTTTATTGAGACACGTTAATGAGGTTTATTTAATAAGTCTATTTCCATTTCAGCCTTCTTACTAATACTTTATTGAAGACCTGGTACTGAATGTAAAATATAGAGGGCAACAGCTAGATGAGGGGAGTTACATGTATACTGACATTTTCTTCCTTTTACAATAGATGAGAGGGAAGCAACCCTTAAGAACGAGTGAATCTTACATTTCAAAATTGATCGCGTCTACTCTGGTACATACCTACAACCAGGAATGTCGGTTCAGGGCTTAGGGGAAGAGGTATATATGAGTATACTTCTGGCGCTGTTGGAAACGGAGATAGCGAGAGAGAGCAAGGTACTTGTGAGGAAAACTGTACAGGGATTATTAAGTTTGATAATACTTTACATACAGGATATAGCATATCAATATATCACAGTGCCAGATATCATCAGGAACCGTAGAGGAAGATCATGAATGGATCGAGGAGAGGACAAGAACAAAGAAACTGGTGGGTTTGATTGGAAATCATTCGAAGTAGGCCTAAGTGTTAGGCCGCCACAAGCTGATAGCCAATGTACAATTAACTAGGGCCCTAGAAGAAACCCCCACAATGACCTCCCGGTATAGATTAGAACGCCGGACAAAGAATCTGCGATATATAACCGTTCCCTATGAAGGAGCTACATAAATCTTGTTAGAAGTAAACACCAAGTATAAAAGTCCGGATCCGTTTAAAAGCAACGTACTGAGAGGTCCTTCACCTTCATTTCTCGTGCACTGAAGCAAGCTCTTCAGGATTTGAATTTGACCTAGCCGTCATAGGGAACCTAATTCCGAAGGGTGTAAACTTCAACCAGTTCTACTATGGAGAAGATGGTTAGATGTCACTCAAATAAGTAACAAAGATGGGGGCGAATTGATGATTAAGCTGCTGTTTGATGGTAGGGCTGATCCCAACTTTGGGAGCAAAGTGGTGCCGATGATCACCTCCCTGCAGTGGCGAGGCATTTGATTAAAGGAGATCTGAATAAGCGCCATACCGGGTGGACTCACTACAAAGAGATGTGGAAATACCGCCAAAACTCGAAAAATTGGCTATCTCCGTCCAGGGATTACCACTTGAGTGATTGGTTGAATGGCATCGATCTGCTTTAGAAATTTCCCATACAAGAAATTTTGGCCTAGCCAATTTTTCCGAGTTATGGCGGTAGGGTTTGGATCGATGGTGCAGATGCTCATTGCATTGATATAGTAGCCGTAAGTTACTCGAATCTAGATATTACAAAGCTACTAATTGAGAATAGGACAGATCTAAATAAGCTCTGCAAAGATATATGGACGCCTCTACAGGGAAGCTCATATTTGATTGGAAGCAATGGTAGAGATGCTAATTGAGGGGAGCTAGCGAGCCTGGACCTTGAAGGTTCGAGTGACCGGATGTCGTTATCGAGGGTGGTCATGTCAATTCCCGCTATGTTTCAATATCGAAGCTATTAATTGAAATAGGAGCCAATAACGATCTACACCATACAAACAAATGGGCACACCGCCGCATGCAGGGTATGCAGTATCAGATGCAATCGTTATAATATGCTCCTCGAGAGGGGGGCCGATCCAGACTATGAAAGCTCAATGCATTAATGGATACCACTCCTACGTGCGATATTTCCAACTTACGTCCTTCAGGCCTAAACGTTTATACATTCGTCATGCCTAAATTATAAAGCGAAGCTTCATCATATCCCCGTCAAAGCACAGACACGGAGCGCGTACAATATAGCGCCGCCTGCATAGTCCATGGTTGATGCATGTTCATTAAGATATGTCGCGAAACACAACCCCGAGTCGACAAATGCCATACAATCTCACGCAAAAAGCCTACTTCAGTCTCTAAACGTTAGATATTTCATGCATCTTGCTGTTTCCATACACGCCTAGAGGAATTATATTTCAGAGATGGGGGGATTTGGATTAGAACGTCGAGGATGACGTGGGGGCATATGGGCAGCCCATTTCATTAAAGCATTGTACCTACATTTTTTGTCTGCTGGCAGCGTAAGATAGATATATATATATGTGGAAGGACATCCCTTCGGAGCTGCTGCGTGCCCAGTCTTCTTCTGATTGGTAGGATCAGGGATGTAGAGTATATGTAGGTAGAGTAAATCTCTCAAACATATGTATTCTACAGTACTCGGAGGGAGGTCTGCACCTAGTCGCCAAGTACTTTCCATGGCGATTATATATTACTCATGATTTGCCCCACATATCTAAATCTTCAGACCCACTGGTCGAATCCGGAACTCAGAGACTCTGAAACTGATACCTCAAGCCACAGCTCCCCGGTGTGCCCCTGTAGTGATACGTCCTATGTAGAGTATCTCAAAGGTTTTGACCGTGTAGAATGTTGTAACGCAGGGGCGCAGCGGGGAAGACATATCAAAACCATAGTGTTCAAGATGGCTGGACGTAACCCCTAACCCTGCTCACGCGATAGACCAACAACTTCTAACCACGACGTCTTATATTCGAAGCTTGCCCAGCCCTCTAAAGGATGTGGTTTGGCCGGGCTGAGATACAACTGCCTACATGCATATGCGTACGTTCTTGGAGTGAGTTGTGGCTAGGGATTACATCTCCGACATGTTTCCCAATGTAAATGTCGATCGCATGGTTTAAATCTCGATTATGTATACCTATATATACCCATTATCATTTTCTGCTACAGTAACAAAATTAGCTACTACAGCTTTAGATACTAAAATAAGCATACGGCCATGCATGCGATCTGCACCACACAGAAACCCCGACGTATGGAACATTCCGATAGCGATATGTATCTATCAAGGGGCTGGAGCCGGATCACTCATAATCTAATGAGTATATACGGCCTTGCATAGATGCTGTCATCGCGATGATCTCTGTGTGTTGTGTACGCGTCTCCCGGTCACGTGTTCCTCACTGCGCTACTTTTGATTGATTGTTTTCCGAGTGATATTCCCTGATGCCGAGACAGCTGTAGGTAATACAAATTTCTTCCTGATAAGTAAGCAGGAATATAGAATATTATAAATCCTCATCTAATTTCTCTATTGAGGTAAACTGGCCCTCTCATAGGGTGAGCAAACGCCTAGTCAAGCTAGGTGGGAGCGAGGAACTAGCTAGCTGCGCGCGGAAGATCGAAATTAAACATCTCTACCGCGTAAAAAGGTAAGTGAGGCTACGAACCTATTGTACTCTACGTACAGGGCCTACAATTTTGAAGGTTCTCTAGGTTCCTTAATTCGGTTCTGACGTTGGCCTAGGTATCCTTGTTCGTCCGCCGGTGGTATCGGCGTCGAGCGACGGTAAGCAACTGTATATATACACATGTATGTATGTACCTACTACATGCCTCCACTAATGTTTGCTGGAGTTTTTTACTCTAGAACTGAGATTAGTGTTTCGTGAGAGTTGACACTCACTTCTTGCGCCTCGTCTAATACATGAATTAATTCAACTTCTAGCGCTTAAAATTCAAAGTTATCATCGTAAGGTTCTGGATTAGTATTGACATGTACACTGTATTATTTACCTTCCTTGTGGATCATCTGTCATGTCTGTTGCGAGTTGTACTGTTGATAACTTAATTAATCCTAAAGTCGAGGTTATGATTGCGATCAGCTTTCAAGTTCTAGGTAGAGGTCTGCTGAACGAATTCTTTGCACTCCTGGGCATGCATTAACAAAGCACAATTGTAGGTACAAATGAGCCAGACTATAAAGTGCTCTACTCATGATACTTAATTCAATTACGAGAAGGAAAGGCTACTTCACATGTAACCGCAGCGTTTGCACACTCCATTTTACTGCACTTCTTGTGGCACCTTTCTTTCGAAATTTCGTGCTCTGATCATGATATATGAGCATGAGCTGAGGGTTAGTGTTACAATGTGACTGTAGGATAGTTCTCATTATATATTGTGCATATCAGACGATCCAGTCGCTGATCAGGGCATTTCAGATTGATATCGGTCTTTATGAATGCCTGCATTTATAATTTTCTATCTAGCCCTGAACTTAAAATATCTAGAGATAATTCACTGCATATCTACAAAATACCATGTAAGTATGCAAATTAATGGGGTTCAGTCATCCTGAAACAGGTGGCTTTGAGGCTGAGCTCGAGCCAGTCGCACAATTCAACGATGCAGAATGGTATGTCACATTAGCCCTATTCGAAATCCTTGGCAAGGCAGCGCAGCATAGCCTGATTATTTGTCCCGAGATTAGTTCAGAGTAACGTTTAACGCAGTCCTTGCGACCGACATAATAGCAACCGGTGGATCGCCGGATTCGGTTCTTGTTGTGAGATTGATACTTGCAAACTTGGAGTGAACGGAATTAAATGCACTTAGGCTACTTGGCTTTTGAGTCAGTTTAAAAGAAACTACATGTATACATGTACGTATGGATTAGGTCTAACAGTCATGATGATATCTGTGGAATGTAACAAGCCTCGATCACTGCCAGGTCTGTGTGCCCCTGTAGTTGTTCTAGGGAACAAAGATTACTGGCTCAAACCCATGCTCCCACATCCCTCCCCACATAATTATCCGTCAGTGGCACCAGTGGGCGCAACTACATATGCGGCGTGATTCTTATCCAAGTGGTGTCTGGCATGGCAATAACTACTCATGTCAGCCCTATCTGCGGCTCAAGAGAACACCATCTTAACGAGTGTAGTGTACCTACTTCTCTATTCTTTGCCCTCTTCCTATTCCTTGAAACTCACAGTCTTACTTCTACTATCCTCCCCAGTTTGTTGATCCCCCTCCCCTCGGGGAACTCTCTACCAGTGCGGTCATCGTATCACTCATGATGAAGAGATCTATTAACCCAAAAAGCTTATATTACCGCTACTTCCCCATCCCATCAACCCCCGCCTCAGCTATCGGTCTAGAGACACCACCCGCTACCTTCAAATATTCCACCTGGCGTCCCGCCCCGATCCGCACCCCGTTTTTAATATTCTTCATTGGACTCTGTGGCCTTCTTATCATACTTCTCTCACTGATAACCCGATCTTGTGTTCCACATGGTTGTTACATCTTCGGCCCCCATAGCGACACGGCTATCCCCTCCGCTACATCCTTCGTTTACAACCAACTACCAACCATAGTCTCTTTATGTCTTTCCCTCGTTTGGGCGTTACCACACCATGACATTCTCCGTTTGGAGCCCTATTTTCAACTCAGTAAACCTGGAGGCGTCACTGCTAGGGAGAGCATGGCTATCGAGTATCCGTACACCTTTGCACTGCTAGTTCCTCTGGACGCGTGGCGACGGCGGTGAGTGTCAAACCATGAAATTGTTGTGAACTCATGTCTTGACCTATACAAGATGGGCTAAGTGAAAGGATATAGCCACTGGGCAGTTGTGCTCTCTTCGTCGGTGTTGCTCATCACGAATCTTGTCGTCGTCCCACTAATATCAGGTATATTCGAAGAGAAGGTTCTGGAAGAATCGCTTCAAGGGACGGCAGTTCGGTATGGGATTACAAACAACATCGATACTACATTGAGCACCAAATTCACCTATTCCGCCTTTGACGCAGCATGGATGAGTGGCTCCCTCCCTCCGTTTACGACAAACGAGTATGCATTGGCTCCAATAGGACAAACCCATGGGCGTGGAAGGTGGGGGAAGGAGTTATGGATCGTCAATACTGAGCTTTACGAAGCGACTCTGGAGTGTGAGGCTGCCGGAAGAGTGAGGATAGGGTATACCGGGGACAGGAACGTTGGCGTGAATATCACTAGTGCGGACGGAAAAGAAGTTGTGAGATTCTGTGACCTGGACTCTTGGTTTGATGGAAGGTTGAAAGATTATGAGATGACATATTGCGATGAATACACCGAATTCATAACGCCATGGACCAGTATAGCATATCAGCTCCGCCTTGGTCGTTATATGTTTGCGTGGGCACGCGGTGGAGGACTTCCTAAAGGCTTGAGTACTAGCAACTCAACAAGGTACACGCTGCCACAGGAGATAAACGCGGTCTTTTGCAACACAAAATACTGGCGGCAGGACGTCGTAGCGAATATTACAATGCCTTCGGGGCATATTGAGGGTACCACTAAAAAGGGCGAACGGAAAGAAATCCCGATGTTTGGGAGCTTTGAGAGAAGCTTAAATGGGACAGTGGATGCACCCTCCAGCGCACGATTCAGAGAACCCGTAAAAGCGGATCTCGTGGGGTTTGGTTACAAACCGGTGCAGCCACCAGACGTCGATAATCAACTGAAGCAGAGATTTGGATCTAGACCAGACGGGTGGGATACATACTACGTGAGGTCCAATGGGAGCAGTAGCAGCGTTTATATGAAAAATAAGTATTCCCTTTCAGGGTTTTCGTTATACTCGGAGAAGGATAACAAAACGTTGGATAAGATGCTGGACAAAGAAACGTTGATAGAGACTTATGAAGGTGCGCTCAAGATGTTATTTTCAGTTGCGGTTAGTACTGAATTGGTACTTCAAAACGACACGGTAAATATACCGGTGACAAGGAGAGTAGCCACAAGGGGGTTTGGGGTGAACAAGGCATGGGCACAGGGCACACTTGCGGGGCTCGCTTTTACGATGGTACTGGTAGCAATGTTGACGGTAGTCTTAAGGCGAAGACCTTGTAACCTCGATGGCGAACCAAACAGCATTGCAGCAGCACTCAGGCTTTTGTATCACAGCCCCGAGCTGTGTAGGAAGATGGAAAATTCAGAGTTTCATTCACCAAGAAAGATACAAGAGGTTCTGGATGGTGGTGATGAGAGATATAAGCTTGAGCTTGTTCCTGGAGAGGGTCCTCGAATAAGAGTTTTCGGGGGTGATGGGGGGTCCACTAAGAGGTTACTTTCTCCGCCTGAAGAAACATACTACCCTTCTGCTTATAACCAAAAACCCTGGGCGTTGCGCATGGTCCCTGGTGTTTCGTTCCTCACTTGCTTTATTCTGGTTACATTAATTCTCATTGCCACGTTCTCCTACGCTCGAACTCATGATGGTAAAACGAACTCCTTTGAGGGAACCTTCTATTACTCAAGAATTAACGAGTGTACGCCTATGAACTCTAGGTATCCCCATGCCCGGCTCGATCAACTCCTTCGCGTACAAGTTTTTGTTCAGTTATCTCCCTCTTGCGGTTGGTATGGCTATAGAGCCGGTCCTCGTTACTCTAGGTGCCTCCCACGCAATGATCGCTCCATACCGTGCACTCACACGCGGAAGAGCCTATGCATCTCGATCAGTCACAATTGACTATGACAAATCCCCACCTCACTTCCAACTTATACGCTCTCTACGCTCCGGAAATTACATCCTTGCCTCTCTGACCCTTTCAATACTCCTCAGTAATGTACTGGCGGTTGCTCTTGTGGGTCTCTATTACGCCTCCGCAGCAAGCGTGGTCACGCCATATTCCCTGAAGGTTATTGGTGACTTCAACGCTACCGGAAACGAAATGTATTATCTGTTCGATAAGAACCTCGGAGGCTCACTCAGGCAAACATGGACAACAAACGAGTACTATGTTGTCCTTCCTCCGTTTGCGCGGGGCGCAAATGGTATGCAAGAAGAGTACCCAACACAAGCTATAGGCGTGTCGGTATCCTGCTCTCATGTCCCTGCTGACAGAATATCCTATTCTTGTGTACCTTCCGGGCTCAACATGTCCTACGAGGAACCTCAATGTAGTACCATGGATTTGGGCGACTGGAATCATGTCTATATCCACGATCCATGCGGGGCCTCTACAGATCACTCTCTCCGCTACGCATGGAATAATCCGACGGGTGACTCAATAGTTCGTACGACAAACTGCTCAGACTACTTTTTCCCCATCTGGGTAGAGAGGCCGATGGATCCAGAACCAAAAAATAGAACTGTTCCATGGGTCAATGATTTTAGATCGGTGGTGATGAACTGCAGCGCAGTGGAGGAAGTAAAAAATGTTACCGTTACAGTGAAAGATGGCCAAATACTCAAGCTAAATCCTGTCCATGATTATAATCAGGACCAGATAAAGGAATTATATACCAGAGGCACTGTGGGCCTCAGTAACAGTTTCACAACAATAATCGAAGCTGCCATTAATAATACGAGAACCAACAACTATATCGCTTGGTTCAGTTACCTCATGTTATCAATCTCCCCGGACCTTGCCTCCCCAACCCTTTCGCACCTTCCGAACTCGACGTTTGCCCCAGCGGCTTTTTCGAAAGTCTACTCGCGGCTCTTTGCTATCAATCTTCGCCTCTACGATTCCAGTCTCATATCCACCTCTGGAACTAAGGACATGGGGATGGTTGATAGAGTATATGTGAGCACACACTGGTTCATCGTGTCTATTATTATTCTCGCATGGGCGGTGGTAACAATGGCACTACTATATGGGAAGGAGAGGGGGGTTAAAGGGCAGATGCCTAGTAAGCTAGTTGGAGTGTGGGCTCATTTATATCGGAGCAATGCGAAGGAAGAGTGTGCCGATGTACAGGGCGCAAATCCAAGTGAGAGGGGGCGCGAGCTCAGGAAAAGGGGGAATCGATATGGATATGGACCCTTTGAGGGTGGGAAGCATGTGGGCGTATATCGAGATGAGGGGTTGGAAGTGGGTGGGGGTATTGAAATGGATAGGTGGAGAAGTTGGACGAGTACATTGGATGAGCGATAATAAAGAAAAATCCTGTATCAAGAGGAGAGCCTCATTTTCGATTATATAATAGCGGTTTATATAGATTGTTAGCGAGTTTTTTATGTAAAAGGTGTTTCGGCAAAATTTAAATTGGGTCCAATCAAAAGCATGTCATGGTAATCACCTTTAACGAAAGGAGGTACTGCCCAGTTAATACGTCTTCGTGCATATTGATTGTTCATATATTTATTGGCATCTCTGGGGGTTTCGTGTACTTCAGGTATACTGATGATTCTATATCATGGCATGTTGATTCATGATATAAACCTTTTAGCAGCGAAACTTTAAGAATATATAGAATATTACATATCTAGAAGATCTTTAACATCATAAATACCAAGATGCCTTAATATTATGATGATATTTCATAAGCTTCTCATGCTCTGACAGACGGAGTATCACTCCCAGACTCGCAATTATATGGTACTTCAGCGGAAAGCAAATCATTGATCCAAATGAATTACCATGTCAATCAATCAATCAAATCAGATTGTCATAGACTACGGTCTGCATACAATTAATGAATTAAACAAAAAAAAAAAAAAAAAACAGATCTTCAACATTGATACGAGTGATTTGTCATGATTGAGATATTTATTTCTCTAAGCGTACCTCCAAAGCGCCCACCCTAAGCTAGTGAAAATGTTAGCTGAATTAACTCTGGAATAGAATCGACAGAATATAATTGAGACTGATAAATAGTACTAGGCAGTACATGATGCCTAGTGCACGCAGGTGATTGGTCCGGCTACCGGTATCGTACCAGTGGTATTGTCATATCCGCCCCAAGTAGGGATTATTTGCACTCCAACCAAGAATGTACGCCTTTTGGTTAATTAAGATCCAATGAGTAGCACTATAATCAAATATCTTCTACCGCCTCACATGTACTCACATGTAACTACCTACTCATATGTACACCACTTTTGGTCACCTTTAAGAGTGGCCGAACTATATATGCGACATGTTGTGGTGTAGGAAACATTGTAGCCGGGTTCTGTAGGTGATCCTGCCTCTTTGTGGCGCACTTACTTGAGAACCATGAGGATACAGCTCACGGCGAACGGAATTTATATATATATACGGAAAGTGAAAGCTAGTAATATTATGTAGTTCTCATTTAAAACTCAACGATAATAACATCAATGTTTCATTTGCAATGTTTGTTTTACCCGAGCCCTTCAATCAACTGTTACGACTCACAATACCAACCAATCCTTGCTCACACGAGCATGCAGGTATTAGGTACTCGCGACAACCTGAAGTGCCCGAAAATCCAGCTGCAAGGCTTTGGCGTATTTTTGATTTCTACTCCAATGGCAATTGCAGATGAGGGCGTGCATTTTCGGGTGCTAGCTAACTAACTGCTGTGAGTACATAAATTTGATAAAAAGATGAAGATCGATCCATATCGGAGACTAAAACAAAATCAAATCCGATGATGACAGCTTATCAAGATGAGTTGAGATGGATAGTTGTATATTTTATGTAATCCGAGTGGGATCGATCGATTGAACTTGAAAAGTATCTAGACGTTGTTTTGCACAAGAGCATAATGTGATGAGTACATGCTCATATAGTTAGACACATAGTGATAAGATGGTTGCTTTTTTCAGAACCTATCTGAAACACGCGCAAACTATAATTCTTAATAATGCACGGTGGTTTCTGTAAGTCCGTGGACCTTGCCTTATTCGCCAGACGGTAGCTGACCACGCATGATATATATCCACGGGATACAGCTGCGCATTGCGATGGATCAATGCACTAGTGCCAGGCTGCCCAGCGTAGTTCTGAGGATAGCAGCTTGATCAATTGGTTAGTGCTCCATGACTATCATATGGGCTAGGTAGGCGAGCTTAGGCGGCTAGAGTTGTGCCTACATGTCTTCGGCACAAGGTTTTTCGGGGTGAAATGTGTGACTGTCGGTGAGTAATAATTACCCGCGTTGTTAGATTGAAGGCCCAGCTAAGACAAAAGCAGCGTAACTAATCCAAAGATTACAAAAAGCTTAACTAAAGGTTCACTATTTGATTATTGGGCATGAGATAGCTATCCTTGGACGAATGAGTCCCTCTCATGTATAAATATCATATGACTTCTATATTTTAGTGAGAAAACGTCTGGGCATGCAGGCAGTTCGCCGCCTTACACAGTCTTTATGTTAGTATATATGCCACAAACCTCACAGGTCGCTGCCTCATGCAATCTGTCAGTCGCTTCCTGAATAGGTCACGCTAATGCATGAGAAGCCTTTTGCTGTTATATACATTTGTATTGGAAGATGAAGTCCTAGACATATTGCATAGCCCTTAGCCTCCATTTCTATGGCTGTATGAAAATAGAACATGTCCAGAAGGAGTAGAACGGTTAATTATACATACTGATCTGCTTAGAGCTGCTTCATACTTGCAACGTTAGACTTTGCCAGATCAGAGAATGAAAACCGGAGATGAAGCACAATATTCTAAGGTACAAGAGTGTATGCTTACACAATGCACTCCGCTGAGTGGGATTATTTGTTTTTTTTCATCGGTATGATCATTGACAGGAGGTCAAGGTGAGACATGCATGGCCAGCTTGATATTGTACACATAAGTTTTAATTCCCCGCGAAATATTGGGGCCGGAGTAAGACATGGAGAGATCAAGCCCATTTCCCGATTCTGACCTTCTAACTGAGGGTAACATCTAGGTATGTAGCTGCAGCAAGAACCTAGTTGTACATACTCTGCGCAAATGCGCAGTTAATTGTCCCCAAAATCAACCTAATTTTCAGCATTTAAATAAATAATATTAAAATATTAAAAAACTTTGACTTCGCTCCTATATAGCACAAATACCGGCCACAATATCGATAGAGAAATCATTTCACTATCACACAACCAACCTCTGAACATTTTTCCTCGACAAGAAACAAGCTTCCCTAAAAGCTATGTATCAGCAGATACTGTCTCAATTGCCTCGTTACGTCCCATTACTTATTTTCATATTATTTTCTATCCCGGTGGTAGCCATCGTTTTCCCTTCGGCACCAAATGCTTTTCACCCTCAAAATGAAAAGCGAGAAAATCCTGGATCTCTCTATACCAGAGCTACATGCGGCTTTAAAGGCGACAACGATACATACGGACTTGGTATTCGCATCAGTATATACATAAACTAGATCACTTATTCCATCGCCTGCTTTATGCAACCAGAACAAATTCACTCGATGCGCACCGTGACAATTTCTTTCCAACTCGCCATGTTTATCGCTCTCGTATTCCTTACCCTCAAGCTTGGAAACGAATTCTACGCAATCGAGGCCTATATAATAATCATGTTTTGCCTCGGTAATACTCTTACTGATGACTTCATTCCTAATATACCCGAAAAGAAACCCAAAGTTACCCCGGCAATTGGCAATACCCTCACTGACGGCCCCATTCCTAATGTCCCCGAATACAAATTCAAAGTTGTCACGGCAATTGGACTTCTGGTCGAAACATCCGTGTCTTTTGCACTATGCGTTTATCAGGTCTGGTTCTACTTTACGGGCATGGATAGAATGAAATATGATGCGTGTAGTATACATGCGTATTTTTTCTCGTCGGTCAATCTTTATGGATGGTATCGCACGCTTATGAAGGTTTCCTCTGTGAATATGTTGATATTTTTTTCCATTTTACCCATTCTAGAGGTGGTGGTATTCGTCAATAAAAGACTCAAGAAACGGATCAGAAAATTTATGGTTGATCATACGGAGGGCTGGGATCACAAAGTCTTAAACCACCTACATGGGACCTTGACGCTCTGCGGGCGCATCCAACCGATATTGGCGGTCGAGCTTACGATCAGATGGAATAACATCGAGGGTATTTCAAGCTTAGGATCTACGGGGCAGCTGTTGCCGCTCGTAATCTCCGTAGCTGGGCTAATAGCAGTGGTATGCTCGAAGTATTTTTCTAAAGAAATGGATTCGGGAGAGAGTTTGGGAGTACCCGCGAATCAAGAGTTTTCGGCAGGTAATGGTGAGCAAAAGGTCATGCACCACTCGGATATAGAGATACATACATGAGGGTAAAGAGATATGAGGTAAACTAGGTCAAAGTAGCAATCTATTATATGATAGTTCAGTAGACATGAGAGTATAAGTATTCAAGCGAATTATTGTTGGGGGATCTGGGTAGTTGGCTGGGTGTAAATCGATTCTGCAAAATAAATTCTTTTCGTTGATTATTCTTACAGCCACTCAGCAAAAGTGCTCGTGATATAGTTTTAATGTCAGTGCGCAGTGTGGCGCACCCGTAATACTTATGTTATTAAAGTTGAGATTCAAAACAGCGAAAAAATATATAATATAGTTTGTGACTATATATAAAAAGAAGATAGGTCATTGATCTTATTCTTCATTAATTTAGGCGCCATTGGTCACTGGGAAAGTCTTCTCTTGGGGGGTTCTCGGTGGTCCGCCACGGTTACATATGGACTCCGAAATCGGAATCACGAACACTTTTGCAGAGTGGCTGGGGGGTCGATCGCTGATAACTTTATGACCATGATAGATATCAAAAATTCGGAACGATAGGAGTATAGTAATAGTGATGAACTTTAGTTCTATTGTTCAGAATTTTTGATATCTATCATGATCATAAAGTTATCAGCGATTGAAAATGGCTGTTTTTGTATGTAAAAAGCGCCAAGACTAAAAAAAGTGGAACAGTATTATCCCATAATCCGGTGCTTAGATGCTGTCTATTTGACAGAATATTATAATTACTAAAAGAGGAAGGGTGGCAGCCGAATATGTGTGTGATCCAGACACAAGCCACAGCTGAAAATACGCCGCCCGAATCAATAGGCAGCTTTAACAGACTATTTATACCCCCCGAAAAGCAATCCTGATCGAGCTGTGGCGGTGATACAGGAAGATGGCTAGAAATGAGCCCTCTGGTTGGCCCATGAGTCCATATTGCAGCCACAATTGTTCCACATCCATTTGCCGGCTTGTCACCTTTAAGATTGTGCGCACCATATCTATGCATACCGTCTAGCTCACAATATTCAGCACCAAGATAGCGCCTACATAACTTCAGAATATCCACTGGGATTATTGACAATATTCTCTAGGGCTCAAGATGATCTAGCCTTGGCATGCTACAACGCTCTCTGTTTTGCCACACTCAAGCTGCAAGGCTCCGTCCAATTCTAGGTAGATTTCGGTTCAGTGATGGATCAAGGACCAAGTGCGAGATGGAATGTGTCTCCAAGAGGGGATAGTCTTGGATACATGTAGTTTTCTCCGCTATAGCTCGACACGAGACTAGGCGGCGGCTTGTCACCCGTCCATAGAAAGGCTTGGCGAAATCGATCGAGTGACTCGCTGTGAGCCAACTCGAAGACTCCAAAAAAAAAAAAAAAACGAAAAACGCTGCCAAGCGATGTCATTATCTCTAATGTAATTCCCGCACTCGAAGGCGGTGTTCAAATTCGATGCCCAACCATCCCACGTCACAAGTTATCACTCGTCCAAAATTTCACGCAAGCGACATTAACAAAGATGAGGAAACGAAGATCGATAACGAACCAAAATTTTTTATTATTTATCTACATAGACATAGTGGAAACAAATACAAAAAAAATATTGATAAAAAGAAAAGGACGTACAACATAAGGAAGCCCTAACCCACCACCAATAAGCCCAACCGCAGCTTCGTCTTGCAACAGATTGAGAAGGGGAAACCGACAAACGGCCCACGGTTTCTAATTGAAAAAGACTCAGTTGTTCGGAGATCAGAGAGCTCGCAAGGGGATGGCAATAAGAAGTTAAAAGTGATGGAAGGCTTGTAACCCATAGTGATCACAACCTGTGCCAAGGCCCGTTGAGCGTGAAGTTTAGGATAAGCCGGACGGGCACTAGAGTGAGAGTTAATAACGATTTTTTCACTTGAATATTGTATATATATAATCGTCATATTGCATTCACAAGATCGTATACATAGCTCAAACAAAACACAAAGCAGAACAATCACAACAAATCACTCGCAACGACAAAAAAAAGCAAGCGCGAAATCAAAAAAAAATAGAACCAAGCTAGTGAGATAAGGAAATCCGTCACAAAACATAGGAAAACCCGCCAACCAGAGCACTTAGTGCCTAAAATAGACACACGTACGCCTCGATCGCTTCCGCTAGATACATTGGTACCAAGTATCCAAACACCTGTCAACATCCTCACGGCTCAACGTTGACATAGAAGATCGCGCTTTGTTCTCTGTAGAACTCGTCCACAAACGTGAAAGCGACCCTGTCGAAGCCAGGCGTTCGGGCGCACAGTTCAAACGTGTAGATATTTGACACACCGCTTGGCTTCTCGACACCCACCACAACGACGTTCTAAGGTAAAATGTCAGCATATCTCAAACTAGGTAAACCTCCCATAGGACCATGTTCTAATGCTTACCCCGTAACCATAGGACCATTTGAATTCGACCGCCCTCTCCACCTGTGAAGATAGTTAGCAAACAGTAACCTTACTACTCAATGATGCGAGTACAAACATTTACTCCAACTTTCATTGTTTTTCCAACCTTGAGGTCCTTCTGTTGTTCTTTGTTAAATACTGGTTCCCCCACCGATACCTTTGTTTTCTCAGAAGAATCATTCTTCTCCAAAAACTTTTGAAGACCCTCCACCACATTCACGAAGGCGTCGTGACCAAGACCTTTGGGTGCGGAGAGATTAACGCACAGGGTTCCGTAGACCCAGTAAGCACGAAGGAGAGCACCCTCTTCAAGTTGATACTTGACACGACTTTTTGTTTCCTTCACTTCCCCATTACAGGGGTTGTTACTCAACCTCATAAACCTCCTCAATGCCAGTCGGGAAGTAAACGTGCGCGTGGACATAAAGATATCGAGGTTAACGGGATGCGTTTTATTCTTTGTATCTTTGAAGTCCAACTTCCAGCAGACATGATGGCCCCCATCCTTGAACTCGTTGATTTGCTGATGGTAGAGTTGACCATCAATCTTGAAAGAACCCTTGAAAGTACTCTGCATTTCTTCCATAAGTTTATTGACGTTAAAATATACGATCAAATCGTCGCCTTTAGTGTCCTTTGGCCGGTTCTTATCACCGGTAACCGCCTCAATCACCTCCTCGATGGCCGGATCGGTCTCCTCAAAATTTGCATCTCCATCGTTCTCCCTCGAGATTTGATTGAAATCATTGCTTCCGCCTTGGTCCGCCATGCTCGAATGGATAAAAATGCTGCTGAAGGTTCCAGGGCCATTCTTATACCAGTCAAGATCTTTACCTAAGCCTTCGGTGTGGTCAATGGCCTTTGCAATGTATTCGTTGAGTGTTAAGGTGCCTGTTCTGGGCCCACACGTGGCATCAAGAACCTTCCCATTATATGTGATGAATATATGCCTCTTGAAGCTCGTGCGTTTGGGGTCTTTCCGATCCACTTTCATGAGGGCTTTGTTTCCTTGAAAAAATGGGCTGTTGACCTGTCCCCAACCAACAAGATCGCCTTCCACAAATCCAAACGGGAACATCTCGAACCACCGTAGTCCTTGTGATCTATCTTCATAATTATCAGGAAAGAAGAAGCCCAGACAGATCCCCACTATAGCCGCTAGGTCGTAGCAGTTCACATGGCAATCCTTCTCTGATGTTATTTTCTGGTTTTTGAGCCACTTGGCTAGCTGGAAAGACCCCGGGCGGGTGAGATCGCCGCTGGCCATCAACGATGCATATGAGGTGCCCCCAAGTGTAGTCTCATATTTGAAGCCAGATTCCCCGTGGATGCGCTTCACGACATACTCCACATAGTTTGTGACTCCTCCGGCGCCCGCTTTCGGCCAGTTCCGGGTTGGCAAGACAATAAAGCGAAGGAGATCGAGCGGGATCCCTTCGACCGCGAGGAATCTATGCAGTGCACGGGAGACGGCATAGATTTCAATTGGGGAAGTTGTGACTGGGATAAACTTTCCAGTATTCTTGACAAGTACCTTCCAGCTGATGGTTCCCCGGAAGCCCCAAGGAATACCCGGGTGAGTGTTGTTGAGAGCGAGAGGAACCAGAACTTTGTAGTTGCCAGTGTTCTGGTCCACCGGGAGATCGAATTCAATAGACGTGGCAGGGCTGCTATGGCCGTTGTCGGTGCATTCTCCAATCATTTTTAATTTGAATTGTCGAATTTTGAGGTCGACATTTCCGACCAGTTTGATCTTTGGCGTCGAGTTCATGCACGTTGTGGCGGCGATTGCCTTTCCCGCTTCCGCTGCAGACCACAGGGGATGGTCGATGGCAAAATTGGGACAAAGGCCATCCTCCATCAGGACGGGGAAAAGAGGACCAGGAAGAGTGATTTTTTTGAGATTGACTTTGAGGGGTATGTTTTCCCTATAGCGGATCGTGTAAAATGCTACAAGAGACACCCCAATCAATATTGCTCACATGTTGTACCTTCGCTAATATCCACTGTAATAAGGAAGCTTACCGGTGATGGGGTAAGCATTAGTCCGTGGAGGATGCCCCTGCTCAATATCCAATACTTCCTGCGCATCACATTGAATATCCACCCAGCTTATAGACGGATAGCCTTCAGTGGCATTATAGGGTAATCTCATGCCAAACACGATATTGCATGGAGGATGATGAGGCCATTTCACTGCGTAGGCGATGGTGCCCTCGGAACCGTCGACTAGAGCCTGTTATCAGCATTATCTTGGAATTTGAATAGAAGAGAAAACGTACACCCAAAGTCGTCCTTTAACGTGATTGTGACTTCGGTATTAGGGTAGATAACACCAGGAATCGTGTCATCTAACCAATGACCCTTAACAGGTTTATTTTTCCACAAAAGCTCCAATGGCGCGTCGGTATAGTTCTTGATTCGGAAGTAGGAAGAGTAGTCTGGCATGATGAAGTAAAGTGTTGAAGGATGAGAAGCTGGCTTGTTTTGTTGTTGTTATAGTAGGAGTTGTAGTACTGTCTGTGTTTGTGATTCTCAGATAAAGGATATATCGACCATTATATATTCTTCAACCTCCACAGTTGCCCTGATATTGCAAGATCACGCCCTTAGTTGTGTACATCATAGCTTCGCTTCGGTGCTGCCTACTGATTCAGATCGTTCGGAGGTCCCGAGCTGATGGAAATTGTGGCTTGCATCCTCAGCTTGAGCGCTCGCAAGTACCAGGGCGATACATCGTGAGATTTTCAGTAGGTGTTGTGGTTTAGTGGGTGTTGATGTTTAAGATTCCCTCTTTCGGTATCTTTAGTTTCATTCGTGGCTTGATTCTCAGCGGTTCTAGAGTGCGGTCCCCGTGGCTTGGGCTGGGCCCATTTGGCCTAATGCAGGCAACATTTACATACATGTAGTACAAATCGATTACTCTGTCCGAGTACATTAAACTCACCAATCTGCCTTGTAATTGTGTACATATGGCGCGAGAAGGCATAGGGGGTGGGTGTGTCAACTTCAGAGGAACTTTTTTTGTATGGGAATTAGAGAAAATTCCACCGTTAGGCTAGGCACTAGTACCATTATGAGAGTAGATCTCCCAATTTCTATAGATTGATTGGTTGCAAACGCCGAAGTTTACACACCTACCCACCATAGCTTCTCGAGCCATACATCCTTGACCTGGCGTGGATCTAGATGGCGTAAGACTACATGTACCTACGTGCATGAGAAGCAACTGCACTTTAAAGCGGCTCGCCTGATTCAACGCTAATACCTTAGTAAAAACAGCGAATGTTGTTTACCTTCGGGTTTGCTTTGTACAGCGGTAGGTATATGTAACAATACTAGTAGTCTCGCGTACGCAACTACACCTAGGGCCTATACCCTAATTGCCCAATTAACGCCAAAGCTGATAGAACTGCCTAATTCTGTCAGCATCTGAGTTTATCGAGACTAATGTAACAAGTGATGGAACGCCCCGAGATACATGTACAGTTATACCTGCAAACGCCGTATGTTAGTGGCATTTAACCAAAACAGGCGTCACTGCGCCTCAGGCCGTTCCATCACTTATTACATGTACCTACTAGTGCTGGACTACATGTACTTGTAGCGCCTTCACACAATCTATATAAACATGTATAATGTACGTATGTACATGATGTGGCTTCTCTCTAAAATAAATGAATACATGTACCATAGCAAGTGCACAAGTACATAGATCAACCTACTTAAATACATGTACATATATGTATTCCTGCTCACTCTACTTAATTCTGTAGATACACAGGGAAACATACATACATGTACCGGTTGGAATTATGGGTATGTACATGTCAAGTAGTGAAGGTTCTTGCAAGCGTTTCCGCAGTCACCGAGTGCTAGCGCGTGATGGTTGAACCCCAGACATGCACCTCGGAAACGTCTCAGATCGTGATTCGGCTAGGGTTCCGCGTACGGAAGCTTGCCCAACTCAACCCCACATCACCTCAATCTCGCCAGATATAACAAGCCTCCTAGATGATATGGATAGAAGAAGCGAAGTTGTTTCGAATAGGCATGTAGAGTATGTAAATACCTACATAGTAACTAGGCGAGTACCAGCTGACTTGTATCGTGCCCTAACTACGTATATATTCCTTTGGTTAGTTATCGGATTACCGCGCGGTGCGATAGCTATAGGGCACCTCACCTCAGCCCCGCCAAACAAAACAAGCCTTCTAGAGGATATGTATGGATAGAAGAAGCGAAACTGCTTCGAATAGGCATGTGGAGTACCTACTCTGGGTAAGTACGTACTACATTATACATGTATTTACATACCAAATTAACCAATTTGCATATCGTGCCCTACTCTAGCCGTTATCTTGTTACCCTGAATCACGGGAAAAGAACATTCCGCGAGGGCTGAAGTGCAAAAGATCACAAGATATGTAGGGCACCTCCACAGCTATCGACAGCAGGGCTGGCCGGCCGCGTGCAGGGTTGGCGAGCTGAAGGGCAAGCCACCTCGCTTAATAAACGTTGCGGTGGGTTAGGTTAGGTTACATATACCTCGCCTCAGCCGTAGGGCTCTCGCGACGTTTCGCCGGTGATTATTAAACGTTGAAGGTGGCGAAAAAAAAACATATGTGTGTAGCCCTAGCTAGATATGGCTTTGAGTCAGGGACAGTTTCTGTTTCCGCATCATAAAATGTCACTCGTGTTATGAATTCTTGGCGCCAAGACGTACGTCAATGTTGAATGAACCTGTTAATTCAAACTGATTAATTGTCCATGTATAGTCAGCTCTTGGAGCGCTGGTATCCATCATCTTATGCTGGTTTTGATGCTCTCTCCAACTCTACAGTAAATTAATTTCTCTAGTTGGAAAATACCTGTACAGTACTTCCCAGCGGACATCCAACCCGCCTCTATGCCGATTCCCCAAGTTTTGTCCTCCAGAAAGCTTCGTTACGTATAATACTACCGCACATTTTCCTTTCCGGTATATACCTGCACCCGGCGCCCCCGCTCACCAACAGGTGTTCCTCCACTCCTGGGGGAAGTGTACTGTATCTACCCTCTGAGCACAAAACCACATCGAACCACGCCTACCGCAAAGCCCAACGACCCGATTTCACCGAGATCCTGATTACCCCAATCGTTTCCAGGCTAGGTCACTCCACTATGTATGGGTCTCGGGCCGGGGCGGACCGACCCGGAGCTAGCGCTCGCCGGCCGGCATCACGGGACCGTGACAGCCCAGCTGATCATGGCTCGCAGCGCATACAAATCCAACGTCTTTGAGGTGCCAGGATAGCACTAGCTGGCCATGGGTCTATCGACTACGCACACCAGGACGACGATAGCGGAGCCTACTTGAAAGGTGTGTGCGAAGACATATTTGAGAGGCTATCTAGACGGCCCGAGATTGATAACATTTGGTACCATGTTCGGATGTGCTAAGCTATAAGATCTATGTGCTAGTTATAAACTTTGCGAGTCAATCCTCTGTGGATATGTGTACGTAATTTCACAGTTTGAGGGTTTTAAATGCATATTACTGCATGTAAACATCCAAACACGTCCTTCCACTCTTAGGTTTTTCCCAGCATGTATCCCCCCACCTAAATTCTTCCCAGCATCTATCTCTCCTCCTAAACCTTCTATTTCATCCAAAACGGAGGCACTGGACAAAAGGTCAGCGGAGGAGCGGGTAGGGGAAGAAGACACATATACCTATGTTTCTATATCATTGGCTATCTCTTCTACCCAAGGGGGCCCTAACCTCAAATTGTTAGATCTATAATCTTTTGTGACCTTATATTTACTTAGCGACCAGAATATTAGGTGAAACAATAGGCTTCTCACTAGCATCGTCGAATCCTGGAATGATTGGATCTGCTTCTGTCATTATATCAAGTCAGGCCTGCTCATATCTTTTGAGCGCTTGAGAAAGAGTTTCGATTTCGCGCGCATGAGAAAGAATTTTTATTTCGCGATCACGGACAGGGTTTTGATGTGGTCTCGTCAGCTCGTGTCCCTGAAAGAGTGTTCCTAAACCTAGCTGGTTGGGGTCCTCTTGTGCTCCTAGAGCTGCTTAGTAGTCTACGATATTTAGGGAGAATCATAGATATCTTACTCGTACTATAGGTAGCATACGTATGACATTCTCTACGTAGCTCGGCTATGGCGCTCTTGACGCCCAGTGCTCACCCGAAAAAAAGAGTGTTTCACGAGAAGTCCTTAGGCTCACCTTCTCTTTTATTTGTTTAAAGGCTATTCATAGTCTCAACTGATTAGCAGAATCCACTTGTGCCCTAGAGGGGCTTAGTGCTCTGGAATAGCGCACGAAAATCAAAGATGTCTTACATGTAGAAAGATGAGGTTCTCCCTCCGCACTACAGTATGACGAGCCGAATATAGGGCCCCTATAAGGCACCCGGACCCCACCCATCTTGCTTGCTGCGCACCAACTTAATTCGTCTTGAAAGGCCGCCCCTATTCTCAACTGATTAGTAGAATCCTCCTATGCTCCTAGAGCTACATGTACATAGTGCTCTAGGGTATTAGAGGAAAGTGGTAGATGTCTTAATTAACCCCAGCATCCGCAGAATCTGCACAACATTCTGCACGTAGCGCGGCTAAGTCCACCCTATTTTTGCTCGCCACAACGAAATAGTTTTGAGTTCCCTAACACGAACAATCCTTCGTTCTACCCTCTCTCTCAATTGTTTCTGAAAGTCTGTTACTAGTCTCAAGTGATCAGAACTCTTCTTCTTTCCTTGGCGTACTTTGTGTTGCTAAATACTGGGGGTAAATAATGGTGGATTTTTCAACAAGACCCTCTGGAATTCTGTCCCAACTTTTTCAAGTTGTTTAATGATCTCCGTCAACACTGCCCGCCCCTTATAAGAGGCCGGTGACCAGTCCACTGGGGACGTCGTCCCTACGCCCCCAAATGGTGACCCACCCACATGGGACGTCGACCCTACGCCCGCAAGTTTACAACAGTAGTCCGGGTCGCATCGCATGATCGCCAATTGCTCCCTTAATCTTTCCAAGATAGTAAGAAGATACTTCGATCCACCATGACCAAGTATAAGCTCTATCATCTCTATAGCTGGCTGCGAGTGCAAGAGGTCAGTAGTTAAGTGTAGAGGGGTCATCCCTCCTATGCCTTCTGCATTAGCGTCAGCCCCAGCACGAAGCAGCAATAACGCGATTTCTTTTAGTCTATGGGAAACTGCAATACGCAATGGCGTCACTACGCCTAGCACGATTGATACCGTTGTTGCGCCCTTCTTGAGTAGAAGCTTTGCCGTATCTTCATGCTTTTTGACTAATGCCAAGGCAAGCGGCGTCCGTCCATATTTATCAGGAGAATTAATGTCTTGTCCAAGCTCCAGAAAAAACTCGATGATATTATCGTGACCCATGAACGCTGCATGATGCAGCGCTGTCATACCATCATCCATTGCAGAGAGGTTGCAATATCCATCCTCCTCAAGAAGCGCCTTGACCGAGCTTAGATGCCCTAAGAAGTAAAGGGGGCATCATACGTTCATGGGCATATACACGACAAAGACGAAACATCGTGTCATTGGTTGTAAACAAATTATTCGGCGTTTTGACCTCGCCCGAGTCAGGTAGCCACATAGTAAGCCCCTGGTAATAGGATAATGCATTCTTATTCCTCAGAAGCTTTAGGTATATCTCTGTTGATGACTTTTCACCACAAGCTTTGAGATGCCAATGAAAATAATTCAACAAGTACCGCTCGGGAAAGTTAGAGCTAGGAAGATCAGGGTCTGTGTGATAGCGGTAGTGATGGTAATAGTACTGAGAATGTAATTTGCGGGATGTTATAAACTATACTCGGTAGGGTTCATGGTGGTCGAAACAGAGATAAGTTACGAAGAAATCTACAATAATAAGATGCGGCTATAAAGTGAAGGAATGATGGAGGAGATATTCTTGAACAGAGTAATGGGCAAGTCTAACAGTGGCCGTGATTTCGTCTATAATCACAAGTCCACCGCAAACCTCGAGGATCATCGTATTATCTGGCATGTCACCCTCGCTCGGTTGGTTTCGATCATTGGGGCCCGTGGCTACGGCCATACGTAGCTCTTCAGATGTTAAGACTTCTGCCGCTGCTACAAGCCAGGATAAAATCCTTTTCGCAAGTCCCATCCGACTTCGATGTTGCCTCTGGATTATGTTTCCTACTACCCTGTCATACATCTCATGCAAAGGGTTTTCTGCTGGCGTAATTGTGTGCAACATTTTCAGTGCGTCATCAACTTCTCGTGCAGTCGTGTATTGGCAAAGATCATTGATGTGAAAATGAACCAAAAGAAACCTTGATAAAGGTACGATTAACAAAACCTCGGCTTAACTTAGAGTTGGGACTGCTATATATATACATACATCCCTTTGCATAAATCCACAAGTTTCAAGATGATATGCTCTCGGAGATCCCCTTGAATCAACGCCTTTGCATGGGAATTTTCATCAATAGTTTCTCCAATAAATTTTTTTATATCTTCTTCGTTAGCCGAAATCTCGATTTTTGCGGCATTTAGTTTCGTCAGACATTCGTGGATATCGCGAGGATATGGTCGACTAGTCACGAAAAGGCTAATATGCTTCATTTTTGCAAGACCATCAAAGAATGGAAGAAGCTCCTTTCGTTGAATTTCTCGTCGCATTCATCTAGTGCATCAAAGACGAGGAATACACGAGTAAAACTTTGTGATATGGAAGATAGGACCTGCTGTAGATTCTGAAAAGGTGGCTGCTTTTTTTCTGATATGAACTCGTCATACAGCTTTTCCGCTTCTGCAGGGAGTTTGGATCCTTTAACCTGGGTTAGAAGTTGTTTTATTAGACTCGATAGAGCTTGTATAGGATGTTGTTGCTCTTGTTCCTTGAAGTTGAAGTAGATGTATGCAACCCCATAATTTTCCACGGATGCACGTGACCCAAGTTCATCAATCACAAGAGAACTATCAAATGTCGAGAGTCAGCTGATCAGACAATTGTCACACGCGTGCGCAGTCAGGAATTACATACGCTATGAATGTCTTTCCTGCTCCCGCTTGTAGAAGCTATCGTGCTAGTATTTCAAAACGAAAAATATGATATTAATATTAATACGTACGTATGCCATGGCCCCACAATATTTGTGATTTCAACCTCTTGTCCACCCAAGCTTGGAAATATGGGTGCCGAGAAAACCATTTGCCCGTATATTTGTGGCGTCTTCCGCTTATCTCAGCATGTCTCCGATCCGTAGTAGGTGGGTATATTCCACCTTCTTTTCTCTCCTTATAGTCCCAATATTAATTCTTGGTAATATAATCTGGAAGTATATGGTCGAATGGATGTCGATAGGTTACAATATAAGTAAACTGAACCACCCAGCTTGAACGTACCTATACGAGATAACTCCTCCTGTTGTCTAGCACGCCTGATATCGACAAATTCCTTTTTCAAAGATTCCATGATATTGCCAACAGCTGTATTCGTATTCTCCGAGAATACCTTTATGGCGTGCGATAAACAGCTGTAATATCAATCTTAACAACTGGTAGCGTGATTGGAGATATTATATCGCTGCGCCTACTCACTATTGGTCTGCAGTCAAAGCAAGGTTGAATAGATTTTTATGTCTCTCGATCTGCAGGATCGCCTGGGTGGTCTCTTTTTCCATCAGTGGCCATTTCAGGCGGCGACGTAAAAGGCTGAAAGATTTCTTTTTCGTGTCCAGCTTTCCTAGAAGAGCACTCATCTCCCCCGAGCATACTCGGAAGCGACCATCAAGGGCCGAATAAGAGTTGGATGCGAGATATTCGGGACTTTCTTTTAGTTTCCGTGGGACAACTTCCAGAGATTTAATCTCGTCCCCAAGCTTCTTTGCCTCGCATTGGGCATTTTTTTACCGAACCAACATATCCATATGCCGCGCTTGCAACGAGTCCAGTGATCTGTACGAGGGCTGCTATGCGGATACAGCACCTATAATCTCGGCCATATCTTTCCGGGGGATTTGAAAAAAGAGTTACTTCTTCTGTGTTGTACTGACCCTTGATAACGGTCGTAGCTACTTGTAGGGACAGGCGAGCACAAGAGACGTACATACGAGGAAAGGCGTGGTTGCAATACCGCCAAAACTCGAGAAATTGGCTATGCATGCAAGATCAAAATTACTACTAATGCACACTTCTGAGGCTGATCTATTTAACCAATCGTTAAAGAGATAATCCCTGGCCGGAGATCAAGTTTTTGCGGTATGGAAATTCCACACACGAGCCACACGAAACCGGGAGGTTCGACCCGGACGTGGCTTGTTAAAATTTAGTATTGAACAAATGAATTTAGAAATCAATACTTTTGCTGACCCCTATTGTCTGGGTCCTTTTAAAACTAATCCTGCGAAAAGACTCCAACTCAAAATCCTACATAATTATCTTACCGGAAAATTGACAAAGGCTCAATCACATGTGTATGAATGTCTTGGCAATCACTGCATATCACTCAATATCCCGCTAAACCTGCTAAGCTTGGTTACTGATAATTTTTGATCGAGCAAGTTCTCCACTTGGCTTAGAGTACACCTTGATAGAATCAATATATATAGCAAGGCGGAGAACAGACTCTAGCTTTGGCCAAAATGGGCAACTTAGCTTCCTAACCTTCAGTTATTTGACAATTACCACAGAAATTTTAGGATAGGGGGATACACTATAGAATAGCATATATTTCAAGACGTAGGTCTGTTCAACAAGCTAGTTATATATGTAGCTTACAAATCCTGGGATTTGGCCGAATTTTGCCAAGACCCCATACAATTCGCGGTCTTGGCGCATTTTCTGACAACAACCGAACAGATACGTTCTCTGCTGACATCAGCTCTACAATTAATTATTTTTGAAATTTAAGACTGTCAAGTGATTCTCCTAAGAATCAAGTTGTATTCAACTAATCAAAAGTTATATCTTAAAACGGCGGATACTGGAGCTATCAGAAAAGTGCCAATTTCAGCGTTTTTTGGTATCGTTTTGCTTCGGGACGATGATATATATGTCACCTTATATACTAGTAGTGTGTCTCTACAAGGATAATAACGTCCATGTCGATATTTGGAAGAGGGCGGGGTTGACTGCGGATTATATTGAAGTAATATTTAAGAAAGTGGCTACACATTGTTCGAAAAATCATGTCTCAAACCCTAGTTAGAACGGGCATTTCAAAACCAAACACACCAAAGAAAATAGTAGACATTGGATTCACATATATATAGCTTATCCTGATCCAGTCTCTTAGGACCCTACTGCTCAATCCCAACCATCATACAATTCGCTAACAGCGTTTCATTCCTTGTAAAAACCGGCTCCGCCTCCTCCATCCACCACGCCTCCCCTTTCTCTTTCCTCAACCTTGCCGATGCCTCAGCCAGACACTGTGCACCAGCAATACTATCCGCCGAGATCTCCCACGTCCCCATCTGCCCATAGAACCTCAATATCGCGCCGACGTCGCGAGTCCCCGCCGCATTACCCATTGCCTTCAATGACTCCTCGAACTGCTTGTTATTCTCACAGAGCGCCACGGTCAGCACTTCCCACCCGCACCCACCATCCTTCTTATCACGCGCTAGGCTATTATTGTAGCCAAGAATCTCATTGACACTATCGTGTGCATGCGGCTTGATCATCTCAATCATTTCCTCCCTCGGGAGCGCAGCCTCCTCTTCATAGTTCTCCGAGATTGGAGGGAGAGCCGGGAGAGCGAGGTCCTGGCTATACGCCGCTTGCTCCAGCTTGTTGCAGAGCTCGCGGGTGACTGTGTACATAGTACGGAGAGCCTTGTCGCGCAGGGTGGCTTCGGTGGGCGGGAGCATGGCTGCGAGCTGGGCGAGATAGTTACACCCACCGCGGGTGGAAATGTAGTTGTTGAGTAGCCAGGTTGGGGGAAGGCGGTTGTCGATTGTGGGCTTTGAAGCTTCGGGGAGTGGGTTGGTTTGCGGGGATGCCACGGGTATGGTATGGTTTGAGGCGTTGAGAAGAGAGGTAGCCATTTTGTATGAGGTTTTTAGGGTGAGTGTTCTGGATATGTATGCTATAGGTGAGGATATCTATAATGATAGCTTAAGCCGAAGGGTAAGAGTTTCATTTATGGGAGTAGCCTTTTATACTCCCTCAGGTCGTTCTCTATGACAAGTTGATGTGCATCCGGAGGATTACAGGGTAATTCTCTTTGAACCGGCGTGCAAATTCCAAAAGCCCACAAAATACCGAGATCTCAAGTCGTTGTTAGAATCGTAAGTTCTTTCATTGCAAAGCTGAAGATAATCTAGCCACTAACCTGAACATCGAGCACCGGCCGTACCGGCGCCATTCGAACGAAGGCCAGTTCGTATAAAAACAAAAGAAAGACTCGCTGGCAGTAATCTCGAGATTTTGCGGGAATCGGATTTCAGTGTTTACTAATCTTGTGCCTTCAACTAAGATGTGAAGTTGGGCGCCGGGCGACTACCAATTATATTAGGTGGTGTGGTTATCATATTATTTAGTCGGTTGGCTGGGTGGGGAACATTGCTTGATGTGCAATTCGTGCTTTGAAATCAAGAGTTGCTGTTATAAATTTGCACATTTCTACATATGAATGTGTCGTAAAACATATATGTATCTGTGTCTCTATCACATTTATGATGAGTGCAACGCGGGGGAGATTTATAATCTTGCTAAAATTCACTAGGGCGTACAATCACTGGTGAAAAGATAAAGCTTTGAGCTTTAGGGTGCCTGGGATTTACCTGGGTGAGTTTTGAATCGTACTGGAGCTTCCATGGATTCCCCGCTTTTTCTTTTCTTTCCATGTAGATTCACACATACTTGTGTAACAAAACCGCATATATTTGCGAGGTCTCAATCTTTGTTGGAGCAGAAGTTTGGACCGCCCAATTTTCCTTTTCTGAATTGAGCAAGCATTTCGAGTATCTCGTGCTAGAATTTGATATTGCGATCTGTAGTTGAGCATGCAAGTCTTGTAATCCGTTCAATGAGACCTGAAAGTGATCGGTTTTAGATACTATTTTATTCAAACTGTAGTCTGTTTTGAAGGGTTTAACTAATCTTGCCCCCATACCGCAAAATCTCAGGAATAACGAATCGAACTGGACTGGAATATTGTGCTTCGGATTGGTCAAATGCTTGTTGAGCCTCAATCCGACAGACCTAAAGCGTAACTTTTGGTCGTTTTGACCAATGGGTAAGTGGTATTCCAGCCCAGTTCGATTCGTTATTCCTGAGATTCTGCGGTATCTGATCAATGGTGTTATTTACTTTTTCTCGTCATTGGCAAAATCCGAGCGTTAACGCCTATCTCTGTTCTGTTCTTGTTTCTGATGTCACAACTGCACTTTCGTTAACTTCCGTCATATTTTGCAACCAACAATTGAGAAGTAGCGGATAGTATTCTATTAAAATCCACCTACTCATGTGAACAAAAGGAAACCAGCCGCAAGGTGGCGAGGATCCTGGTGTACACACGAGAGGAATAGATATGTAGATTTAACGGATGATTACAAGAAAGAGTGAGTGAAGAACTCAAAAACAAGAAAGCCATTAGAACCCGGAATTGGCCACGAAAATGCTCTACGTGCTCGCCATATCCAATCAAAGGTTCGTGCTCATGTGACTGGAGAATTCCTCCAGTTAAGGATGTCAGTCGCGCCCACAGCATTCAGTCCAGATCCGGGGCCCTCCAAAAGCCCTCCGGTACATGCAGAAATAAGGTAATCCCCGGTGTATAAAGATTCTATCCTGGCGCGCAGTCTAAACTCTTCAGGTGTATAGGACCCGTAACCAAATTGACTAACAGACCCAGTACTATTGATGTTCCAAGGGCCACAGACACACCCCTCCTCGTGTCCGTTGAGGTCACCATACACGAAGTTCAAGGAGGGTGCAGCCTGTCGGGCAGCTTGCAAAGCTTTCAACATATTCACCCGCTGATCCTCAAGCTCCACCCTCGCCCTCCAGACAAATGTCATGGCCCCCAGTCTCCTCGAAAGGGCCTCCTTCATTCTCGATTTTCTATCTAACCAGTACCCTATATCACACGCCATATTGGCCCTCTCCTCCGTTGATAATCTCCTCTTCCAAGGCGGCCATGAGGATGGCTCGCAGGAAGGTGCATGAATGCGAAGATCACGATGCGCGATTGATCGCTGCACAGCAGTGAGCCTGTTCCGAATATTCACGCAGATATGAAGTAGTTGTGGGTCTGTGCCGTCGGGATCTATGACTATGTGGCTTGGGGTGCTATGGTATAGCTCGAGAGTCATTTTGTCGAGCTGAAGTACCAGTTTCCTGGTCTTGATTGCCCCCTGAATCTCCTCTTCTGGTATTAGTGTATAGATAGACGGACCAGGAACTGTTTTTTTGAAGAATCTTGGCCGATGTAAAAGAAATGGTGTTAGACTTCAAACGACGATAGCATGATATGCCGTGACTTGTACATACCGGTACCCCATTGGTGATTGTGTCGGTCTTCGAATTCTAGTATATACCGTAATTGAGTGGTTGAAACGAACGGCGTGTGCGGCGTCGATAGAAGGCGGTGAGCAGTAGGTTGGTGAATATAGGAGACCCTTAAGGTGGTGGGATCGTGTATTTGAAGTATAGTAATATGTAACGACTGTAGGTCCTAGAATTCGTATGTGTAGAAACGAAAGTATGAAAGTAAAGACTGACTTACATGTAGTTGTAATTGCTTGATTGACTGCAGAGAGAGTGCCAAAAGGATGGTATATATACCGAATCGGTTGATTAGACTCAGCGTGTGGTTTATGTATAATGACTGAGTACGTAACCAGAATATGACGTTATACTGACGAACATATACATCTAAATCTGTACAAATACTCTAGCTAGATCTCCTTGGCCAACTCTCATGATCCACGGAAAAGCCACATGTACACCCCACGTCCTACGATATAGATCCAGGAGAACAAGGAGCCAGCTCAGTATAAATATACACAAGATAATCCGCAGTCAGGGCTCGTCCTGCAGCACCGAAATTTAAGATCATGATATTCAACTCTATTTTTTTTGTGTGCTAGTGTTCTAGCAACCACTTTCAGTACTATTTGAGCTCTGGTAAAACTCCTAATATCATGGCCGCGATGCACAAAATTTAAGTTTACTGACGCAGGTTTTCGGGCTACCACAGAGTAATGATTACACGGTGTTGCGATCACCATATACTACGCAACGCCGTAAAATCTCATTTTCCTAATAAATTTGCCAAACATTACACAATATGCCACGATTTTCTCGGGAAAGATCCGGAACAGAGAATTTTTTATGTAACCGACCCCGCCATCTTGCAGGATTGCGATATCAGAACAACATATTTGCGAAACGCATTCTATATAGCTCCTATTATAATTTAATGCGACGACCGGCACTAAGATACTGAAAACATTACTGCTCCATTTATGATTACTATACTCGCAGTACTATAGGGCCTACAATGCTCAAACTGCAATCATTTGGCCTAGCTTAGATGCTATGCCACAGAACTAATATGCAAGCACTGAGTGATATTTCATGACGCAATCGCGCTGCTGTTTCTGTTGGCGCTTACATCGCAGAAAAGCGATAATGAGCAGGCAAATAGCCATCATAGGGCTTAGGAGCTACATACGAGTTTGCATTTATATAGTTTTTCTATCTAAGCTCCGCATCCGATTAATTGAGCAAAACGATCGAGATTAAGGCTGACACGGCATAAGGGATAATTGGTGGAGTTGTGTTAAACACCGGCTTAATCCCGATTATTTAGATGTTTGCACACTGAGCCCTATATCTCGGAGTACTCTGTTAACCAGACCACGATCCCCGCGAGCCGTACCTCCTATTGTCTTCCTAAAACAGAAAAAAAAAATTGGTTTCCATTTATTGTGGTGGCGTATCTATGTCGTCTACGCAAATGCCGCTACGCTATTATCTAAATACAATCAACTACGGCACTGTATGATTCAGAGATTCCCCTACTACAGTACCGAACTCGGTGTGGGATATCAAACTGGATCAACAATCAGCAAAACCAAGGCGGCCCGGCATGCGGCGCGAATCTTTTCGGAAACCGAAAGTCGATAAAGTTGTCTACAAATAGATATTTAGATATCGCTAAGCTCAACTAGCTGCTATATAAATTTATAGGTAGTAGCTATAGCTCTAGATCTGCTAGCTTATATACATTATAGCTACAGCTACGGCTCAGCTAGCTTATATCGCTATAGCTATAGCTCAGCTCAGCTACATGTAGCTAACTGATATCGGAAGTCTTTCTTCAATACTTCAGATATGAAAAGTATCAGACAATCCCCGCAATGACTTCTTCCCTAGGGGTGATTTATTAATGTTAGTCACTGTCGTTTATTCCTTTTCACGTACCTTTTTAGAAAATGGTATCTAATGTAACTTATAAGTGTAAAAAGACTAAAAGTAAAAGGGGAAATGTCGTATAAGTATTATTCAGCAGATCTATCAGTTGGGAGGCTACCTCCAAAACATATAAGAGTAGAAAAGAGATGTATCTATAGCGCTCGATTATTGGTTTGAGTCGTAGTAGAGATACTCTCTAGACATTAGGATTCATAACCCTAGCCCTGTTTTATTTTGAGCTTCGCCAAGAATATGGCTGATCGGTCTTAGCTCCGGGCCCACCTTTGAATGATTCTTCTCTTCTTATCTAGTAATGTGCAATCCTTGTCTATGCCGGTGAGAGAGCCCCTGTCTTTCGTACAGCCACTCTGCAAAAGCGATTTCGGAGTGAGACATTTCTCCATTATATATAACCGTGGCCGCGGTCACCAAAAATCCCCCACTTTCTCACTGACCAACTAATGGCGTTCGGAATTAATGAAGAATAAAGATTAATGGCTTATCTTTACTTATATATAATTTGAATATTAATATCAACATTACGGGTGCCACAGACTGCGCATTGACATTAAAACCAAATCACGAATACTTTTGTAGAGTGGCTGTACTAAGTAGCTTTTGCTGTACAGGCAAGGTTTCCAGTGGTAGAAACTGGTTGTGATAGAACACAAAATCGCACCGACTACTAGATCAAGGGACTCAACCTGTACTAACTGTACCCCCTATTTATCTTGACAGTTTGAACCGGTTTAACTGCTTGAACAGCGGTTCTATGTCTTGGCATACTCACTATGATAACTGTGCTAAAAACAGCTATTCACGCTCTCAAACGGGGTGTTCGAGCTTCGGAGTGACGTGTTCGAGCTCACGAACTGCGGTGTTCGAGCTCACGAACATGAGGTGTATAAACCGTTTAAACCGTTGGTATAACTGGTTTTGCAGATTTCTAAACTGTTCAAACTATTTATTGAGGGCGACAAGAACTGCACCAACTGTTAAGTTAAACGGTTCAGTTAAACCGGTTTGAACCATATAACCTGTAAACCACTAGAAACCTTATATACAGGTTTAAGGATTATCATGCAAAAAAAAGGTTCCGAAGATAGATAAGAAGTAGTTGGATCAGAAACATAACCTAGCCAGAGCGTATTAAGATCGATCTCTTTCAATATGGATATTAAGTCGATGAGTTGCGGGATTGCGACATGAAATATCACTCGAAAGGATAGTTCCCGCGCCTTTTTCTTTTTTGTTTAATTCATTAGTTCCTGCGCCTTGATGGCTAATAGTCTCATGAATCGCGCGCGCATACCAGTGATGATACTTGTTTAGTAACTTCTCTCTAGTTGCGCATTTGTGCTTCAAGGAATTCCTCGAGTACAAGAGTGCTCACGCCGCAAGACAACTAACACAGCATGTATTTTTCTAGGTGGGCCATGCACACTTATAGGCGCCGGGTTGATGAGTTCTAGCCTGTGTGTACACGTGCGAGAATTACATTTTTTCAGCTGAGGAAGGCCAAAATTTTAATATGGGAGATTTAGATGCAATATACGTATAGGTCACTGACATATATCCATGCAAGAGATCCCGTCGTACTCGCAAAGCCGGCGCCTTGGAATCCCTCCTTGTCGGTTTCCAGTGTCTCAGCGCCCCGGTATTTCCTGCGCGGAGATCATTACCCTCTCTGCCTATTTTGATGTCTCGGTTGATAACTTGTTGATTATCTCGATAGCTAGATTACCGGCTGCAGGCGTAGGGTAGACTCGACAAGCACTATAATAATGCCACCGACGGAAGACTCCATTAAGCGGAAGGTTTTGGATGTAGGCCCCGTGTTCGGAAAAGAAAATCTAGCCCTGCCATAAGGTACCGCAGGATTACTATATCCCTAAGTTATATATATTACCTCACATATGATTTCAGGCCGTTTAGGAAACAGTGACCGTAACCGATCTTATATTGATCTGCACTTATATTGGGCCATGGCCCAAAAGAATGCCACCGGAAGAGAACTTCCGGAAAAAGCTATATGAACTCTGGTATATAGTAGCGTCGTACTAAGTATTGTATAATCAATAGTACAACTATACATGTATACTTGAGTCAATGATCCTGCGTACTCAAAGCCTCATAAGATATTTGAGAAACGGTGGTGTTCTGTATGTATAGATAGAGGCGTTCTCGGCATCTGTATGACGCCTAGGCCCATCTACACTGTCTCTACCTACTTGGCAAACTCACGGCATTTCACTGTACCCTAGTCATGATCAGCTAGTAAATTCTGTTTCACACTCCTTATCCAAAGAATATCTGTAGTATGAGAACATATATACCGAATTCTTTTAATTTATCATCGATGATTGCTGGCATTAGATATCGTTCTAAGTTTTTGTTGGTGTATTTCCTGGACATCTAATGAATTCAATTAAAACCCACACGCTCACTATACAAAGTGGATCATCGAGATCTTTCTGTTCTACTCGCGACAGGCCTGAAGTACCCGAATATGCAGCCGCAAGTTTTTGGTGTATTTTTGACTTCTATACCAATGGAAATTGCAGATTAGGACGTACATTTCCGGGTACTTATTACCTACTGCGAGTATTTCTCTTAGGACCGTCTGCATGTAATATGTTAAAAGGGCTGTATCGTGGTAGCATATGCATTAGTCGTTAGTTCCTCCCTCGATTGAGCTCATACTAATCATGCGAGAGCCATACCTACCTCACCGGTATATCAACTTACAGATAGCAAAAAACATTTCCATATTGGTACTAGGTCTTATTTGAGTTTTCCACGGCGGACGATAGGATTGGAAATGTAAATCGGTGGGACCCATACCAGCAGAAACTTTCCCACGTGGCCGCCAAGATCCCATCTTACCAGTCAATTGAAGCACACATGTCGAATCAGTCCTTTTGGCCACATATCGTGTCTAAAATATCAACATTCAATATCAGAAGTGTTGGCATGTGTGGCGTGAGTTGTTTATCCAGCCAGTGCGGTACTTTAGTTGGTCTCAGGAGGTCAATGTTTCAACCAGTTACATATGTAGTTATACCTCTTGGCCTCAGAAGCTCCTGGTGGACGCTGGTTGGCATGGCGACGCCTATTCGCACCCCGCCGGCCGGCTATGCCATCGCCGTACGTATCCACCGCAATTGACACATCACCACAAACCATATCAAATCAGTATTGAGATTCTAAGCATAATGTGCCCTACATATAATCTTTCCCCTGGGATGAAACGGCGTCACCTCGTTAAGCTTTAGCGTAACCGCAGCGGCAAAGAGTTCAAGTAGGCAGAAAGAGCTAGAGATGTAGTCTAGGATTGGCGGCTAGATACTCTGTCCTGGGTACCCCAGTAAAACTCCAGGCAGCTATCTGGAGTTAGACACCTTTGCGTAGATATCCAATTTATGTCCGCCGGTGCACCTCGCGTAGCGAAAATTACAGCGGCAGCTAGCTGGGAACCCCCCGTAAGATATCATTGACAGGGGAGATATCAAAATTCCAAATATTGCCAGGTGTGGCTCAATTTTGAACTAGTCCAATCCTCTAATAATGAAGGTAAATCATCGTCTTTAGCGCTCCTGCGGTCAATCGAGAGCAGTCAGAACTTTGGTAGAATGGGTATCATTGAAATGTGAAAATTGGTACTCATGCGGATTCTCCAAAAACAGGAATCCGAAGATAAAGATGATATCTGCAATTTCCACTCAGCACACTAGCACATTGATTGTGCAGTAGGTTATAATTATGTACTTGCTAGACCTAATCAGCTGCCGGTATCCTCGTCTCGTCGCTACCAACTTTCCCGGTTGCATAGCCGCTCCCGCTTCCACGCACCTGGGCTTCATCTAGATATCGAAAGAACCATTCCCGCGCCCGGGTCCCAATCACACCCCTCACTTTCTTCTCTTCAGCTCCGATCTCCACCATTTTCTCCCACTCCTCCTCAATCACGTCGTTCTCTATCCACCTGACAAATTGCATTGTGCTACCCTTTCCTTGCTCCAGGAGCTCCATCTCACTCAGATACTCAATCCCCTGTTCAAACCGTGCCTCCGTGATCGCATGATCGACAAACACACTTGCAAGCTTCAATGCATCGGGGTCTTTCGGTGGGGTCGGCTTAATTCTGCTAACTACCTCAAACCTTTCTCCCTTTGTCTTGAAGTTCCACAACATGGTCCTATTTAGCGGCCAATCCTCGCCCTCGAATAGAATCATCGTCCACACCAGACCTTCGCCAGTTCCTGATATCTTTTTCCCCGCCGAGTCTATAAATGATGCGGCAAAGGGGCACTCATTCTCAACTTCTGCCGTGACCTCGTAAAGCCACTCGGAAACAGCTTTCGTGTCCTCGAAGAAATCAACCACCACATCCCATATCTTCCAATTCATAATGTTAAAGATACGCTCCTCCGGTAGACATACATCGGCGTATCGGCGCATATCAACCCACACCCCATCAATCCTGATATTAAATATGCAAAAGAACCTTGGAATCCTGTTTATTGCCACATTTCGGTAGATATCACGCCCGGCAACCTCCCCTGCAATCATAATTTCTGAAAACGGGGTATCGGCAGGCAAGGATGCTGACGAAGTGTAGATCCTCATAGCAGCCTCGACGAGAAAGTGGAGTGGACGATTCGAGAGCTGAGACGGTATGGGGCCTTTGTCTTGAGAGGTTACGACCCTGTTCCTGGATTGGAAGGTCGGGTTGTGTGTATCATTCTGCCTGAATATCTAGAGATAAATGTCAATTAATGCTAATTTTCCTGGCCTCTGTGTAGATAACAGGTGCTATCTGCATCCTACCGGGGCAAGAGCGGAAGTTTTACTCACGATTGTGGCGTTATAACCATGCAGTTTCAAGGTGCCCATAAAGCGTGCTCTAGAAGGAAACGGCAGTGGCTCGCCTTTTCGAGCTGCGTCTTTCAATGCCGGTACATGACGTTTTACAAAGTTCTCAAATGTTAGGGTGTGGGGATAAGGTGTATGAGCTGTTTGAGCACCACTTTTCTCACTTGTAGCTTGCTGGGTATTTGTAGTTTGCAGGGCGTGAGTTGTCATATCTACAGTGAATTTTTACAGCTGATATTATAGTTATATTCAATGATCCTAACTAGGATACAGCGAGAAACCTTGATATCTTTAATAATCATATCCATATGTTAGAATACTTCATGAAGAAATAGCAGTTCAAAATATACCTGATTTCTAACTTCAGACAAGCCCTAACCTCAGTAACTGGACTACCAGGCGCGTCTTAATTGATTGAGATATTGGTTAGTTAGGAGATTTGTTTCGATCTTTGAACTTGCAGGAATTTCGCCCAGGGAGGATCAATATTGTCGGGACCTAATATATTGTTATGACGTGACTCACCACTCTACTCTCTACCTCGTTCAATACGAGTACAGTACCTACTGTACCTACTTTGAGCCCGTTGTCTGAATTCCCGTAATATGACTCTTTTGAATCGGCTATGGAGTACAATCTGGGAAGAAAGTGCAGAACGAACAATCCCTGTCACTCCGCTAACTACGTGAAGTCAACAGAATCGTAATCGAAGATCTTCTCAGCCAGTAGAAAGCGAGCACATCGTCAAAAATCCAGGTGCTCCTCCAAAGAATATGCAAGCATCATCCCTCTAATGTTATTTAGTACCTTGCTAGTATGTACTGTGCGGCTCTGTTAAAGTGGCTGGTGTTTATGCCTAAGCGTCGTGAGTTGTGGTGGGGGTACATAACTTCTGCCATGTACCACCACTCTCTCTCGTCAGTTATGCACTCAGTCCCTTTCCCTAGAATACAGTACCTACCACTGTAATTAATCCAGGTCGGACCTTCCTGTGGGGGAACACCTGCAGAAATCGGAACAAGATCTAGATGTTTCACGGCGGGAAATTCCGGGGTTGCACGTAAAAAAGCGGCCTAGCTGATCGGATGTTACACACCAACGTTAGAGGTACACTACATGTAGTTCTCATACTTGCCGTGAATCTCAAATTCCATTTCTTTAATTCCCCGCGACTCAACCCCGTCATTCCGAACCCTAACTTCACTTTATATCAGTGTGCGGTAGTAATCTGAAAAAGTCCAAAACGGAGTAACTTTCCTATGGGCCGGCCCGTTTGAAACCGGTGGGGTGAATATTGCCAACCGAGCTCCATTGTAGGTCTTGTCCGAAGCTGGGCCATGGAGCCTTGAACAATTTTGCGGCCAGATCTATTTAACATCAAGTGATAAGAATATATGAATGAGTTGCTCCTGACCGACGGCACGCTGATTATCTATTATCTCCTCGCTTGTTATCTCTTCCTTCTTTGTTTTATGGTAGCTTTTGTGTTGCGCCTCTGATGAGCAGCACCCTATCGGTCGAGAAAATCGAGAGAGGAAGTTGAATGACAGATGAAGCGGCTCTACGTCCAACACAGTCTTATCTGTAGAAATATTTTTGAGAATTGAAAATCTGACGCCTTCTACCTGCTCTAAAGACTCAAAAAAGGCAGAAAAAGCGCACGGCCATTGAAATCGTGACAGGGTTGTATTTTTCCGCTCCCTGTCCCTTATATCGAATTGTCCTGCATGTTAGGCGTTACAACCTTCGGATCCCATGTGAAAAGTTGTCTTGAATAATTGCCATGAAACCGAGATAATGAGAAGGCCCATGATCATGATAGCCTGAGATCAAAGACAGCACTCAATGCTAAGTGATTCTCCCAGCCTTGAGAGAGAGTGCTCCCGGTTGAATTAGACTGACGTACTGATGGTGTACCTCCGATATTGAATGTACAAGTAAAATCTTCCGGCTCGTACACGCCATGAGCCGGTTATGCTGAGGGCTTTTACCATGTATATCAGTCGATATATCTACATGTATGTGTGTGTTATTTTTACTTCAAAGGAAATAAGAAAAAGCTTGAGTCTGCAATTGAGCCTATATCGGATCTCTCACTCGCTCAAAACTTTGTATGTGCACGGGCGAGTTGCCTACCATGGATTGGTTAGATTTTATGTACACGGAAAGGCGGATGGATTGAGCCAATATCTAATGTCTTGTTATGTGGATCTACCTCATATAGTGCCCTATAGAAAAAGACCAGACGAACACCTCTCGGCAGTGTAATATTGAGGCCAAGAAATGCATGTTGAATATGCTCAGTGGGTCTTTGCATAGGATGCTGACTAATTAACTTGACCAATTGACGGCCTCGCAGCTAGAATTATCCTAAAGTCTTAGGTGCCGACGATCCTTTTTAAAGATATATTCCAGGAAAGAGCCTCATCACTATAGTTTAGATCTTAGAAAGTTAAGCCCGCATTTAGAAACAGGTGCTATTGCTATCTCTATTAATACCGTTAATATATTACGTTTCGATTCCTCTAACGCAATCGTGTCTAACTGCAGCATTGCCAGCTTACCTAGGTACTGCTCTACCAGTATATGTCTCCATGTGGTTGATACAACGTAAATTATAGGAGGTGGTGGTTAGAGTAGATATGGGAGGGTGTCGTGGGGGTTTATCCGCACCGACGAACGCTAATCCTAGTGCAGTTGCGCTCTCTTGCACAACATTAACACTACCTTACCACTGTTAACCCTCAGGTCTAAAGTTTTTCCGTGACAGCTTTCTTTTTCTTTTCCAGGCCTCGGAAGTTCGGCGTTATTCTTTCACTTCTATGCATATGCCGTGCTATACCATGCCATTGATACAAGGTGAGGCGAGCAAAGAAAGACCCCTTGCAGACAGGTTCATTTCGAAATGTCCGCAGCAAGCCGTCACTCCGCCATGTATGTCGTCCATAGCATCGTAAGTTAGACACGGGAGGAAATCATATCAAATGAGGATTTCCTGGTTACCGTTTTGAGACTTAAGCGGAAGGCGGATATACGGGCCGTTAATCCCGCTCTTGCACGGTGCTACCTAGATCACTCTGGGCTATCGATGTGGCATTCGAAAGCTAAGTCAGTAATTATTATTATTTTTTGCGTCCTTATACCTAAGCTACTAGATATCTTGAAACGGTAACGTAACTATTTTGAGGTGGTCTCAGCTTTGAGCTTGCATTGGGTTTACTCTAGGATGAGCTGATTTAGCTTGAACCCGGACCCTTGGTGCTATGTTTTGTTTTTTGTAAAGATGTCGGTTTATAAATACTGTGTTTCTCGCTCTTTTCTGTCTATCTCAAAAATCATCCCATTAGCTATCATTCAATAAGTACTATTCTCAAAGTATCACGTCAGATCGACCAACATACAAGTTATTACCATTACTCTCCTTCTCGCATTCAATATCAATTGATTATCATTTAGGTAGATAATAGCCTTCAAAGTACACTTCATAGGTGATTTTACTTACCTTTCAATATAGATATCACACTCGGATTCTAAGCCCCGAACAAATTCATTTGTCCATCGAGATGTCTGTTCAAGGCGATGCCCAGCACTCCGAACGTCGCATGGAAGGCAATCGTCAACTTAATCTCCAGCTCGCCGCCGCTCGGGCCGGCACTGCCATTCCCCCAATTGATGCCTCTATCGTTCGAGAAGAAGCTTTCATCCAAGACAATTCCACCCCGGGCCCTGCGAATCCTATGGAGCGATATTTGCAGTTGGAACCCCAACAGGATGCATATGTTATCTATACAAGAACTGCTACACAGAATGAGTTGAAAGCACGTGGGATCTTTAGGAATTGACGATTTGTGCAAAAATGAGAGGGTTGTAAATACGTTTTGTGGAGGATGTTTAACTGTTTTTCGGTGTAAAGGGAAACGGAGTTCTTACATTTGTTTTTTCTTTCATTTTCTTTAGATTATCTGTGTTTCGAAACTTGTATGGGAAATGAAGTAGGGAGGATACTGTTACTCCATGCTAGGCCGTATCTTTACATCTACCAATTATTCTCGCAGCATGTTCATTCTAGTTTGTTCAAAGTCCTGATTCTCAAATGACGTAACTGAGTCAACAGAGTATCCTCCAATATGCGCATTTCTTGTAAGATATTTCCACAAGGTCCGCCTCTCGGATAAGCAATCGTAACCACTACGTTCGGATACACCACCTCAATTCAACCGGTATCGCGTATAGAAGGCCTTGTGGATTTTTGAACTATTGTCTGATGGAGCCCAATCCGTAGAATCACCGTACTAGGCGTTGTTATAGGCTGTACGACAACGGCAATACCTCTTGTGGAAGATCGGTGGAAAAAAGAAGAAAAAAAGGGATCGCTGGTTCGAGGGTAAAAATAGGAATTTCGGAAGGAGTTTATGGGCCGTTGTACCCTCGGCTTGAGTCGAAGTTACCATTGACAGGCTGCATCTGATATCGCTCCGGGAGACGTGGTCCAATCTCCCATATTTGAGGGACGGAGTAGCACTTCAATGCCTTAGGTATATGTAGCAACCCTAGATGATTATCGTATGAGCCATGGTGCTGGAAAGACGGGAAGTAGATTGAAGTAAGAACACTAAGCTCTTATCACTAGATTTATGCATGAATACGAAGGAATGTCGGGAAACATACGCTGTATAGAAGGCGAAATGTTTCCATGCCAAACAAAAAGGGAGCAAGGTTTAGGGTGTGTACGCTGAGAAAATGGCGATCAGGGGCTATCGCCGGAAAATAAAAATTAGCCTGCTTCAGAAATACATCCAGGGATCATCTGTCGGCCGGCGGGTAGGCGGGCGCAACTGGGGGCCAAAGATTAATAGCATCGGGATCTATATGCGCTTTTAGTATCGAATAATAGGGGTTTGATACTAAGAATTTCTTTGAGACCTGCAAATAAGCATCAATATGGACCTCTTGTTCAATCTATCCGGTAATTTTCGTACGTGACCGCCCGACTTTTTGCGACCAAAAACTAAGTGTACATAGCATGGAGCCATTCTTACATAAAATCAGGAGCGTCCCAGGTCTCAAGACATAATGCACGAGATTTTCATATCCCATTTTATCGTTACGCTAGTTAGGCTAACCTAAGAATTTTAGGATACCGTGTCCAGTACGTATATATTCTCATCATCTTGTATATAGCTCCTGCTATAGTATTGATAATCCTATTTCTAGGACACGTTTTTTTGAATACGTTAGACCGTTCGAGGATAAGAACTTAATGATTTTCATTATACGCGAGGCGCTTCTATATGTGTATACGTAATATGTATACAACTCGGTCAAAAGGGATCCCCAGATATATCATACTTCAAATGAAATTATTTTTTCGTTTCAGGGTAATTGGAGGATTTGGAGATTCGTCATCGCCAGTGCATGCGGAAAACAAATAACTCCATGAAAATGTACTATAATGCCGAACCGTGCGACACCGACGTAAGACAGTGATATATAATATGAACGGCCGTTTTCGTTAATAACACCATTCGCACGATACTCATGAGGTATCACTCGGGTGCCTAGTTCGCGGTGCCAACGATGCTTCAAGTGGTAAGCCTCAAATAGGAGATAGGCTTAAATTATGGGCCGGTCTAACACCCAAGTATATTTGGTTGTTGAAGAATTGCGCCAAGCCTAGTTCTCTATTCTGAATGAGATAACGACCGCTTCATTCGGCATCATTTGGTATCGTGACTTTCTCACTGTTTGTTTTCTTTTTCTTCTTCTTGTGACACTTGGATGTTGCACGTAGCATCTCGGAATTGTAGCCGAAGCAGTATTTGCTTTTTGTTATCGGGGTGTGTCGGAATTAGCGAGAATGCCAAGAATTAGTGGATTTAACAAATCCGGAGTGAAATATGACATTGATGCTTTGATATAATTGAATGTAGCCAAAATTTTGATATATTGAGAGGTAAAAATCTCTCCATAACTTTGGAGAATCGAACCCGTTGAGCTTGGGTAAATTAGTCGGATGACCAATTGTGTAGATAGCTCTTGTTACTTATGCTAAACGCTGCCCACCGTGTATATCGATATCATGTAGGCTTGCTCGACGTGTTTGTATTTCCAGCCTCACATTAGCTGCCATTTTCCAATACCACGCGTCACACAACCCCGCGATTTAAACAATGATGTCTAGTAAGCTCCCTACCTCTAATATTTCAGCCCCTGCTCTGTTCATCGATCCCGTGCGCAGGGCTAGCTACCGTAGCCCTACAGCCCAGGCGGCTTTTCGGTCCGGTAGAACGGCCCCAATCCATTGACACAAGTTATCCTAGTAGTGTTTGTGCGGCTAACCCAGGAAATTCTGTTTTGAAGTTGATGCGATCCCAAAACCCCCTTGGATGTCTCAGAAGGTGGCCGGGAATGTGGCCTCGGAATTTGGGTATGGCCATATGTTTGGGGTGAGGTTGGGATAGTAGTGGAGCAACTGCTGCAAGCACTTGATCAGTTAGAGAAAAACCTTTTTCTAGACGGCAGTTTTCAATTGGTTGAAACATTGAGGCGATTGTGATCGATCAAACCTTCATGATCAGTCATCGAAGGTTCTAGACTCACACCACACCCCCAACCGCCGGATGGGAGCAAGGACTGTCATCAGTATTTTGGCCTGTTCGAGGGATGGAAGAGGAGTCTTGGTCTTGGGGTGCATAGTAAGTTGTTTAGTGCCAAGTGTAGAAAGACATCAATGTTAGCTGAGGCTTGTGATGTTATGGGGCACTGACGCGATGGGTTATGCAAGAACACGCCGTAACCCCCCAACACTACATGTATAAAAAAGCCAAGAGTCGCAAACAACCCCTGTTCAGCCCTACGGACCGGCCCCCAAAGCGCAATTTATCCTCTCCGGTCGAGGACACCTGCACCCCAACCTCAACATCTCAACATTCACAACACACAAAATAATTTGGGCTCTAGAGCTCGAGTTTCCTCTTGTTTCTACAATTGCACGTAAGTAGGACCAGATTGTTCTCATCTTTCCTGGTTGCACGAAAATTCTTAGATGGAGATCGCTGACTATTAACTGAGAGTTAAGAGTCAAGATATCACTGCTGATTAACATAGGTGACTTGTGCCTTAACATATCCATTAATGGTATATTATTATTGGTCGGAAGTTTTGCTCCGTTTACAGGCTTCCCTTACCATATGCACACCAAAGGCGTATCTTTTCTTTCATATACAGCTGTATACTAACTCCAGAAACATACTTCTTCTGTATCAGCATTAGTGTTACTAAACCAGGAGGTGGGGGGGATCTCTCTGCAACTCCGAGTGCTTCAAGAGAGTAAGCAACACTGGCAGGCTACACTCGATCTTTGTTGGGAAGAGAGCATTGTCGAGACCGAAATATTCCCCCTTGAATAACAGGAACCACTATGTTAATCAATACACATGTGCCTTGAAGTTCGACCCTTGCCTCACTTGACACACAAAAGGTGGCCTAACTTCAAGAACTCGAAAGCCAGGAGATGCGAAGGGCAACTAAATGTGAAGAATAACCTCCCTTTTAATTACCGGCAGCGCAATCTTCCGATTCATGAGCACCATTCAAGGTGACCAGGCCTCGGACTCCAGCCCTACCAACCCTCCTCCGAGCACCACCGAACAGCTATAGATATCACAATAACAAACGCTCCGGTATTTCCCAATCTTATCACCTCTAGCTATCTGTCAGGTGTACGATACTTAAACAGATAAACAAACTACATGTGGGTATTAAAATACTAACACATATCCAATCGGGCTTCTCGTCAGCTCTCTTATGTCCTCTCCTTAGAGCCCTGATAGTCTTAGCACAGTTGAGATTTCAAAAATGGATAAAGCAAATAGTGTATGGTACGAGCTGTTCGAGACGAGTCTGACCCGGAGCTCGAGCTGGATCGGACTGTGCGAACGAAGACTTGGGATGTTCAAACTCTGGAGCTCTCATTAAAATAGCTAAAAAAAAAAAAAGAAAATGGTCATCGCGATATACTTCTCACTTTTAAGGACGAACTCAGAGGATCTATTTTCGTTATATTATTCAATTTTGCCATCATCAATCCATTACCAATAGTCCAAAAGCACAGGCCTAAGCTCGAGTCCTCAATACCAGCTCAAGCTGGCTTGGGCTCGTGAGAAGGGGGTTTGAGGTGTTCGAGTCCAAAGCTCGAGCCCAAAATTCGAGCCAGCTCGTCTCATGCCCAATACTAAAAGCAATTCTGTCTTAAATGACACCCCCCTCGCTGTCAACCACCGCATAATGGCGCCTTTTTTTGTTGGCTGTGGTTACCGTTAACTACACAGGCATGGAGTTAAGTGATTTTGAAACGAAACAATATGTTCTGATCTGGATAGTAAAGCCACGCGCTCTAGAAGAAAAGCCTCCCCGATAAATCTCTACATATCCTACTTAGCGATCCACAGAAGTCGCTACCTTCATGGATGTTTGTATAGCGTCGAATACATACAAGCTGGAGGCTCTAAATTGTGTATATATATCAAATATAAGATTTTACCCCCTTAACAATCAATACGCCCCGTCCACCGGCACTATTCTGTAATCTACGTTCGACCTTATTGAAGAGAATGTATTTATACTATAAGACTTCCAATGAGCGCGTAGAAGCAGTATCATATTTTGAATGAAGCCGTGGGACATCGCGCCGGGCACCAAGAAGAGAATCCAGGAACACTGTCTCTACATATAGCGGAGGAGCTATAATTCGTTATATTTACAAACCTGAACTCGGAAAATCAATGATAACAATAGATTAGTACAAGTGCAGTGCGACGCTGTAGTCAGGGAATGGAATACCTATTCCGACTTGAATATCTGTTTGTCCACATAGATTAGCTAAAGCTTAGGAAAGGAATAGAAATATTGTCTAATCTATTTACGTTAATCGTTAAAATCTCTGGCATGAGTATGTAACTGTAGCTGTATTATACTAGTTCCTATTTCTAAATAAAGTACTCACATTCCGAGAGTTCGAAGCTGATATATGAGTGTATATAGCAGTTAATTCTAGGTGTGAGTGTTTGTCCATCCATGTTAGCTCCCTTCCCGGAATTTCTTTATCTCGGGAGTAATTCTTTGTCTAAACGGTATGTAGCTCTAACTAATAGAAAGCTTCGTGATTACAATGAGGAAGCTTAGTATTTAGATATCGATAGTAGAAGTACATGTAAGACAGACCCCCGGGGCCCCACATATAGGCAGTACGTAAGACAAACACAATTCCCAATGACCGCTATTATTACTCCCCTCCCTATACCTAATCTCCAACTCCAAGTTTCACCAAGAAAGAGCGCCACAAAACGCCACACACAATCCCCCCTCAGGGAAGCATCACTCGGTTGTGGCGGTGCATCCCGAGTGACACATTATGACATACAAGCCCAACACGCAAGAAACCGCCGCAGCACCAGTAGTACATGTAGTAAACTCAGGCCTCTCTACATCATCAAGGTTTTAGAAACATTTCGCTCAAACATTTCACTCCCACATTGGCCACTCTATCAAACATATCACCTTTCCCCGCTCCCCCCAGATTTTACCCCTCCCTCCCCTAGATCGACCACTCTTCCCTATGTGGTCTTCTCATACTCCAGTTCCCTCAAGTACACCCTCTTCCGCGCCGCATACCTCGCCTCAGCACGCTCCGCCTCCACAATGGCCGCCACATACTCCTTCCCGTTGACCTTGACGTTGCGGGTACGAGCTGTCCATCCATCTCCATGTTAGCTTACTTCCTTCTTCTCGCTATATGAGAGGGGTGTGGGGGGCGAATTACTGGCAATTTCCAGCAGGAGGCGAACGTAGGGGCTTGGACCGCGGGGGGCTGTGGGCGCGGAGTTGCCCGCCTGCTGTGCGAGGGAGAGGAGCTTGTCGAATGATGCGGCAGAGTCGGTGGTGGGGGTGGAAGTGTCCATTTTTTCTTTCGGAGGGGGGGGTTAGAAGTGGGGGTTAGTCGTTGGAGAGATTATCGGGAGATACACTGATGTTTAGGAAGAGGGGAGGGGGGGATAGTACCGTTGTTTATGAAGTTTTGTATCTTGTGTGTATTAGAGATTCAATGACAGGAACTTTGATGAGAAGAAGAAGAGTGTTGGGTGGCTAAAAAGAGAAAGTAAAGAAGAAAAAAGGGAAAAAAAAACCCGTGTTACTCAGTGCCGTGGGGAAAACGTGTTTCCCCACGCACATGTGGCGTAAGTCACAACCGTTTGAAATAAAGCCACGCAGCTTACCAAGTGGAAAACCTAACATACATGCCCTCATAGCTTTCACGCTCCCTGAACTTCCCTCCCTTTGCTTGAAAATGCCAGGAGAGAGTTAAGGTGCCCCGTCATTGAATATCACTCGGACGAGTGATATATCATGATGGCACCTTGATTTTTTTCTTTTCTTTTTTTCTTTTTTTGAATGATGGCGCCTTGGGACCGTATTATCTAGATGAAGGGGACTATAGAAGAGATTTAGAGGGCGGATATTGTGTAGCATATGAAGAACACACCGCATACAAGTGTGCTCGTTGGGCGTCGAGTCGTGCCTGACCGCTCATTGGGGGTGTCCTTCACTTCGACTTCAAGAACTCACGCGATACGAAAATCTACATCGGTCTTTGTTTATCTAAATCCGGACACTTAGGCGAGCGCTATGTGTGGAGATTGATTGGTTGGTTGATGGTGGTGGGGCACTTAGAGATCTATTGGGATTTATTTCTGCTTCGCTAATTACAAGCTTCATCGTCTGGGTTGGATGATCAGCGATCCTACGGTGGAGACAACCAACAAGACTTGATACCGCTAGAGGCTATCCTATAAGATTTCCAAAGCTTCAGGTATCTCATTCTCTGGGCTCTGCATGTAATTCATAGGGTTTTCGTGCTCGACGATCCGAGGCGTGGCACAGAGCCCCCCCTCCCCCAACCTCGCGGTGGCAGCAAAAAAAAAAAAAAATGGGAGAGGAGAGCGAGGACTCGAACCCCGGACCACCCGATGCAGTGGACGCACAGAGCTCCTATTTGTATACGATAGGGCCTGATTATTGTTGGCACTGAACCGAGCTCCTAGCCATTAGGACATCTCCTCTCGATGGTAAAAGTTCCTTTCTCGCTTTTAACGGCCGGCTGAGCAGGAAGCATAGTAGCCGCTACGCCCGATGAGGCAGCGCGTGATAGGCAAGCCGGAAGTACTCCTTTGAGTCTTCCGCTTGCCTATCCCCCCCTCTCCTTCCTCCCCCCCCCCCCCATAGTGCCCCGCCCAATCCTCCCCACCAACTCGTACGCGGCTGAGGGAGCCAACCCAGCACGAGGCACATGGTGCTATGAGCTGAGGAGAGCAGATCTTGAAGACACGGCTCTGCAACACCCAGCCCTCAGCATTTTTGCATCTCAACTCTCATCTCTGGCACAGTCCGGATTGGCCCATCCTCCTACGCAGCTCATCCCGGGAGGAGGAGAAGGAGGGATGATAAAGGAGTAGATGATTGAAAGATGGTACCACCCCAACCCATGAGACCGGAGGCAAAGCTGACCATCTATCCCAGTCTTTAAGAATGTCGATGCGGTCTTCTTCTCTCCGCAAGTGCGCAGTCCGGAGATATAACAGAGAAAAGTCCCCTCTCCCGGCTGCGGTACGACTCGCGTCACGAGTACTGAGCCTAGGCTCGTTCCCCGGCGACGGACCTAAACTCCTGTATCACATAGTGCAGGAGAGGCTATGCACGTTATGATCCCTCCGACCAGTCATGAAGTATGCTTTCTCAAGTTTAGGATACCCTTCCTTCGTTCCCGCAGCTAATAAAGTGGATAGAGTAACCCCCAAATAATCAACGATTGAAGTCGGCAGCGGATTCGCATGGAAATTCACATACTCCATAAAAAACATCCATCTTTTAATGATCGTTCATAACACGCCACAACAAACGCATGCAACAGATTACCGGTGGCAGTGAGTATCGGTCACTCGTGGTTCACCTGAGCACCGGCTCCCGCTCGGTCGATAAGTCGAGGCCGTACCGCTGGGGGCGGGCATCTCTGCCACCCCAGACATTGAAACGACGTTCGGTGTCGTCTGTCAGCGGCTCGATCCTACTATGACGCTGCCATCGAGGGATATCGCCCATGGGCACGCAGGAAGCCGGGCCCGTTGGTCCATCTCTCCATCGAGTCGTGATACTGCAAAGAAACGCTGCGCGATGTTGATGCCACTGTAATGGCTGTGCAGCGATGATAAGAAGGAGAAGAAGAAGAAGAAGATGATGTTGGAGGAGGAGATGAGGTTGGGATCGGGAGAGATTTAAGACTGAGGTCACTCTTAGGCACGTGACAGGCTTTGTGGCGCTGGGCATACGCGGCAAGTGTGCCTGCCGCCTTACCTATTTCTGCCCAGCGTGGTCCCGCCGCTTACCTGTTTTGGCATTTGTTACAATTCGTACTAATATTACGTTATCTTCTTAGGCTTTTTAAATAATTGACATACGCTCGGGCCGGTTACAGCAAGTATACGGGCTATACGCGCGGTGGGCCGGGCTTTGGATATTCAGGGTCAACGAGAGTAATATGTGGGCCAGTTTTGATTAAACCGTGGAATGCCGATGTTTGTGAGTACAATATACGTACATTATCTCCATCCATTTTCTAAAAAGGTAGAACTAAATCGGCTACATTATATTTACCTCTTGCGACATTAATGGATGCTTTTAGAGAGCCCGTATATTACACTACTTCGGTTGGTTGGATCAACCGGGCAGGGCCCACACTTCTTTCATGGGGCGGGCCAGGCCGGGCCATGGACAAAGGTCTACTCTGCAGGTTCTGCAACAGATACCGCCTCTGCTCCCAAAACGCGCCGGCATCGCCACTGCTGCTCTCAGATTACTGGGCGTCTCGCATCACCCTGGACGACCGCATCACCACCATTTACCTTGGGGATGGTGGTTTGGATGGAGGAGAAAGTTGGGCAAATATCGACCAGTGTGGCCTATTAAAAGGCTTTATTGGCCCCGAAAACGATACTAATATTAGGTTAACTTGCGCTTCGAGGGTGAGCTTTAATGACGTTCGACAACAGTCCACATATAGATGGTGAAGGAACAGCGGGTTCGGAGAAGAGAAAGGCTATCTAGTCTGCTTTGAATGTCTTTAATTCTGTCGTTCTCTCGCTACAAGTTTTATCCTACAGATAAACATGATGATTCCATATTGTAATAATTTAAGGTTCATGACATTATATTATGCTTTTGCTATTTGTAGTACTATTTGTAAAGCTTCAAGTACAACAATTAACAAAGCCCAAAGCCGCAGTCCGTATAGACAAACAAACATACAAACCAACATAGACACACATGTAATATCAAAGACCGACCCGCATGCACATAACGCCTTTACAATAGTATAAGCCTTACCAAAAAAAGAAAGGAAAAAAAGAGAGGAAAAAACGTGAAACTCAAAAGCAGAAGAAAACAAGACCGCAAGGTAGAAAAATTGAAGAAAAGAAAGTAAAAAAAAGATTTATTTACTCAGAGACGAAAGGGAAAGAAAAGAGAAATGACCGTCTAGTCAAATTGCTCCGTGAACCTGCTGACCCGCTCGAAAACTTGACCCATGGGATTGTAGCGGTAGGCAAAAGTGCAAAAAAACAGAAAGACGGGATCAAGAACTACATGTATGGAGAGGGTGGATTCGGTTAGCGACTCTTGATTGTAATTGCAAGTATGATTCCAATAAAAAATCTCTATGTAGAATGAGGAGAAGGAGGACTTACCAGCGGCACCCATGATTATCAACGCGACTCGTGCGAACTCTATATCATCAAAACCGTGTTAGCAATCGTAATCCAATAAACACAAACCCATCTCAAAGTTGCGCTGCAGTACCCCATCGTGAGAACAACTACATGTACGTACCTTGATCGCCTGCCAAATAGTTAGTTGAAAAGTGACTTTCCCACGAAGTGACACTCAAAAATGTCAGATATGTGTGTTGACCCACAATTGCTCAGAGGGCGTGTGGGGGTCTCCAACACCGGGGTCTGGCGGGCCTTGGGCTTCGATAGGAACTTCTTGAAGGGTTTTTTGATGAAGTCTTTTGTACTCTTAAGCAGTGAGACTAGCTTTGTCGAGAGCCGTTTCTTCGTAAAGACGTTAGATGCGAGGCCAGCTAGATAGGATGATGTAGTTTGTGCAACATACGGGAAGGGGCTAAGAGACGGGAAGGTGCGAGCGGGTATGTGTGTGATGTTGATCAATCGCAAGGGTATGGACAGGATTGCTTACTCTTTCTTCTTTAAGGAATTTCATTTTGTCGATCGAGTTGGGATTGATGATACTGGGGTTTTCTTTTTTGTAGATTAATGGTGAGTTGATGAGAGAAGGGGGAGAAAGAAGAAAGAAAAAAATCTACGGGTTTTTATAGGTGGAGTCACTGCAATCATGTGCTGTGGCTGGCTGCGTGCGCCCTTTCTAAAAATGAAAATGAAAAAAAAAAAAAAAAAAAAAACCGCTCCCCAATTGCGAGCCACCACCCACATTTTCAAACAGAAAAGCCGCCACCCCATCAAAAGAGCAGCACACCCCATTAGATCATCAAATCCAAGCCTTTTTATCTTCCATTTCCTCTTCAATCCTGGGATAAAAGAAAGTACAGACATACTTTCCCTTCCGACACAGGCGGTCACTCGGACATCGCACGAGGCTCTGTGACGCAGATCTGATGCAGCTTGACTATCAATAGACATATGGGCTATACTAGAGAGGCTGTTGGGTATACAGTCATATATATACAGATCCATGATTACGAGGCAAGGGAGACTATTACTAATTCTGGTGATGTAGAATCTAGACACCTGTCCGACATAGAGATGACACGATGGTCGTACACCCGCGAATGAACGCCTTGAACTGGCCTCTACTGGCCACTGAACTTGAAAGATGGCTTCACGCTGCGATTTCTCCTTCAACGGGGTGGCATGATCAACGATTACCACCATGATGTTTACATTGAGAGATCGCGCGCGGCGGGCCCCAAGAGAGACCTAGAAGCGGGCAGCGCCGAAGACAGGCCGAGAGTATAGAGGGGAGTATAGAGGAATGAACGGAGATGACTGGATTCTGTTTTCTCTCGTTTCTTACTGGGGCTCAAGGCCAGTGACGAGGGATATCGTTGCCAACACGCTACTCTGCTTGTTGAAAGCGAAGGAACAGAAAGAAATCTTCATGCATCTACGTGAGTACACCTAGTGTCATATTTCGACAAGCACACAAACTAATTTGACTTTAGCTACACCTTACGCACGCTGTTTAGCACGAGAGATGGGACCCTAGAGCAACATCCGACTATGTTCTATGCGTAAAAGATAGTCGTGGATAAACATGATGTATCGAAGGCACATTTTGTGCACCGACTGTCTAGTCTCTATGAACAAGAGACAAAGAGGCCTAGGAGTTTGACCAATCCTTTGGTGAGTACATCACCATGCAAAGAATTTCATTCGTAAACTAATTACAATTTCTGAATCGTTACAGATTAGGATCACACGCGTCAGGGGAGATTCGGTGTTGGTGCGGCCCGTAGGGTGTTGGAACCTCGTGTTTGAAGATTTTCGATGCGGAGAATGATTTTGCCCCCCTTAGCCCCCTACGCGGAGTGGCTTAAGCAAGAAGAGTTGGAGGGAGATAATGGAGAATGAGAAGAACGGGAAAAGACGGAGGGGAGAGGATATGCCGAAGGGCTCAGCACAACATCCACTCTTTCCCTGGGCAGTAGCCACCGATGGTACATGGTATTAAAGGTGAATCATGGCCCACAAGGCTCTGATTTTACGGGCCCGAAGTCCCTCGAACTCCAGGAATGTTCACGGACACAGCAAAGAATCCCCACAGGTAGTTGAACCTCTTGTGCCATCGGTATGAAAGACATAACTATTGCTCCGTGAGTACAAATATTGCACCACCTCACAAATACCCAAGCACTACTAACTTTGCTAAAGCCTTAGATGCACCAGATGGGGGGAAATGGGTTTATACTCTCGAGGAAGAGATGGAATTCGGGGGAGCGGAATTCAGGGATGGCTCCTAGGCTTGATGTTGGTGCGGTGATAAGGAGTTCTACAGGAGAAAACGTGGGGAGGAAAATTTGGGATATTTTCAAAGTTGACGTGCGCTATTTTTTTTTCTTTGTGAGTATCTGACAGTCCGAAAGTTTAAAACGATAAAGGCTAACACAGTTTAATTGCTCAATTTTAGCAGCTACAAAGTTTTCTCGGCAGACAAGACAAGGTTCGGCTTTCTAAAGAAGCAGATTTTTTCTCGAACTACAAATAAAACGGAACCTACCGTTAAGAAAATATTTTCTTTTAGTTTGGGTGACTGGTGGTTCACATCACAGGTTATCACTCTCAAGGATTCAAGCGTCAAATTCATAACAAAACATTCTCCAATCCAGAACATGCGGACACATCAAATTTACCGGTATTCAACTTTTTTAATTCATCTTCGGAGATTCCAGCTCCATAAATACATAAAATCATCCAGAAATAACCAACACTCGCAACTCATAGTTTTCTCCCCAACTCTGCAACTACGTTCATTGCTCATATGCATACCGCTCTCACCGGTACCCGCATTAACATCGGCTCTAGTTGCCGATCTTGCCCAAGACAAAGTCCACAGCCTCACTACCGTACTTGGTGACGTACGCCAGATGGATGAGCGTGCTTGTTCCACTAGCGCAGAAGAGATCGCCAATGTCGCAGTACGAGTGAATCTTGCTGGAAAAGGATTCGAGGGATTGGTCGGTACCGCGTGGAAAGAGACCTTTCAAGTAAGTTGCAGTCCCCTCTTGGAAGCTTTCGCTGGCAACATGGCGGGGGTCTCCCATGAGAACAACCGCCACAACTACATTACAGAAGGTTAGCAAGAGTCATTCACTCAAATCTCTGCGCGGTAGATTATGTTTATGCTAACCTTTGCCAGAGATACTAGTCGCAACCGGATCAGTCTTTGCACCCAACAGGACAGTCGGTCCTCCACCACCGCCCAAAGTATCTCCAATGATATGTGCACCCTGGGAGTAGCCCATAAGCACGATCTTCTGGTTGGGGCAGGCCGCGACCTGGTTCGTAAGCATTGTCTTCAACGCTGCAGTTCCAGAAGCAGAAGATGCTGCGTAGTCGGTCAAGGTGGCAGGGTAGTCGACGGATGCAGTGGTGATTGTCTGAGAACTCTGACTGACAACATCATCCATGACATCGCCAATGATACCAGCTCCGGCGGCTTCAGTGGAGGCACGCGCAGCGATGATGTGAACGGGGGCACAGTCGGCGCGTGTCTCGAGGAGGGGAGTAGCACTGGTAAAGGCAGCGAGTGCAAGGGCGATCAGAGTTGACTGCTTCATGTTTTCGAAGGATGGATTGAGGCCGGTGATGCTTTGAGTGAGGTGATCGAGTTGTTGCTGTTGGTTGGATGAGAATAGCCAGATGGGAGAAGCCCTTTTATGGATCTCTGGAAGCTCTTTACTAACTAGCTATCATTTATCCCCTTCCCTCAAATTTACACATAAGAATTAATTCCAACGTTGTCTCTAGCTCTATCTCTACAGCTCCACTCTCAAAAAAGCCGAGGCAGAAACCCCCCTTCGGCACCAAAGACAGAGACAGCTTCCAGGCAACATGCATGTACCAGGAGGCTGGAATACATCGCAAGCCCACCATGGTGTTTAGCTATGTATGCACATATATCGCGGTGTTTTGCAATACCAACGATATCCCAGCTCCAGTTATCCGAATCCCCGCTGCAGTAATATAGACTCTCGGATTAAGGTTAGCGAGACAGGGGTACCTGGTCTGTAGATCCTGTTGTTGAGGCAGACGATGTTTCAGCCGAGGGATGAATCTGCGTACCAGAGTTTCAAACGGAGCTCCGAGGTAACTAGAAGAGGTATGGAATGAAAATCTTGGAATGGTCTCTGTGTTCAGTGCGTACGGGGTGCTGTTGAAACTACCCGGGGGGACGGCCCTGTTCTAGGGATGTTTACTGCTCATGTATGGACTAATTCGACTATTCTCCCTCGGTCGTTTGGTCTTTGGATGGATGTGCATTCTTAAAGTTCTAGTTTTACCGAGGCTGGTTCTATAATTGGAGTTGCTCTGCGTTGACTCCATCGGCCAGTATCCTGGGAGGAGGGGTAGGCTGGCAGGATAAGCTTCTGGGTTGCGGTGGTAATATACACATTGCAGCAGTGGAGGTTCATGGTATTGGGATTTGGAATAGGGTTACAGTTGACCTGAGGGGTTTGTTAGGGCTACTTAGAAGTATTGCCATGTATCCGAGATTAAGCCAGTGAGTGAGTATTCCTAATCCAACAGAATTGTCAACTAAAACTCATCTAACCTCTCCCGTTTAGAAATATTGCCACCAACACAAGAAAAAGCATGCATCGAATCATCACCAATAATACCAAAACAGCCTCCTCACAACCTATCCTCACGATCAATCAAGTCCAATCCCTTGTGCCAGACCCTCAATAACGGTATTCTCCGTCAAATTATAGCTAGCTACGTAGATCATCCGCTCAATGATGCACGCCGACCGGAAACCCCACAATTTGTTCCGACAGATCTGTGCCAAGCAGCCTCGGTATGTTTTTTATCTCGGAGCTTTTTCTTTCTCCCTAGACATTAGCACATGTAGAATAGATGGATGTTTTGGTGAGGAAGTTGTGTGGTCCTTGCTGGGATGTTGTTTTAGGCGGAATTAATTAATTGCGGGGTAATTGGTGTGTGTGATCAGTGCTTGGGGGTTTGTGTGCCCTTGGGGATACTGGATGTATTTGAAGTATCTACATATGTGAGTTTTATGTTCTTTGAGTGTCTAAGGCGCTGGTACGGTTGCGGGAGCTATATTGTGGGGTGCATACTTCTTCCTTTTCTTCATGCACTCAACGAATGGAGATGTGAGTAATTTGATACGACCGGATATATTCTAGCCCACTGCTGATGGGCAAGAGGGTAAAATTAGCACGCATCAAATCAGCTCGGGCTCCAGTAGCTTGGTTATAATCTATGTAGTTGATGTTTTATTCTGCCTGTCGATGTATCGAGATTCCGAGTGATTACCCATGATTCCGTACCACAACTTCTCTATGGTGGAGTTGCGTGCAGTGTTGTTCCGGCCCGCCACCCCGTATGGCTGTTAGATATCTAGACGTGACTAGATCTAAGAGGTATCTTTGGATTGAAGATGTATCTTGACTCCATGAGGTGGTGACTGTGGCCATACATACATCCGAACCCTCCACAGACCGTAGGGCATTACTCATGAGTTCATCTGCAATCACAGCTCAAAAATATTAGAGAACAGTCGACATAGCAGCCCATGATATGCGGCGGCTCGGACTCCCCCTAGCTAATCCTCCAAAACGATGGTCCAGGCGGAGACGCGCACAAGAACGGAAGGAAGGAGAATGAGACACAGAAAGATCAGCATCGCTGGGCTTGGCGCACGGTTTCTCACTCGATGTCTCGTGTCTCCGGATCTGGCGGTAATTAAAGACAATATTGGGGCGGTGGGCCTGGGGTAACACTGGTTGGGTCGTGGGTGTTGGTGGAGCTCGAGAAGGCCTGTAGGGTTAGGTGTGCGTCCTGCCTGACCCCACTGACTTGCACGACCGTGACATCCATCTCCTCCCCCCCCAAACCCCCTAAGCGCCAATATGTATTCTCCCAAATTTAATCTCGGCCATTTCGGCCCACTCATTAGTTTGACCGAAGGAAAATAAAATCGGGGGCAAACAAAATTTTTAAGTAAGGCTCTAACTCGGTCGTACTGAGTTTCTGTTCGAGTATGTACCTCTGTGCCGATGGGGGCCTGCAAGGTTGTGTGTGGGCTTTGGAGGTGTTAGTGATGGATTATCATTGTAGAGCCTCGATCCCCAACAAACGCAATTATCTCAAGCATTTCAAGGACTCTCTTTGATGGTACGTATGGGTCCCTCTCGTAACCATCACTGTTCACTTACAATACATGCCCAATCTCAGCAAGCTAGACGACAGACTCGGAACTTCACGGCCCATCAGCACCTAATCAACGTCGAAAGCTCCACCCCAGATAACAGAGACGACAATCTGGCACCACCATTCGCAGCCCGCGCAGCATAACAAAAAACTCCACATCCTACCCCATCCAATTCTCTGATATCGGCGATCGACCTCGGAGCCACGACAATTCCAAAACCCAGAATACGCCTCTCAATTCCGATTCCAAAGAGCGGTAATGTCCAATGTCCAGCTACGAGACTACCTCTCCTGCCAATCGGGAATGCGATCGACCTCCGCCGGATAGATACCTACGAAAGAAAAGAAGGGCGCTGCTCTGTCGGCGGGCCGGGCGACTCTGAATACTGGTGCCGGTTGGGAAGGCGGCCGGGATAGCAGACGCTATAGCCCTGGCAAAGGGAGCGCATACTTTCAGTCTCGACGTATACTACGAGGGACAGTAACACTCGGGAGATGGGGGCCATACATATACTGCGGGTTTTATACGTGGCTGGCCAGTGGCGGGCCCGACCGACCGCTTTATTTGTAGGTGGAGGAAAACCACACACCCCACTCCTCTCCCCCGCATCAGAATAACAAAAGCAACAAAGCATAACTAACTATCATTCCCTCCAAGCAATCCACACACACCGACAATAAAGAAAAAAACAATCCACCGCCGGTGGTTAGTTGCATCTGCTGCATCTGCTCTGCTCCATCCGCTACTATCTCATACTAGGGAACCCAGTTTCTCTGGTAAGCCCTGGCGCCATAACAACAGGAAACGCAGACAAAGGCAGCAGCGGGTAAAAGAGCTGGCGGGGTATGGCTATTAGAAAACTTCCAAAAACGCAATCCGTGTCCCAGAGCTGTCGGTTTAAAACACCGAGTGATATTTCGTGATTAAACATGTGCTGGGCTGCTTAGTCACCTCCTGTTCGGTGAGCCAATTACAGGAACCTACTACGTGATTTACGTTTGGCTTTGATCCTAGTAAGGTGCGTGAAAGGCTATTTTCGTGAGGCGATTCCCGGCTGCGGAGTCTGAGGATGCTTGGGGGCGGGTTAAGTGGTTGTGCGGTCTGTTCTAATGTATTTGCAGGTAAACGGACAAGCACCGCCAACGACACTCATTTTCGTACCTTTACAAGACCCATCAATCGACTCGCCGTCCCCCAACCCCGCTGAATGACACAAAATACGGTTGATGTCACGCTGAAACAGTAACCCGAGACGCCCCAACATGCGAGCCCGGCTTGACTAGAGAGGTATGTTCTCCTATGCTGTCGTCACAGGAGGAACCACAGGGCTGGTTTATTCGGGATTTTGTGGCTGTATTGGGTTGGGCTATGGTGTCGACTCCCCGCGGCGCAGCATGTCGTGGGCGGTGAGCCTGGAGGTGGATGATGGTACTCCTCTGACGAGCCCCGAGCTCCTTGTTAAGTTGCGAGGGTTGAAGCTTAGGATATAATGGGTTTCGGTCTTATATGACTACATACATCCCTATTCTTACAAGCAGGCCTTTGATCAACCGCCGCGAATCCCTACCGGCAGACGGTTCTCCTCATATCAACCGATAAATCAACCCACAAAAACTGCAATCGATCCATGAAAAAGGGCTAAAGATTTTATGGTATGCCGGCCGGCAGATAATATATATTAAGACAAAGAAATTAAATTACAGTAGCCCGTACTTTTTCCACCCCACCCCCCCCCCCCCCCAAACAGATTATGCACACCAGGGCAACTTCTATACACCCGCCAACACTCATCCCCCCCAATTCCCCAATCAACCTTTCCATATATCCCCCCTAAGCAAGCAGGTAGGCGAGCAAGCTTAGATAGAAGTGACATCCGAGGCGGAGTACAAGCAGACCTTGGAGTCAGGGCCGCTTCCGAGCTCCTTGGGCTCGGCGCCGGAAGAGTTGCCAGTGTATCTAGCACAGATCTTCTTGACGTTTGAGACCTTGGTGGACTTGATAGTGATGGTATCTGCATCAATGAGTCAGTATCAAGTAAACCCTCAAATGATCTGATATTGCAATTTCAGCTACTCACCACCATAGTTCTCGTTGCCACCAGCAAGCAACTTTCCGTTCTTGGCCACAACACCCGACATCTCAACCTGGCGCTTGGTCTGTCCAGACTTGCAGTTACCGCACGACCTCCACAATTTGCCAAAGTCCTGAACGTAGAAGTCCTTGATGACGACCTTTCCACCACCGTTGTGCTGGATGACCTTGTCGTCGGCGTTCTTGGCGCCTCCTCCGGTGACGTACGAGGTGCCGGAGCTCTGCTTGATGGTCAAAGCATCCTCGCAGACATCTTCCCACCAGACGTTCTGGATGGTGCAGCTTCCGAGACAGTGGACACCCTCAATCTGGTCCTTGCCGATGATGACGTTCTTAAGAGTGGCGCCAGCTTCGAGGATGAAGACGGCGTCCTTGTTGCCACCTTCGGCCTGGCCAGAGCAGGAGACTGGTGGGTTTGTTAGTATCATGATACAGTGTCGAAGAGAGGAGGGATATAAGACTCACCACCACGGCCGAAGCGCTTCATACCACCATCGAAAGTGCCAGTGATGGTCTTGGCGGCGGAGAGAGTGGTGCTGCTGGCAGCAGAGGGGAAAGTGGTGGTTGCGGCGGCAGAGACAGAGACGGCGCCGAGGAGAGCAGAAACGAGGACTGAAGTGAGCTGCATGTTGATTTTTATTTCGGGTTGGTGGTTTGATAGCGAGTTTTGCTGAAGTTGATTATAAGAAAGAGTGAATGAGTGAAGCTGCTATCAAAGCGAGCGAGTGAATTGAAATAAAAGTGAAGGTAGTGAAGGTGAATGATTGTGTGAGTGAGTGAGGAGAGAAGGAAGTATTGGAGGTGGGAATATGAAGCTCTTTATAATGCATTCATCGTGGGCTGTTGTGGGGAACACGGACCTCTGTTGGACGTTTAGATTATTGATATCCCTGGAGCCCGTATAGGTACTGTATTCCTTTGGGTTCTACCCACTATCGGAGAACTGAAGTGGCGGGACCTCTCCACTCGGGTCATTATGCACCGGCGGTACGGTAAGATCTAGACAAGAGAATTGAAATTCACTATCCACTTGTGCGCTCAACTCTCCGTTTCAGCTAATGTAGAGTGATAGAGTAACAGTGAACTCGAAGCGGATTAAGGTTCTTGGCTAATATATTTTGAAGCACGGTCCTTGAGGTAAATTTTCCGGAAACTCGGGTTACACCGACGTACTTTGTTGGTTGCGCGAGTGAGCCACCTGGACAAAATTAAATCTGATTTGTTGAGAATTGGAATCTGTAGCTTTTCTAGACTAAAAGATCAGACGGAGCACATACGAAAGTATGAATCGAATAGTAGTAAAATTCCCACAGGCAAGACCTCATCGCAATCCAGAACTGAAGTGTGGTCAGATTTGAGCTTCCGCAGCCCTGGGAATAATGTTGGACCCTTGCGCAGATAAACCGTGAATCCAGATTCTTAGAAGCAAACATATCTCAATTAAGGTATAGTACTTGACCAGGATCCAAACCCAAAGCTGACTTATGTGTCGTGTATATTAGTAGTTGGGCGCCTTAATAATATAGTGGTAGTCCCACCGCACACAACATCGGACGTTTACCATTTCAATCTTGGCGCTTGGGTTGGAGCGTACTAGCGCTCTCGATTCCACATATTCGGACGAATGGTTGGATCTCATTGTACGGAACATGAAAGTAAATTCCTCCGATACATGGATGCGGAGAATGTTCTTAAACTCTAAATTTGGATGAATAGAGTAATTTTGTTCCAGATCTTTCCGACGCGAGAATTTAAGTATCCTAGACCCCTGTTCAGATCTATTGTGCTCGTGGGAGATAGATTGACGTGAGACCAACGGCGGTTGTACCGAGCATGATCGTGAAGATTTGGAGCAGTTTAGCACCAACGGCTACTTGGCTTTGTTAAGGAGTTCTGTGGCTTGCATGCTGCAAGCGAGCTTGTAACAGCCACGAATTGGGTCATACGAATACGAAGTAGCTGGAGATTTTTGCGTACAATCGTGAGGCACTCCGGCCCGTCAGTATTTAGCATCGGCGCGAATATCGCCGAGTGACCTTGTGTGCAAATGAGAAAAGCAGTTGGATGAGGGCAACTGTTGCAATTGTCTAATAGGGGGCGTCCGCCAAGAATAATATACCGCGGTTATATAGTATTCATGCTATCCCAGAGGGGAGTAATACATGTAAACAGATCATAGCGACACTTCTTATGGGAAATTTCCGTAAAGAATATATTAGAAGGCAATACTGGAACTCCGCCCGTAACTAAGGAGTTCACGCCGTTGATAATATGGTGGAGGAGTGAACCTTCCAACCTCGGCTATAGGAACTCTCCGTGTATATAGTGCCAAGCCTAAGCTTTGTTTATATGATCCCTGCTTTTAGGCGGATAATGCTCCTTTGGTGAATTCTCTGTTGGGCGAATGGAGCGACATCGTGTAAAGAGGAGGTTGGACTAAAGTAGTTCAGACGGACGTTGTAACCTGGTTTTGGAAGGAATTCATACAGGGGCTACTCTAATGGAATCCCAGTAAAACCTAGCACCTAAGTTTAACTGCAGTCATTAGTTGGCATCGTGATCACTAGTGACGATTAAAGGCGTTCGCATGAACATGAGGTGCTGAGACGTGACGAGGAGAAGAAAGGGGAATAACTCCCTCATGATCTCGCTTGTAACCCGTTCAGCTACAATCAATAGCCACCATCAGGGTGTGGATGTTCCTTGTATGTAGAGCTGGTTTGGGAAGATTTTTTATTTTGCGCGTGGTCCGGATTGGATATCCCAATATTAACAGAGATGAAGGCAAAAGGGGAGTCTTCGATGATGATGTTCTGATGACACCGCTTTAGCGGAGGACAGAAAATTTAAAATGTTATTGTTAAAGGTAACGGTGTACATAATCGAACCTACCCGAGAGAACCATAGAATAAAGTTTAGAAACCTTGCGCAATCTCGTGGAATTTCGAGTGATACCCCATGACCAACTGAGTGAACCGGTACTAACACCTTCGCTCTGAGATTATGAAATCATGGGAGGCAAGGCCTAGCGGTCCTACCTTCAAAATATTTGGGAATTATAAATCCCTATCAGATTACGATGTCATCAGTCAGCGTTGATCCCCGCTTCGCGAATTCAGCCGACAAAGTTCATCCCAATTCCCTATTTCGAAGGAAGCGAGTCATACCTAGCTCTTGAGATCTCGTTGACGGATCACACATCGTGTATGGTCGAATGATACCGCAAATTGAGATAGGGACAGTCGGGGGAGCATAAACATCGGTTTCATAAGTCTTGGCGCACGGCATGTTCCATCGGTCACTTCCGGTGGGACTATTTTAGAACACTATCTGGTGATGCTTTTCATAATTGCAATAGGGGTCCAATCTTATTCATATAAACGAAGGGTTTCAACGGTATGTATACATGTTGGAGTGTCTTCAGTTGCGTGTGGTTGTTAGGGTTTGGTTCTAGGCTTCAACACTCTAGTATACCCGCTCTTGCTCACGACTAAGCTTCGCGGGCCGATCAGAGTCACCTCAATTCATTGACCTTCACTCACTCTCATGACCTCACAGACCATATTACATGTAAATTCAAACTTCAATCGACGCAGCGCAGTTCTAACTTGATGGCCAATTGGCGCAAGTTTCAAAACACACGACTAAGCACACGACTGATTACTATCCAGATCCCGAACTCTGTGTACTTGCCCTCTCCGCTGATAACCTTGGGCTTTTCAATCACTCCCCCCTTCTCTTCTGTTTTTATCTGGCTTTTTTTTTAAAACTCCTTAATTTGGCTTAATAACCTTGCATGATTCCGGCTCTAGTTTCGATTCTGAGTATATCATGTGGTCAAAATGTCGAGCCGGTGTAAGCTCTTTCTAGTGTCCAACTTCTGGTGATCATGCTCTGGTATTTCTTTATATCTTAAATTGTCGTCCGGAGCATCATTGAAGCCAGAGAGTAACTTGGGCTGGCCCGGGTCAAATGTAGGTAGGACCAGCCTGCCCGCAAAATATTGGCTAGGGCCCTTCATTCCGTCCTGGCCCGACCGAATCGTCCTCAGATTGAAGCTGCAGCAATTTCATCCCTATTATCAAGGTGGTGGTAAGCTATATATTTTATTATTCTCTAAGATCAAAGGCTAAATGTTGAATTCTGGGAATATTGCTGAATTTTGTAAGTTTGATACTCTTTAACTAGAGGTTTTGTATGTAGACACCTTCCTAGTCCCCCAACTCGATATTGTGTTTACCTTTCCGGTGCTCATCTCTCCGGTGTTCGCTGGCTTCCAGCCTGACCTCAGATCTTTCGAAATTTTACAGCTGGCGGCCGTAGGCCAGATTTTAATAACTACATGTAATATCAATATCCCCATCTTTTGCAAATACCTTCCCCGTAACATGATGCAATTGAGAACTCTATCATAAGGTACATCTATGTATTTAACCTGTCAAATTCTATTATCATGAAAACTCGCTCGGTTCTCACGAGACATGACTCGTTAGGTTTCGCATGAGAAGTTACCCCATCTGTCATGAAACTCGCTCGGACTCTCATGAAGACCTATTCTTCGTTACTTCCTAGTATTTCTGCGGAAAGTGAGTAGAGACCAGAATTCAAGAGTTTCGATTCGCGTAGGTAATGGGGGCTCAACGCTAAGCCCCCCTCGGGTTCCTGCCCCACCATCATACCATAGAATTTACTGGCAACGTAGAAATATTTCACCTGGTGATCCTGAAACAACACTCTCATCTCGATAACAAGAAAATATCCAAATTCAAGGGCACAATGGATTCATGTCTATCCGTAACTAGCACTATTCCAAATCCGCAGCACGATACCACCGAGACCAAACTCACTTTCCCTTATAATCAAGTTAAACTAGACCCCTCAATTGCAGAGTCCGAGCTTGAGAAAGTCTTTAAAGACTTGTATCTGGGAATTCAAGTCGAAACAACTCTCGGATGGACGGCCGCTGATCCATCGAAATTGACAGATGCTATAAGGGCGAACGCTCTTTTCGTCAAGAGATTTGAAGATAGAGGTAGTATTTTCATGTCTGCGATTGCTACATCTGAACTTGCAAGGGCATATGAAGTGTTGAGTAAGTTTTACCACTCATCTTGTTTGATCACAATGCTGCCTAATTACTAAATGCGGGGAGAATATGTTATACAATAGCTGGTACATTCTGGTTAGCCTCTATTTCTGGAGGAGACCTCCCACAGGCCTTCAGATCCGGTAGTGGAATTATAGTACCAAGTGAACCCGTGTCATGCTTGATTACGAGCTACAGCCGCTACCTCTCCTGTGTGAGCTCCGTTGGGTGGGCATGTTTCACCCTCCTCACCCTCTCTGCCGCATTCCGGTCCGCCGCCAAACACCTCCATCCGGACCAGTGGGAGGATTTCAGCCGATTAATTGGAGAAAATAAGGGCTCATTCGAGCTCATTTCTAGGACCGTACGACCGAAATACGGCGTTCTTATTGAAAAAATGCTGCAAGAGCCGGCCTATAACCGCCGGAAATTTAGTAGTGACATTTCCCTCTATAGCGTGTGTGACGCTTACAATAGGTGGATCAACAACTGTACCTCCCTTCTGAACCTTCAACAGAACCCGGGTGATGTTTTTGATGTAAATTCAGCGAGATACCAGCTGCATCCACACCGGTGGTGTGTGTCGCTAGACAAAAAAGACGCCCACCATATACTCACTCGTCCATACGTGCCAATTGAGCATTCAATACTTGGCCGAGATTTTAAGCCGGAAACGGACCCCCGAGTATACGGCGATCCAGACCCGAAGGCAACCGATCCTTTGAAGGATATTAGGAAGGCGAGATGCGACATGTGTATCGCCACTGGCATGAAAACCTGTAATGCCACGCCCCAATATACGCAACCCCTTATAGAACTGTTTGAGACCCAGGGCAAAGGAATTGGAGTTCGTAGTTTACAGGTATTTTGTTGCTTCTGCTTATATTCAGTTTTTTTTTCTTCTTTTTTGCTAACAGTCCTCTCCTAGAGAATCAGGGGCGATATAACCCTGGCAGAATATGCCGGATCTATCACAAAGGATGTCTTTTTCCCTGACCCATTCGTCCTCCATGGTCCCCATACGGAAAATGATAGCAGATTTTATTGTACCACTAGTAGATATATGGGTTTGTACTCTTTTGAACCCTTATTTACCACGGCATAGCCCAAGCTCTCGTTATGCCATGTAACTAATTCACGATGTCCTATATATATCAAACTCTATTAGGCAATTGGACTCGTTTCATCAACCATTCCTGTAAGCCTAATAGCGCCTTAACTTGTCTATTTTTTCCAAATAAGGAAATACAGTTTGTGATTTCCCTGAGGGAAATCAAGCTTTTCGAGGAGATCACTGTAAATTACGGCCGCGGCTTTTTCACCCAAAGGGGAATGAGCTGTCTCTGTGGCACTCCGGAGTGTATGTCAAATGTTAAGTGTTGATTGGGGGCGAGATATTCGAATCAGGTGTAATGTGGGCTTTTGGTATATATATCAATGGCTGAAAAGAAATATATCGGCTTATCATGATAGCCGCCAAGTCCAGCGGGCCTTGGCACACTCTCTGGTTTCTATAATTCGCGATTTTCCTCCCATCATAGCGGCGCTGAGGGCTAATCGCCAGCTAAGCAACCCCCAACAGCACCACCCATCTTAATAGAGTCCCGGGCCTGCGTTGCTCCCAGAATTACTTGCCAGTTTCTCCGTCTCAACCCTTTTGGCACGGGGGCCGGCGAAGCTACGGCTGGAGCAAGACACGCTGGATTAGGGTTTCTTCCCCCCTTTTTTTCTCTCTTTATTGTATATCGAATAGTACGTATGTGAGAGAGTAATTAAAGAACGACATTTCACTTTCTTTTTTTACTGTACTAACTGAAATGCATTCTTTCAAGCTCTCAACTAAAAATGATAAAAAGAAAACAAAGGGGCGAAAAATGATGGATCATAAATTCTCACTTGGGCGAGGTACGTACCAGCTTTAGTTGCAAAGAGATAAATTATAAATCAAGAGCCGTACAAGTATTTCCTGAAGATCTCCGCAACTTATCCGTGGCCCCCCACTCCTCGTCCCACTCCAGTCCTCAAACACTCTCTAGCCCATCTATGTCATTGGTTTGAAGCGGATGATATTGCTTCCTGTCTGCAAATTCTAAACCCTAATCTTGCGTCTATATTTGAGTACAGTTAACTACCTAAATGAACTTCATCAAAGAGCTCATGTGGGGACAAATGTGAGATTAGCCACGTAGATGTATTGGAAAAGGGTCATAAGAGAAGCTACGACAGTCGAAGCTACGATGATCTAAGCCACGATTATGGGCCGAAGAGATCGACATCATACCTAACCCACGAAGAGGGCTAATTAGGAGACCACAATAAGCTTTAGAGGATGGGAATAAGTTTTAAGTTGGGAGAGCGGAGCTGAGTATTTCTGGCGGGGGAATATATTTTCGGTGTTCCTCCACGATGAGTCGTCTACCCCTAGACCAACTCGCCAACATAAGTTTCAGTGGCCTGAAAGTAATACCAAGGCCTAAGAGCGTGCAGGTAGGATAGGCGAGCTAGTTGGAATACCTAACCCTACCATGGTAATCTACTACGATGAAGTGTATTATTACCTACCAACCTCGTGTTATGGATGGAAGACATATATGATGGAGGTGCAGATACAAAGATGACGGGAACAGTGAGCCAAAAGCCGTGAGATACCTGGAATAGTTCGCTTGTCGACAAAGTTCCAACCTTCCCCCCACCCCTCTTTCTTCACGCATTCCTAGAAGTACCACTAGCGCTTTTGATGGTCTTTGTTATGAGAGTAATTGAAAGACGTGTGGGTAAAGAAGACAGAACAGCTAAGTTAAGCCAACTCCGTATCTCTTCAATACCTCTACTTACATACTTTGATACTAACAGAACGCTGGCCACAATTTCAACAGTCATCATACATCACGTGCACCCGAGGCGTCATTGATCTCTCTTTGCTCGAGGAGAGCAGAGAATAATCTCTATCGGCCATTTTTTTAACGGATTACTTGCATCTATCTGCAGCATACCCTCCATCGCTCAAAGGGTACTTCCTGTGCCTTCTTGATCTTTTCTTATATTCTCTTCCGAGTCCGGCCACCTTCGGATGGTTACACGCTTGAATCTATCTATTTACACCTGCCCCATAAGTGCTTTCGGTCATGCATCTAATCTCTTCAGTCCATTATAGATCCACCTCAGTAGGCTGTGTCCGAGTCTTAACTTTTCGAGTATATGCAGTCTCACCGGCAGAAAGAAAAGTCTTATAGATCTGGCTATACGAAAAATTTAAGGAGATGCAAATCGATAACTATTCTATCACCATTCTAACTACTTTTTCATGTTTAGTTTGTTTACTCGCCAAAACAAGGTTCTCCGATCCCCTATAACCCAGGACACTATGGATTAACTTTATGGTTGATGGAGACTTGCGGTACTACAATAAATGAAACTTCTTCTAAAAACGGGAACCTCCTGCATTTCGCTTCGCGGGCCGCAACGAGCAGAATTAGGACTTTTACGAAACTCGTCTCCAGTATCCTGTGTTCATGAGGCTAGTTAAAGAGGCACGGGCGTACTCTACCGTGGTATTCCAGCGGGTTACTCAGCCCAGGCGCAATGGTTTCGAGGTGATAGACATATTCTTTTCAGGATTTTAGAAGACATGGATTTGAACCCTATAGGATGTAATTAATCCCTCCTCCCGTACCAGGTTCCACGACCTTTTACCCCTGGGAAAGCGCTGTGATCACCACGGTTACCGTGATTTATAATGTGGCAGGGCCAGAAAAGAATTATCGGTTTGAACGTGTGGGTGACAAAATATTTGTGTGACTACAAGCTTTAAAAAAGAACAAAGCTCATAAAGTTATATGAGAAGTGTTCAATAATCCACAATATATATACATGCAAGGAAGGGAATGGTGCACAAGATGAATTGCCCGATTGCGACCGGCAGCTTAGGCTCAGGGTCTCTTGAGAGGATATTGTTTTGCAGGCATAACGCTTAGGAATCAGTTCTAGAATAGGTCACTTAGAGCGACTATCCTATTCTTGCACGATTTTCAGAGGCGTTTCCGGCACGTATCTCTCGGTGAGCACTCTCTACTTAGTCACTTGTCACCCCAAACAACCATTACACCCGTGATCCCTGCTTTTAGCTGACATAACCACCCAGATGCAGGTGCTGTTACTTCTTTGGTACGAGCATCTTACCCTGAATCCCGCCCTAGGGCTTGTATCTTACTAGGTTGGGCATTGCCAGTTCAACAGATACTCTCCGGTCCTGTCACAGACAGTGCTTTGGATCAGAATTGGCAAGAATTACCCGGTGCAAGTTACACTATATGTGTAGGAGTTCATAGAACGAATAAAAGTTTCAATTTCCCGCCCAGAAAAGACTTCCTCTACATTTCACACCTCAGGTAGGACTTTCGCTTGCGACAGGCTTTGCATTCTTTATTTCTATTCTATTGTAATTACTCCTATGGTCTGAGACCAAGAATGCTCTCCACGAATTTCTTTCTCACCTTGGCGACTTTTATCAGTTTCTTAACCCTGCGCACAAATGCAAGAACAATATATCCTCGTGAAGTGCCAAGTAACAATAATGGCGGAAATCTCCCAACTACAACCTATGAACTTCGACCTATCCGAATAGACCCGCTGATGCATGGTCTCAACCGACGGTCTGAAGTCCCACCACTTCAAGACTTTTCGAGGCTGGTTCCATCTGATCAGGAATTAATGATGTATGGCATCCCGCTTGGTACGTACCATCCATACACTCCGGCATGACCCCCGATTCTGACCTCGACAGACGATGGAACCTTTTTCGTCGCAAACCTAACCCTCAGTGCACCTGAAAATTCCCGAATCCTCTTGATGGAGAAATTTGAAGGCCTTACCTCGAATGTCGACTGTTCCACAATTGGCGACCACAAGCTCTCTGTCACCTTGGTGGACGAGGAAGTGTTCTCGTATATCCAGATTTGGAGCTGGATCAACGAACGCGAAGATAATCAGTTTGTTATGATCACGAACCATGAAGGTTGTGGCCCTGCAGCACAGCGTGCTGTGTTCTGGGTGCGGAAGGTGGACTATGTGGAAGAGGCGCTAAGGGTAGACTTCTATGCCGTTCAGACAGACTGGGCAGAAGTTGCGGGGACGTATTCCATGGATTTCGGGACGATGCAGCTGGAATACGGCAATGAGGAAAATGATGAAAATAGGGTTTATGGACCGCTAGAGAAACGATTTGATCTCTTTGGAAAGATCAAGAACGCTTTTGATGATGCAGGGAAAGCGATCAAGAAAACAGTGACAAATGTCGGCAAAGATATCAAAAAGACCGCGGAAAACGTTGGAAAGGGTGTTACGAACATTGTTGACAAGGCAAAGAATACGTTTAATAAGGTTAAGGATAAGGTAGTGAGTGTGGTAGATAAGGCAAAGCAGAAACTTGGTCAGGCTGTTAAAGCAGTTGAGAAGGGGGTTGGCAAAATAGGGACTGGAAAGATTGGGAAAGATAATCTGAGTCTCAACATTGCGGTTGGGAAGGCAAACGTAGCGAAGAATATCTACACGGGGAACCAGGGGTAAATATTTCAATCTATCATTACTCAACTCTTGCTAATAACCTTCAAATAGAGCGCAAATCGTCGACTGTCTCAACTGCTACGTCACTGGTAAAATCTTAATGTCTGGTAATATGCAGGTATGGCTCCCAATTATATCCTAGCGCCGAAATTTGCTAACGTGTTAATCACGTGCAGTTTGTGCAATTTGTCCCCAAATCAGCTATATTTGAAGTAAGGCCAAGGGACATTGGTACAACGATGAAGTTCAGGGTTTTTCTCCAGAAGAATGATGCCACGAATCCAGCATTCCAGTTCGAGAAGGATGTGTACTCAATGAATCTCCCTGCCATTAATGTAAGATACACCGCCGTGGAACAAAATAGCTCCTATTAATAAGCTCCATGTATCAGATTCCGGGAGTCTTTGGCCTTGGACCCAAAGCGGAATTGACTGTTAGCTTTCAATCGAACGTCCGTACCGATGCCGACTTTTCTTTCGGCGTCACAGGATCTGTACGCCTCTTCTCCGTTCCCCTCTGGTCTCTCGTCCAACTAACATTTCTCCCCCTTTTTATTAGGTCCCAAACAACGCCCTGTTCCGCAAAGACCTTCTTAACAAAAACACCCCTGGCCAATCTGGAAAATGGAAGGGTGTCAAAATCACTCCTCTTCCCTTTGAACTTAACGGAGGCGCTATCGACATGAAGTTCGATACCGGCACCAATCTCGTTTTTGGTGTCGGGGTCTTCGCTATAGGTGTGGGTTCCTATGACGCGGGATTTAGACTAAGGCTACCGCGCATTGGGATTGATCTTAAAACGGTCACAAATAAAAATGGAAAGCCAGCTTGTGCAGGGAACGCGAATAAAAGTCCAACCGGGGTTACAATGAAGAGTGATGCGAACATTGAGTTGGTGGCGGTGGCGGGGAAAGATACAATGACTGTAGGAAGCTTTTCAGAGAAGATGCTTTGGGTGAGATACACATAGCATCCCCGCAATGACCTGGGTCGAAACTGACAGCGTTCTAGGGAATAAAATTCCCGCTCCCTTCAAAGTGTTTTCCTATCAAAGACAGCAGAGGGAAAACGGCGCCAGCTTTCGCACAAACCAAAACAAAAAGCACACTTTCCAAGGGCGTCGGTCTGCTGAAGCAGGTGAATTCTCTCAAGAACACCTTCTCAAACAAGAATAAGAAGGGAAAAGCCGCGCCGAAGAAGACAGCACAACCTGCAAAAAAGAAGACAGCGCGGCCTGCTGCGCGCAAGACGGCTCAGCCTGTTGCGAATAAGAAGACAGCTGCAGTATGTATTGAATAACCTTTGTTTTCGCTGGTTTGATTAGCCAAAAGAATTTCTGAACTAACACCCGACGCAACAGAAAAAAACTAAAAAATATTAAAAATGGCGAATAAGACCTTAAAGGTAGTGGGCCAATCTAATAATCTTAGGTCTAGGTTTGCTAGAGGCATGGCGTAATTTCTCCTTGGTGTTATTATTTTTGGGGGGTTTAGGCTTTGGGTTGGGTTTTAGGTATCGGGTTATATAGACATTAGGATCTGGTGCATTTTTAGAGAGAGGTTCAGGGCGTTTTTGGGTATTTAATAGGCTAACACGTTAATATTCTAAATAAATGAATATAGACACTCTTTGATGTAGCAGTAACCTGATGAACTCTTTGCCACCGAGTTCCGTTGCGAGTGATAACTGATGACCAACTACCGAAACAACGAAACAAATCTCGTGCATGTTGCCCATCGTCATTAACTCCAACCCAAAGTCTTGACACAAGTCTAGCACTGCATAAGATCGCGGCGTATCTTGAGACTCAAAATCCTCCCAGCTGCCAACCATGTAGATTGGTGGAGCTAGTACATACCATACACTGCCCATAATTTACATGTATGCATTAAGTATCCCTGCCCGTGATCAACTACTGACCGCACCGGTATGTGCAGAAACGATATTTATGCGAGCGCGGCGCACATGGAATAGAGTGACATACTTACAATCGGGTATCCCGGATGCATGTGTGCGGGCGAGCGGCGTGACGGTTTGGTGGGACAATGATCTTACATGGGGACTACATGGATGCATATGACGGCTCATGCCTTACTCTCCGCACGTCTGCAGCCTAGACCAAGCAATCACGAGTGGGCCAATGACGCCTCGAATGCTTATTCTTCGTATAACAATATTCATTGCATCTCATAGGAAACGATAACCGAGAAGAAAGAAAGACAAAAAAGAACCTTTGAGGTGTAAAAGCTGAAAAACTAATATATTTACAGTAGAATTAACCCTAACCCATAATAACTAAGCACCCCCACCCCCCACACATAGCCAAACCAGCTGGAAAGTATCTGGATACATGCAACTGTGCCCCAAATGGGAAATAAGAATAACGCCGCAGAAAGAAAATCACCGTGTATGGATTACCTTTAATCCTGTCTTGACCGAACCTTACAGGCGAAGCTCTCTCCTCTCAAAATAGGCATCCAGTGGTCTGAGAAAGTCATGTGGTCGTGGCCAACAGCGTCCAGCTCGAATCTTCTGAAGATTCCGGCGAAGGCCAGGTACAACTCGCAGTAAGCAAGGCTGCATTCATGGGTTAGTATATTAACAGTTTCATACCTAGATATAACTTGATTATGGTGGACTTACTTGACGCCTAGACACTGTCTGCTACCAGCACCGAAAGCAATAACGTATTTCTCCTTTGTCTTTGATTCGGGTGAAAGCCAACGCTCCGGGGAAAATGTATATGAGTCTGGAAAGATCTCTTCGTCATGGGAAACGGAGTAGTGATCAATCTCAATCACGGACTGGCCACGATATTAGCTTGGTACAGAATTTTATAAATTATCTTGGGATGACATACATCACTAGGGAGATGATAACCACCGATCACAGCTCCCTCACGAGGCACTAATCTGGGGCTTGCGGAAACAATGCCATATCCAAGCCTCAAAGCTTCTTTAACAACACCCCGCTGCGGCAAGGAATTAGTAACGCCAAGAGGAGATGATATTCGAGTGCACGTGGGCCATACCAAGTAAGGCAGGTTTTCAAGTTGTTCATATGGTAAATTATCGTTGATGTTTGGGATCGCTGTCTTCAATTCCTCGTACAATTTCCACGCGATTTCAGGATTTCTCGCTACCTCCAAAGCACCAACACAAAGAATCCAGCGGGTGGTGTGCATTCCTGCACCTACTACACTCACAGCTTCGTGGACTAGATCCTGTGGGTTTGGGTTGTGGTAGCCTTCCAGCATCTCTAAAAAGACAGTTCTGTGGCCAGTCTTGACTTCTCCGTTTCTGGTTTTTTCGAGAACAGTTTTCAGTTGTGCTTCAGCATCAACCTCTAGCTCTCTGAATCCAGCTGCATAATAATTGAGATATCATCAGCTGATTGTATGCATGAAGATGGATTCGCTGGTCCTTACCTCCGTCTGGGAAAACCTTCATTAGTAGCCAGGGAGGCAGGCTCTGGAAAACCTTTGCAATGATTGGAAAGCTCTTCAAGACCATGAAAGCTTCCTGTTGAGCGTCAAATGCAGACGAGACTTTCGACACAAATCCTTCGTTTAATAGGGTACTGTATGTGAAAGCCAATCAGCATTGAGGGAGTAATCGGTGGGAAGTCAACTCATATCCTTACTTGTAAGACTTGGCATAGGCATATTCGGTAACAATATCGATCGTAAGTGCTACAAATGCGTTGTGGAAACTGACTTTAGAGTCGGCTTGCTCAAGCTCCCTAATCTTGTAGCATAGAAGGTCGCATTTCTCCTGGACTACGTTCTCGAAGCCCAAGATGCTACGCCGAGAGAACATTGGGTCTAGAATGCGGCGCTGTTTCCTGTGGATAATAGGGTTGATTGTACTGAAAGTAGAGTTTGCGAGACCAAAAAGGCTGTAGAAGCCGGGGTCTTTGATAAGAGGAGACCCGACTTTATGGAGCTCATGAAAAGCGCTCGAGTCCCGTAGGCGAACTTTATTCGGGGAAATCCTGACAATGGGTCCTAAGTTCTGTACGTTAGCATTACTTGGCATGTCGAGCGACTTTACTCATTATACTCACCATATTTCCTGTGCAACTCGTCCATGTGGAACGTCATATCTCCCTTCTTAACTATCTAAATTCAAAGCCTTCAGTATAACCAGCTAGACCGAAGGCGTAATATACACTCACATCATGGTACATTTCATACACAGAACTCGCTGCTGCCAGCCTAGGCCCAGGGTATTTCGAGAGCGGGTGAAGGAATAATCTGTATGTGTAAACCCCAATCCTGTAGACAGTCCATAAGGTGGTTAAGATTATGAAAGCTTCGAGCTTTGAGAGTGATAAGAGCCATGTCTTTGCTATTGAAGCCCACTCGGCATATTGCTTGATGATAATATGAGTATCCATTGCGCTGAGTGTTGCTACGGACATAGAAGACAGTACTCTGACCAAAATTATATTTCTCAGAGGTGGGGCATTTGCCTTTCTTATACCTGCTCATCGAGAGGAAAAAAAATTAGCATGCCGTATGCTTTTTCACAAATAACTAGCCCCAAAAATAACCTACCACTATCTTATTTTGCGTCATCAATGGCAGGACGGGTGTGAGCACAATATGCGCGATACACGTCCCCCCCTCCCCCACAATATGTGGGCCCAGTATTCTGGCTCAAAATCGGGAGCGTGGCGAATCAGGTATTCTGAGCTCTCCCGTGGACCAGGGACTGCTCTAAGTAATATGCACCATCTAAAATCCCCGCATATCTACTTTACTCGGAGCACTCTAGAGTAAAGTATCGCGGCCAGGGCTATCACTATAATGTGTGTTGTCAAAACGCTAAAACGCCGGTCTACCAAATCGCAAGAAGTATTACTATCACGCTTTGCACTAGGTAAAGTCGTAAGCAAACTAATCTCCTCTAGAACAAGTTGCGGGGTATGGGATTAAAACCCGCTGTTCGGGTACCAATTGTGAAGCTAGAGCAGAGGCCTCTATCTGAAGAAATGCTCATCGCTTAATCGCGTTAAGCTTACAGTCCAGCGATCCTCGATACATCTGAACTTTCCCATTCTTAGAACCTGGCGCACATTTTCTCAAGTACCATGCCTGGTGTATACGATCCGCAGCTGCACTGGAGAGCCTGATATTAGCGCCACGTGGTCCAAAAAAAATGATAGCCGACGAGTTGACTCAAATTGGCGTTAATTAAGTCCTGAGAATTCTTGGTAGCAACGACCTCACAAGACTTAACTAACGCGCGAGTAAATATAATTTTGAATTATCCCTCGGGATTGTACCTCATCCTTAGCGTTAGTGTGGGTATATTTACCATAATTCGCCAGAGGATTCTGAAGAAATCGTTGTGGAGCAGATATCATTGTCGTCACATTTTGGGATACCCGAAGATTCGAGTACTCCCTAGAGTACATAAAGTGCATATGCATAGATTCTCCAGTCCGGGCATTTTTTACCCATCCCGTTTATATTTGTAGTGGCGTATCCAACCAGGAATTCCCCGTGTGTGCATGTCTGACCCTGCAATCTAGATGATAATCTACTATCTGAGTAGAGTCACTGTATAATTAGCCATTATCATGATGATAAGGTTGAAGCCAGGATTTCTTTGTGGAACTTATTTATGATATGAAAGGCATGTAAGTACGCTCTGCCTATCACCGTCTTATGATAAGAAAATGAAAGAGGGTTCGTACTGACCCCGTACGCAAAGATCGACTCTTAAGGGTCCCACTCGGCCACTCGGCGAAACTAGAGGGTCTCCAAAGTCTATTTCGTCCTTGTGACAAACTTAAGTCATCACCTTTGAGTATTTTGAGGAGGGTGAGATGTTGATAATTGGACTATCCCGGTCTAGAAACACTTACTACTCCTTTTCACAGCGTTTGTGAACACAACCGGCATTACATACAAAAAATAGCCAAGACAACCTTTTTGTATAGCATGCAATAGCGGTGGTGTTCACAAACGCTGAGTACAGCTCAGTAATCCAGAAACAACTCTTTGCATGACTTCCAGCTATCCGAGACATTCAGCTTGCGGTCCCGCGACGACACAAGGTAGCCGACGGCCGTTGACCCTACCGGCGTGTTGGTCATATCTTCTCACTCGCAGGATATCGAAAGTCTGACTATCCGTGCGGGGAACTGAGACTTTTGTGACCTCTCTGTTTTGATCGGCCTAGGCCTGTGGTATAGGCGAGAGGTGGTGCAGCTGCGGCGCAGTATTCCATGCCTCTGCAGTTGCTGCATGAGAGTGGCAGCTGAAGCCACGCCCTTCTCACGTTGTAAAACTAAAGTGCGTTACGTACAGCCACTCAGCAAAAGTGTTCGTGATATAGTTTTAATGTCAGTGTGCAGTGTGGCGCACCCGTAATACTGATGTTATTAAAGTTGAGATTCAAAACAACGAAAAATATATAATATAGTTTGTGACTATATATAAAAAGAAGATAGGTCATTGATCTTATTCTTCATTAATTTGGGCGCCATTGGTCACTGGAAAAGTCTTCTCTTGGGGGTTCTTGATGGTCCGCCGCGGTTACATATGGAGAAATGTCTCACTCCAAAATCAGAATCACGAACACTTTTGAATGTATCAGGTAGTTGCTGAGTACAAGTTTGTACCTGCACTAGCCTATCACTTGTGCGGCCAAGGTAATTACGAATTATAGATTTATCAACAATTCAATCCTCCTGAACTATGGTGTTTCCATTACCGAATGAGACGCTTCGAAATTTATTCAGTGGTTGTAAACCACGTAGCGGGGGCCAGGGTAGATGATGATTCTGATTCAGATTCAAAAGGGCCAACTTCTCACTTTTCATCACATCTTTTATAAACTGTTGCAGAATTTATCCGGTATATCATACATGTATGCTTTGGCCCGCCAATAGATAGATCCATTCGTCTCAGAATCCTATGGCTTTGCGAGCTTCCCCGCAAGAGAGGATAGTCAGAGATCCGAGATAACGTGAATTACTTTCATATGGTATGTAACTTTCCAATGTTTCCAACAAGGGGACTTTCTAAATTTAAAGGATCTAGCAACAATGGCACCATGGTACCAGGCATTGACTACCACGGTATGTATTTACCAAGGTACACTCACTCACGGGGTGAAGGCGGATCCTGTCTGATGGCGGTCAGGGATTTGAGACCAATAACAGAGTTAGGGTATGGACGCCAAGGGCAAATTACTGCAAACAGAACCATCAGACAGAATCCGCCGTCAGTACTCTAGGTGAGCGACTGTACTACTCTATCATCCCGTGTGATCCTCGGCCCGGGGTTGATTGGGAATTACGGTCAATACACGCACTACAAATACATTGTAATGGGCTTGGAACTCGGACTACTCGATGCCGGTGATATTCCCGAGGATTCTAGTTAAGCTTTCTGTCAGGTTATTCCCTGGAGAGTCCGCTTGTCGGAATCATTGCGATGCCAGTTATCCCTGAAGCTACTGGTTCTCGAAGAATGCACACTTGAGAGATCTATTTTACGAATACTGGAGCTCCAATATAACTATTTGCATTGGGCAAAACACCAAAGTTTGTTATCAGCTTTCTTCTATTCTCACCGAAACCTCGTTTATTTCTGCCACGGTAGCATAATTGCGGTCGTGTAGAGAGATGTCTGACTGACTTGTCCCCTTAGTAGCTACTGTAGGGAAACGGATAGCTTAGGCAGGGTACTGTATCGCTTACAACTCCCGCTAAAGGGAAACCCTGATGATCGACATCCAGGGACGACGTCCCTCTAATTAATACATATCCCTGGTAGAAGAACGTTCTCTTAAATCTCGCCACGGGCTCGGATCTAGGGTCGTCGCAGAGTGAAAGATCTCATTTTCGAATAATTTCTACATACTCTGTGGCCAATTGGTGTATCTGTGGCTGCATAGAATGAAGCGGATTGGTAGAGAGACCTGCAAATTTTTTTCCACCTGCAACTAGGTAGTAGAGTACGACGATACTTGACAGGCCTATTTTAAAGTTGTCCACTTGTCTAATACCCAGAGCTGCAATCACACGGCTATTACTCTTATTCACCGCTTGGTACCCACCCTTCTGTTCTTATTACGGGTTTAAAGTTAATTACTCATAGGAATACATATCCTCAAGCGAAGTCTCCGCTACAGATGTGATTACAATATTGAATACCTATTAAGGCCGCCAAACACTCGCCAGTCTGATGTCCTTTTTTCGACGGATGTTAGAGTAGAAAGGCAATCAAAAACGTGTTGTTTCGACGGATCCGACGGGATTATCATGATGAGCTTTCCGGGTCCAGTCCGGTCTATAAAGGCCTGACGAACATGGATATTGATTGATCGATATTAGGGATGAGTTTCGCTGTTGTAACACCGCCAATTCGCATTTAATCACATTGAGACTGCGTTTATCTTCAGCAGCCCTGATTGAGAGAGATAGTCTTCTTAAACGTCGGGATAACTTGTATGTATCATCCTTTTCCTTTTCTCTTGAATATCCGTAAAATAAACGAATCGGTTCCCAAGATCAACTACGTATAGCGCTGTACCTGTTATAATTAGGTACGCAATATTCGCGATGCCGAGGCCACCAACACGTACGACATCATTGCAACTTCGCCAATATCCATGCACAACGGTTATGTCGAGCGCACAGACCGCTTGGGTTTGTTCCTGGTTATGAGGGCGACATGGAAATCCCCTTGGGAATAAACGTTCATGTGGGCACTAGGATGGCGAAGAGCGGGGGATCTACTCTAGTAGAATACAGTTCCTAGCACCATGGATCCGAATCATAGCCAGACGAGAGAGGATTCTTCTCACAAGGGAAATCGCTTAAACAAGATCAAGATACCCGGGCCTAGTGTTTCAAGACCTGCATAAGTACCTGTGATACATGTGGATAACTTGAACAAGGACCCCCGACAGAGGAGAAAACAAACATTGAGACTCTTTTATGAGATTGAAGCCTTCCCTCATGCGGGTAATCAGGTCGGTAGTGCGCTCTATTGAGCTAGAGTAGCCATTGGTATAACATAAAGTACTCCTGCAGGTTTGCACATGCATCATGATATTCATCCAGCCTTGCGTTTCAGCATGACGATTTTTCAAAAATACCCGGAAGAACATCCCTGGAGAAGGTACCAATAAGAGAAGTGGCAGCCACTATCAGGACGATTGATAGACGACATGTAGTTTTTTCTTAACAACTGAAAAAAATGAAAAGAAATTAGAAAATGAACTTAGCCACCTCTTATACCCACCCACTACATACTTAACCACCACTGCTCCCCTCCATCGCTTGTCGACAACAACAAGAACCGCCGCATACGAATCAATTCAAGATGGGAATGTGGATCTTGGAACCGAAGCCTTTGAGGCATGTGCCGGGTACTACTCAATTATACGAGGACGCAAGGTCCGAAGAGTCGCCAAATCAGAGAATCAATCTCAAGCGTGCAACTGGGAGAGATAGCAACATGTTACTTGTTCCCCAACCTTCAGACTCTCCCAACGACCCGCTGGTATGAGCTCAAACGATGAATGAAGACTTCCATATCATGCTAACGGCAAGTTTAGAACTGGCCCCTGTGGAAACGTGATCTCACGCTGGTTATTCTATGTCTCGCTGCAGCGGTTGGTAAGTCATTGACCCCCCCAGCGACGTACAACATTGACCTGGCCCCAATACATTTACTAACATTTGATTCTAGCTGGAGTCCTTGGTCCTGCCGTAGCCCCAATTAATGCGGTTTTAGTTAAAGAATTTAATACAACCTATCACGTTGTGGCTAGATTCGCTGGTTGGCAGTTTTGGCCGGCCGCTGTTGCTGGGCTCATAGGTTCTGCATTTGCCCGCGTTTGGGGAAAGCGTCCGGTCTACCTGTTTTCTATCATTCTTCTTTTCATCGGGGGGATCTGGAATGCACTCGCGACGAGCGCGGATAGCTTCTTGGGTGCAAGGGTACTTCAGGGTCTTGGACTTGGGGCGTTTGAAACAATCGTTCCTTCGTCAATTGGGGATATGTATTTTGTAAGTTCACAAGTAAAGCTATATCGATGTCAATGAATAAGAAACTAACACGAGATATAGGTCCATCAAAGAGGCAAGAGAATTGCTTTCTACAACTTGAGCTTTCTGGGAAGTACATACTTCATGCCAGTCCTCGGAGGATACATCTCCATGCACCACGGCTGGAGAGCGCAATTCCAGATAATCAGCGCCTTCTTAGGCCCTATCGTGTTCTTGATCTTCTTCCTGGTCCCGGAACATGCATACAACAGACCGGCCATCTTCAACACCGACTATGCCTCCGAGGACAACCTGAGTGATCTGGATGAGCATCTTGGACAGGCCAATGCTGCAGTTCCTGATGCCGCGGCGAAGGAAGCCAATACTGATGCTTCAGAGGCACCCGCGGAACCAGTATCTTCGGGCAATACTAGTGCGGAAGTAAAGAAGACATTCTTGCAGGAATTAAAGCTGTACAACGGGAGGTTTTCGGACGAGAACTTCTTCAAGCTCCTACTCGCCCCACTGGCCCTCTTCCTCTATCCCGCCACCATCTGGGGCTTCCTCTTTCAGGGCTCTTTCATAACCTGGGTACGTATCTCCATACCCATCCTCATATCCATATCCCCCCCCCCCCCCACATCCATCTCTCCCAATTGCAATTAACCCACAAACTAACCCCCACCACCACCACCAGGGCATCGCCGTCTCCGTCGTCCTCGCCCAAATGTTCGCCGGCCCGCCCACAAACTTCACCCCGGAGCAACTCGGCTACATGTACGCCGCGCCCTTCCTCGGCGCCGTAATCGCCTACTTCGCCGGCAGCCTCCTCTCCGACTACCTCGCCAAAACGCTCGCCCGGCGCAACAACAACGTCTACGAGCCCGAGTTCCGCATCATCCTCGTCATCCCCGTCGCCATGTTTGGCCTGCCCGGTCTCTACGCATACGGCCATGTCGCAGAGATGCATCTGCACTGGATTGTCCCCTCGGTGCTGTACGGCTTCCTGACGTTCGCCGTGGTCATGAGCTGCACGGCGACGTTTGCGTATATCCTGGATGCGCATCGGGATGTGAGTGTGGAGATGTTGGTGTCGGTGTTGTTGCTCAAGAACTTTTTTGCGTTTGGGGCGACGTATTTTTTGGTGGGCTGGGTTGCTACGGATGTGAGTTGACCACCGTTCTATGAAGCTCTTGTGATTTTGTGATGGTGAGGTGGTGTTGATGCTGACTGTGGAATCATTGATGTAGGGTCCGGCGAGGGTGTTTGACATTATGGGAGCGATCCAGACGGCAATCTGCTTCTTGTCCATCTTTATATACTTCTTTGGAAAGGTGCAGAGGGACTTTATGAACCGCCATAACCTGCTCAAGTGGCTTGGGTTGTATCCAAAGTCGGTCAGCACTATTGCTGTTGCCTGATTATGAGTTTTTTGATATAAAAGTTTTCAATTTTCCTTGGTTCTTAAAAGGTGTATAGAATACCCTAGATGAGTAATGACTATAATAAAAAAAAGTTTCACAATAATCTTTGTGTGGTGGCTGTGATTGCTGTACTCTGGTGTATGGGGGTGTGTGGTTACAAAACGGGCTTGTATAAGAAATGATTTATTTATAAGTAGAGTTCCATTCTCTGATGTCGAGATTCTTCACCCTTCCCATGATTAGTTCTTCCCCCAAGTACTCCTCCACACTCCACCATCACTCCCGCAGCATCTCGCCATACTTCTTCACAAACCTCTCCACCGCGCCCACAAACGCATCCACATGGCTCCTCTCATGCACAATACTCAACGACATGAACCCGCGATACGCAATATACAGCCCCTCCCCCAACAGATGAAAAAACATCAACTCCCTCACCAGCCCCGTCTCCACCTCGTCCCTCCCCGAATACTTGAAAGCCATCAAGCTCCCCATCCCACTGATGCCCACCTTCCCGCCCGTCTTGCCCTCCAGCACACCTTCAACTTTCACCCGCATCTCATCACCAAGCACATTCATGGCATCCAGAATCTGCGCCGTCAACAGCCCCGCGGCAACCCCGCCCGCCATGCTGAGGACATTGTTGTTGAACGTCCCCGCGTGCGTCAACCGGCCGCTAAACAGCTCCATGATCTCCCCGCGCCCGCCAAACGCGCCAAAGCTCATTCCGCCAGCGAGATACTTTCCCAGCACTGTCATGTCCGGCTTGATGTCTAGCTTCTTCTGCAGCCCGCCCCAGTGCAGCCGCGATGTCATCGCCTCGTCAAAGATTAGCACCGCCCCGAGCTCTGTCGCGGCCGTCCGGAGGTATTGTAGGAACTCGATGGAGGCCGGGATGCACCCACCAGAGCCGAGCATGGGCTCCACTAGCACTGCGGCGAGTGTGTCTGGCGGGAGCTGCGAGAGCTGTGCGGCAGTGCGGGGGATGTCGTCGTATGGTGCGATTACATATTCGTGCGGAATGTTGTGTGGTGCTGAGACGCCGCCTGCAAAGCCCAGTGGGCCGCCGTGGTAGCCGCCGGAGAAAACAAGAATCTACAATGCCATGTGCAAAACAAGCAAAACCGATCATTACCCTCCGCCTCGAAACTATGAAAGAGAAGAAACGGGGAAATGACCACAACCACACCTTTTTCCGCCCGGTATATACCTTCGCCACCGCCAGCGCCATGATGCTCGCCTCCGTCGCCGAATTGGTGAAGCGGATCTTGTCCACTTCGAAGCGGGCGCGCAGGGCCGCCGCGAGCTCGCCCTCGAGCTCGTTCACGGCGCCAAAGTTGACGCCATTGTCGAGTGCATTGCGGAGCGCGGCTAGAATCACGGGGTGCGAGTGACCAAAGAGGCCGGCGCTATATTCGCAAAGGAAGTCGGTGTAGGCGGCGCCGTCGACGGAGGTGATGGTTGCGCCGGCGGCGGAGCGGACACAGAGCGGGAATGGCGGGTAGGAGAGGAGGGAGCGGGTATTGCCGGCGGGAAGATGGGAGAGGCGGGAGTTGTGTTGGGCGTGCGAGATGGGGTTGGAGGTGGTGTAGTGGGTTTTGAGAGCTTCTACGGCAGTGGAGAGTGCGGTGAACATGGTGGGCTGGGTCTTGTGAGGTGTGAAACTTGCTTCTGGAGCTCTATGGTGATATGGGGGAGTAGCTTTATATACTCGTCGTGGCCAGCTCAACATGGCGACAATGCATCTGAGAACCAGGCCGAGGAGCGGGGTATGATAAGTCCTCGGATTATTGCTATACTTGTTGCAGAAGGTCCATAAGCACTGCATCGTGATCATCGTCCGTTCGAGTCATCATTTCGGCATGCCGCAACCACGGCATCGTATCCACCGGGGAATTCGACAAGCATTTCGCCAATCAGCTCTATCAGAAATATTTCATCGCCGTTAGCTCCTACGCAATTTTTAGAAGGATCTACTACTCAAGACATGGAACGTAATATTATACTTGAGTAATCCCGACTCGGGCCGGGGTGGCAGGTCAATCGGTATCCCGAGCTTCGTTTCCCAGTCAAGGATTCTGAGAGCTCTTGCATGATACAGACGAAGCATATCCTTTTGCAGTAACGCATGGCCAAATTGTTTAATTAAGATGTTGGGGAGACTACAGGAGCTTCTGTGGTTATATACACCATGCTTGAGGACAGACTCACACCACCTATTCCTCACAGTTCTACGTGGCAATACTCGAGTTCTAGGGCATGTTTGCCACAATGCGACAAACAAAATATCAATGTCAGTTCAATTTCAAACTCCCGCACAAAGTCTGTGCTAGTTCATGGAGAAAAGCCCATGTGTAGGTTCACTTTGACTCACAGCTATATTCCACCGAATTGGCCAATAGAGATATATCCACTCGTTAACAAGCCTTACCACTGCTACATCTCAGTGCTTGAGCTTATCAAAAAACGGGTCCGATTTCACTTTGCACTTCCCGTGCGGTGCCTGAAACGTGTTTCGCCAAGAAACGCGGTGATACGATCATTGAGGCTACCTATCGACACCGACCCCACATCTCCCCCACATCTCCCCCACATCTCCAACCTCACCTCCTCACCACTTCTGCAAACACTCCCCCCATCCAAAATGACGACCCAGCGCCCCACCCCCTCCTCCGACGCCGCCACCAAGCAGCGCATAATCACCCACATGAACACGGACCACTCCTCCTCCCTCAGCGACTTCCTCCAGCACTACTCCCGCCTGCCCCCGTCCCTCGCCGCCACCGCAGAACTCGTCGACATCTCCCTCACGCAGCTGACAATCTCCTCACGCTCCTCGCCCACCGCCACAACAACAACCTACATCCCCATCCGCCCCACGCCCATGGAGACCTACACCGACGCGCGCGACAGAATGGTCTACATGCACCACGAGGCCCTCGAGGGGCTCGGAAAGAGCCCCATTGTCATCGACTTCTATGTTCCCCCGCGCACGCTCGTGCAGTGGGTCACGTTCTTGGGAGTGTGTTTGGGGTATTATGGGTTTAGCTTTCGGAGCAATTTTGAGCCGGGGGCGGCGATTCATGAGTATGCCCTTATCTCCCCCACCCCTCCATTCCGCTTCCCTTAGGATGCAACTAACGCCGCGGCAGCTATCTATTCTTCGCCCTCCCCACGCTCGCAGCGCTGTTTGCGCGCTTCCACTACGAGTGTCTGTTCCTGATGGTGCTGGTGCATGTCGCGGAGACGGTGCATATGGTGCGGAGCCGGCTGTGGAGGCACCAGACGCCGAGGTTTGAGCGCGCGTGGTGGATGTGGGTGCTGGGGACGTATCTGGAGGGCTTTGGAAGCTTCTTGAGGTTTGATGAGGCGGTGGAGGGGGTTAGGGCGAAGAGGGCAAAGGCGACGCATTAAGTGTTGGTGTGGGAGGGGTGGGAGGGGTGACTGGGAGGGGGAGGGGGCGGGGGTATATAGACTTTAATGAAGTGAGGATTTTATGATTGGATTTGAATTGTAGAGGGTAGGAATGTGCTCCATTTGCAGATCTTGGTATTGCACAAGAACAAGAAAGCATTATGACTCCAACAATTTGAGAAAAACACAAACCAACTGGCACTACTATAGCTGTCCAGATCAGCAGAAGGTTCCACACTACCTATATCTTTCCAACACCAGTAGAGTACATATGTACTTAATAACTATCACCCAAACCCCATACATTACCTACCTCCCAAGGACCAAGCCAGGACCGAGCTCGAAACCAATCTAACCATACCACACAACCAATACAAAATGAAAGCTTTAATTTTTCCGAACTTCATTTTGAGATCCGCAGATATCAAACCGGATTTATCCATCCGGTCGGTCAACGTGCAACCACAACCTCCACGTACTCTCTCTTGATCTTGATCTTCACTTTGAGCGCTGTTCTACTCTCTATTTAAATACTGCATGAGACCTCAAATACAACATGACTACATGTATGCACTAAAAGTAGGCGCCAACAGTAAGTATGTAGTTCTTATATGTAGGCATATTTGGAAAAAAGGGTAATATAATATTTGTAAATTAAAGGCATTATTTGAAAAAGACATTAATACGAACAATCAGTATCCTGACAAACAGGACTCCAATTGTCGATTATATTATTAGTACATATGCATATTATGCACTCATGTAGTTATCACCGAAAATACTACATGTAGTATCCACCCCAAATTACAATTCAAAGCCCACGCCATATATTCCCCCAACCCAGAAGCAAAACGCACCGAACAACTACCCCCTTAGCTTCTCCTCTCTAGACCTTAGCATAGAGTAGAGTAGAAAAACCCGCCTATATACAAGCAGGATACATACACCAGGTCTCACTACAAATTAAAGTATCCAATACAATACAGTAGTATAATATGGTCGGAACGTCACATACACGCAGTGTGCTACCACTTGTATTTAGATACGTATAATTTTACTCATATCCACCGTACTTGATTAATTTGGAATGGCAAACGATATGCTACTATCGATAAGATTATCAGTATATAAAGGAAAATCACTAACTACTAAGTAGTGCTCGCTACAAATCAAAATTGTTTTTTCAATCCTCAAATCAACAAATCACTTACTCTCTGGGCGTAGAATATACATGTAGACACACCCACATATAAACTAGTAGTATCGATACTTAAGCCCCCCCCCCCCCCCCAGCCCTGCTGTGCCTAAGCCAAAAAACAAAAGCCACTAACCAACTAACCCCCACCAACTCCATACCCCAGCCTAGTGCCATTCCTACTGCACCCCTCCCTCCCAACCCAAACCAAACCAAGAACAAAAAAGAAGGACCTCCGATGCGGGGAATCGAACCCCGATCTGCTCGGTGAAAGCGAGCGATGCTAACCGTTACACCACATCGGATGTGCTGGTTGTTGAACTTTGGTCCTACCTAAGGCAATGGGGGGGATGATGATGGTGGTGGTTGGAAATGATCGCTGTGCAACATTTCACGTCAACGCTGTCTGGGAGTCATATGGCACTGGCAATCAAACGGGGGACTGAGTTTTAGTTGCGTAGTTCCGAGACATCACTCGTCCCGACAAGGGCAGATTTCCCTTCAAAATCAATAGAAATATATACTTGGACTTAAGTAGCACTAACAAGTAATATATACTGATCCCCATGCAAAAGACCGAATATAGCCACTTTAAGTAGTAAATTTTTCCATCCATACCACATCATATATATGCCCATAGATCATAGTACCTTTCAAAAATCGAATATAGAACCAATAGCGCACATGCAGTGTGGTCCACGAGGACGAGCGTCCTTGTGTCCTTGCCTCGAGGACAGGTCCTCGATGACACGCAAGGACAGTGGTCCAAAAGGACAAGGAACCTCGAGGACAATATCTGACCTCGCCTCGAGGACTTCCAAGGACAATTCTTGGCTATAATACACACTTAATATGCCCTAATCGGATGAGGTCATGAATAAAGTATACCTTCATTTTGAGAAATATCACCATTTTGGTTTACCGGATCATCGCTTTATCGTCCTCGAGGACACCCCCAAACCTCGCCTCGAGCGTCCTCGTGGACCACACTACGCACATGGAGATAAAAAGTACTGTTATCTAAAGACGATCTATAACTTAATTCTCCCTTAAACTCATAATGCTCAAAAAATCATAGCACAGGTTTTCCTCTCCGCCCAAGATACGCGCCACTCCCGTTGCTGAAGCAAACATCCCAACAACAACCCCATCCGCAATTCCGCCCGACTCAAGCAAGTAACCCCGCCAGAGCACGAAGTAATATCCGTCCAAATTTATCGATAGCCGTAAAATCCACGCCACTGTTGATCTTGCTAGAAACACGGTTAAGCGCGATATACCGGTAAGGCCCGTAAAACAACGCCCTAACAAAACTCACACCCCCCTTTAAGACCGCAGTGTAAAGTAGGGTGTACTCAGGGTCATCGCGAACTATCAAACCTGGAACCTTTTCAAGCAACAAAAGACTATCGCCGGATTCCCCCCAGAAGCTATTAGACTACCTAATACACTGAGTCCTCCCGCCATTGCGCTGTAATCAGTACCATTTTCAAGTAACAATGCGACAATTTCTTTGTCCTGTCCCGCTAATGCCGCGTGAAGGGGTATCCATCCATCTGCATCTTGTGCTAATGGATTAGCACCTTGTATGAGCAGTAAAGAGACTACTCTAGCGTGACGATTCTCTACTGCTAAGTGGAGCACACCCGTTCCTCTGGCGGCCCGATCCAGGATATCAGCACCGTTTGCAATCAGAAGATCAATAATCTCCTCGTGGCCAGCTGCCGATGCAACATGTATTGCGCTGAGTCCGTGTTCATTGGCAACCGATATAGTACTGGGGTCCTCTTCTAAAAGACGGCGGGCTGCAGCATGATGCCCCCAAGCACATGCTAACTGCAGTGGTATGTTTTGCATATATCTACCTTGTAGTTCGTTGTACCACTGAATTGCTCCTGGTTTCTTAAGAAAATTAAGTAGGATATCAACTGTCGAGCTCTCTTCGTAATTTTTTAGGTGGGAATCCATGTATCGTGCTGGGTATCCCGAAAAAGGATGTAACTGGAACATATCCGTGGGTTTGTCCAGTTGTGCAAAATCAAGCGATAGGAACGTAAGGCACCCCGCTGCTAAAAGATATTCCGCTTCATTGTCAAGGATGATCCGATTCCGCAATAGGTACTCTTGAACAGTGTAATGAGCCAATCCCAGAGTTTTACTGTTCTGGTCAATTATTACTAGACTGGCGCATACATCAAGTAATGTTGACACGTCCGGTAAATCGGTCTCGTCAATGTAGTCCTGATCTAACTCTATAGATACAGCCTCTTACAGTTCATTGATTATAAGAATTCTTCTAGCCTTCACGAGCCATGAAAGGGTTTTCATAGCTAGTTGATTGCAAACTCTCGGTTGTTTGCGGATTCGATCCATGACTCGGTCATAAGTAGGGTCCAATGGCCTCTCCCTGGATGATGCGCTATTGAGATTCGAAAGTTCAGACAGAATCTGCTTCAAGGTTGTCTGCTGGCATATGTGCTCGATATGGAAGCGTACAAGGAGAAACCTTCATAGGATCAAGGTCAGTTGAGGAAAGGTGATCATTGTCACATCTATGATATATGTACTTACATCCCCTTGGCGCAATCTGTAAGCTCAGAGATTATCTTTTCTTCACAACCCTCTTTCCGCACCAGGCGCCTCGCACGTGGATTGTCTTCGATCTTCTGCCGGATATACACTCCGATATCTTCTACTTGGGCTAAAATTTCCAGCTTTACAGCATTTTCAAAAGAAAGTTGAATATCTTCTGGGTATGGCCGACTTGTTATGAATAGACTGAGCCCATCCTCTTTGAGCCTGTGAAATAAAGGCAAGAGGCCCTTCCTCTGATACTTCTGATCGCATTCGTCCAATGCATCAAAGACTAAGAACGTTCGTCTAAAACGACTAGAAACTTCGATAAATGCTGAATATACATCTTCAAAGCTTGGATTATCCTGTTTGGGATAATGGGTATCATACAGCAGTTCGAGGGCTGCTGGCAAGTGATCCATTTGGCGGGCGAGTTGTCTAACAAGGCTGCGGAGAATGTCAATTGGTCTTTGCTGGTCTCTCTCGACGTATTCGAAATATATGTACGATACCCCGTAATTCCCGCCTGATTTCTGAGTCTTTAGATAGTCGATTATTGAAGAGCTGTGGATAAATGTCATCCAACTAGACTTCTTGAATAACTAGAAACCAAAATGATAACCTCGACAGAGTCTAGGGGGAGAAGTACACCTTGGTAGATATTAATTACCAAACCAAACCGCACTACTCTCAGGCCACGAGAGGCCGTTGATCTCATCACATATCTCTCATGATAAATTTAGACCAAATTGGAGATATGAGAAATTCATCAATACCTTATAAATGTTTTTCCTGCACCAGCTACCCAACGTGTTTGTGGTTAGTTCTACTTTGACCCGAAGTTAATAAAAACCATAATGACTCGAACATACGAATTCCATAGCCCCAAAGCATCAAATAATCAGGCTGATCTTTGAACCAATTTTTTGAATTCTGCTGTCCCAAAAATCCAACCCGTCGTGTGTTTTTGTCTCCTTCCACTAATTTCGACATGTTTTTGGTCGAAGTTTCCGGGATATAGCCAATTAAGTATCTTGTTTCGCTTTTCCGCTAAGAATCGGTCGATGGATTAGCCCAAAGGGAGTTTCAAATTTTTGAATTATTCGACAGGAGTGTACCTACCAGTCAACATTCTATCCACATGAGAGGTCAGCACCGATGATTCGTTCCGGAGCTCGTGCATAATTTGGTTCGTATCTCGGACGCATCCGTCAATAGTTCTTGATAAGGCACTAACTTATACATGCCTATCAGCGAGACATATAAACTCCTCGGAATAAGATTTAACCCACAAATGATCCGTTGTCAGCGCTAAATTGAACAAGCTCTTATACCGTTCTATACTATCAATATATTGAAGGGTTTCTTTCTCCTTGAGCGGCCACAAAAGATACTTCACCATTCCCCGCAGCCCCAGTTTAGGTTCCAATTTCCCCTGTAGTGTTTTTAGTTCCAATGCGCATCGTGGAAGCGGTCCATTTTGGTCATTAAGTCTCTGTAGTGCTGTGGGCTGAAGTAATATGTCGTCACGAGCATGATCCCGTAAGACGAGAAGAACTTGGGCGAGGGAATGGAGCTCATCCACGAGCTTTCGGAGTTCGTTCGATACATCCCTAACCCCTCCCAGGTAGTTATAACCAAGAGAAACCAAGCTTCCGGTAATTTTAACAACTCCAATGATACTCGCTGCAAGACCTATGGCTTCTGCCATGACTCTGGGTGGTTCCCGGCAAGATCGATGTTAGGAAACGGGGTGGAAAGAAGGTGCTGATATAGAGACAAATACCTAGAGTACCTACATACACATAGAGTACTAGGGTGCGAAAAGTGATCAGAATCTGATAAGACAAATACATGTATTCACCGCAACATTCACTTATCAGATTCTGATCACTTACCCTCAACACCCGGTACTTGTATGGTGCGCGAGTCAAAAGTCGGGGCGGGTTGCGAGGTATTAGGTACTAAAATGAAGTACCAATCATATACTTCCACCTCATACCCCGCCCTGGCTTTTGACTTTTAACAGTAAAGGTGACACTCACTCGTGCAGACCAGCCAGCCGCGCATAAACCTGGTGTTCGTTTCGGCCGATTGCTGTTGACCTTTTCTGTGGTGCGCGACTGACTGAGTGTTCACGCGCGGTATTTTAAAACAGTAGTGTTTAAGGTTCCGTCTGGAAGCCACCCAAATCATGGTTGCAAGCCCCAAATCATGACCACTAAAACCCACACCACAGCCATCCCCAAAACGCCATCCAAGGTGACTGTTTGGATACCCAAACCGTAATTTGACCAAATTTTGATTTGCACTACTCAAAATATAATTGATGGGGATTGCGGTTGCGACGCTGCCGTTCCTCCAGACAGAACCTAAAAAGTCAAAAATATTTTTTGTTGCTCCGATGCGGGGAATCGAACCCCGATCTGCTCGGTGAAAGCGAGCGATGCTAACCGTTACACCACATCGGATACTGTGGTCTTAAACACTTTTAATGATATTTGAATATTTTAGCACATCTGACTGCAACAATTCACGGGATATCACTCGAGTTACATTATATCAACTAAACCCCTTCGAGTTCTTATTTTATTCTATCAAACATACTAATCGAGCGAGAAGCGATGGGAGATGAATATATCAACCTCAAAGGAATGTTCTTTGTAAAGTAGGAATTAGATAAAATGCCACTTTAGCCTACGTACTCTCGTCTCGTGCCCATCACTACATGTATGTACATAGCTACAGATGTAGACATTAGCATTCTTATGGTAGTAGATCCTCCACATATAGTTTATATAGATTGATTTGTTGAAACGCCGAAATTTACTTCACGCCTGTCCCACAGCTCCTCGAGTATTTTCTATGTACCTTGTATATGTACGTACTGAGTGTGAAGATGTATTTGCAATGTCATGCGTAGTAATTCGTTTCGTATTCCATGATAAAACAAGCGCCTGAACGAAGCAGAAAAAAAGACTTGGAATCAGGTGTCCCTGAGTGAGATATAAATGCAATGTATCAATATGCCTTACAATCTTTGTGCTACACAAAGAAAACCCACAATTCAAGACCTCTCCTCCCCTCGATCGGACCACAGCTTGCGGTACCATCAATCCACCACCAGGTATGTTCATTGCGCCCTCCAAATTGCCGATTCCGACCAGCATACCGCACCAACTTAGCCGCTCTTGCACAACGCGAAAAACAGCAGCTCCAGAGTCTCCGCCGGCACAAAATGGTTTATCTCCGATCGGCAAGATGAGTTCGAGCTTTGCTGGCCGTGAAAAGCTGCTTGGACGTGTGGAATTCGGGGCACCCCTCAAAAATCCTTCTCCACGTTGATACATATAAAAGCATGTACCATTCACTATTCCTCCAGTTATTCCTGTTGATGCTCCATCCTTACCAACGGTTTCACCCCCTCTCACACATGTGTTTGGCTCCAATCCTTCTTTTACCTTAGAGCCTCTCTTCATATTAAGAACTTTGGCGATTCCGTACGAATCAAGTTCACAGCAAGAGCCGTTTGCGCCTATCCAGCCATCTTTCATCTTTACCACTGCCCAATCCTCCACCCAACCACTGGGATCCGCACCAACTCCATACGCAGCGACACTGTTGAACCCGACTGGTCACTTTTATCCTCTGAATTGACCGCAATATGGCCTGCGGTTAAGCAATATCCAAATCCAGCGTCTGATGTAGGTTTCACAAATATCCCAACGCTCCCTCTTTCATTGGCCCCCGTTCTGCTGATATTGGAACCATGTACTAATGGTTTTTCCACGCTATGGTGAATAGGTCGAGGTATCCTGCATAAAGAGTGGACCCTTTCATCTCTTTCAAAGATCTCTGTCAAGTCCAAACCACCGGACAATCGCCCGTTCGCTCCCCCGCTGTGTTCCCACGTCACCAATATAACCTTTGGCCGTAAGGATTGGTTTCTCCGGATCCATACACCATATATCGAAAATCTCATCAAAGACTACGAGGACTACCCTGATGGCAAGGGCCGAAGAGAAGCCAATATCCACCACCGTGATACCGATAAAAGAAGGGCCAGCCCTCTCGGGGAATTTTTGATTCTCGATTTGCCACTTCACCGCCTGGAAATCTGGATCCGTCGTTTTGTCTTCTGTAATTGGTAAGAATCGTGGTATCCATTCTACCGTACAGCCTCCTTGGAAAGGAAATGGATCTTGGACCTTGACTGGTTTGATTTCGTAAGACGACCAGATGCTAGGTGTAGGTTCGGGTTTTAAAACACTAACAACAACACCACATGCTTGATTAGATTACCAGAGTATAAACCATCTGACCAGTAGAGGTATCCGGGGGGGAGTGGAGGTTTTCGTCGCTACCTTGCGCCCGTTAAAACATGATCTATTACTAAAAGACTTCTAAAGTAGATATGTCCTTTTTTAAAATCGCACAAAAACCTCTTCACACCTCTTAAGGAGCGAACAGACCGCGTCTCGATAATCTTGCGAAGCATTGAATATAACACCGGAGGCCAGTTTCGAGGGATCATATTGTGATATGAGTACTTTCGCCAGAGAGAAAACCGTCGAGCAAAATTGAGCGCCTTCGGATATCGATTTTAAGAATTCCATCGGCTGCGTGTAAAAATGATCCATATCCGGTTGACTCAAGTCCGGCGGAGGAGAAATGCGAGAGAGTGATTTCTTTGCTGCTTCGCCTATGCGGTGCCAGGTTGCGGCCATGTCGCGATTCCAGATCTGAACACTGAAGACGGGTGAATAAGGTTGCGAGTTGGCTTCCACGAACTCCCAGTAGCTATATTCTCTAGATATTCTCAGAGGCGGCATTTATAGGTTTGCACGTGCTTTCGCGGTTTAGCGAGTGACTCTCTAATGATGCAATCTAGATCTAGGGCATCAGCGGCCGAGGAGCCCTCGTCGGGAATAGTATCCAGATAATAAGCTTAATTTTGTGGCCAAGCGAGCGAAACTAAACCCCCCGATAAGCCAGGGAAAATCTCATTTGCCTCCCTTGAAGTCATGATTCATGCTGGGTAAAGGCTCGACTGTGGGTACAGGGTGGAACCTTAACAACGGTACATAATTGGGAACCGAAAGCGCGGTTATGTACGGGGCCGTGATCTCGTGATTTAAAATAGACGAATGTGAAGTCTCTGTCGGAGCTAGCCATTATCCACTGTAAACAAACACCCATGGGCCTATCATCCCTGATTTTCTTAATCTCAGATCAGCTTTGGAGAGGATGAACATGGTGGGGCACCGAGTTCTACTTACGACTATCTTCACAACCACTGCTTCCTGCTCATCGCAAAACACACTGGGAGAAAAAAGATCTCTACCTTTTATTCACTGTATTTCCGATCGGTCAATGTTAACCATCCTTTAGGGCATAGCTGTTTCTATGAGATAGGTTATGCTTATTATTGGATGGTCCGATCGGGGTGGCGAATGGTTCCGTAGATAACACAACTCTTAAGCTTATGATATCGTGTCAGAAGCAAGAAAAAGAGCTGCGCTTCAGTGTAGGGGAAGGAGCAATTCATGAAAAAGCCTAGTAAATAATGAGTGCGATGGGGGATATCAATGAAGTTGGCGGCGAAAATGTTAGGGATTCTCTGAAGCTGTATTGAGGGAAGAAGTGATGAGAACAAGTGCGAGGAGGTGGGGAGTACATTTTAAAATATAGCCCATACCTTCCTATGTGACACCACTGGGGTTGGAGTTTTCTGGATCCCTATCGCTTGTTAATAGTTGTTCAACGTCTTCTCCGGGCCTCCGGTGTGCATTTACAATATCCATTGGAAATGAAATTAAACTCAGGTCGAATTATAGTATGCAGGTTTATCCAATTGCCAATCTCCAGAGTTTGTAAGCATATAGCTGAGGATCTTTTTCTGATTAACTATACGTACAGACAGTAATCATACGAAGACAAAAATCTATCCCCTGGGAACTAACGCTGTGTTCATTCCTCAATAGCAAACTTAGTTGAGTATATAGTTACAACAAATTACAGTAAAGCAGGTCCCACGCTTTCAACGTATACCTACAAGTATCCTAGCGGCATTGAGATAGAAAACTCGATGCCAATCTCTTTCTTCAGCACCCCACCCAGCGTGGACCCATCCCTCGTCGAAATCCATTTATAGTTTATCGGGTCCCAGTCGAATCTATTAGGGCCAGTAATAGGTGATGAGATCCATATCTGCCGGTTCGGGGGCTGTTTATTGATCACATATGTTCCCTGCGGCAGTGTAATAGTAAGGACCCCGGCCTAGTAATTCAAGTTTGTTAGCTAAGTTTTTCGGAGGAGCAGAGGGAGAACAAACGCTGTACTCAACGTCCACATCTGTACGTTTCTCTGCAATCGCTTCAACACTCTCGAGAATACCTTCGAGTGTGCCCTCTGAGACCTTGTGGAAGTCTTCGAGGGAGAAACCACCCTTATTGTATGCAACAGCCTGTGTTTGCGAGAATGCCCGTTTGGCGGCGACGATCCCGGGGGCACGCGCTGGAACGATGAACCATTGAGAGGGGTTTGCGATGATTCGAGGCTGCTGTCGCAGCATAAGCCTGCGGAATGTAGTTCGGATCATTGGTGCGTGTGTGTGGTATTTTGAACTGGATGGGGTTGGAAATGTGAAGCTCTGTCGATAGGCTTGGCGGTGAGGCTTCGGGGTTACGGGATGTGCCGTTACAGGGTTCTAGGCATCGAAGATGACGAAAGGTTTGAACTTCGTGTATTATTGATCATGGATCAGTATTGACTTTGTGCAAAATTGCTCACATATATCGTCGTACAAAATTTGATAAGAAGATTGAAGGCTAACTCGACGCCCGAATTAAATAGAGTCTTCAGCACAGATAGGAATTTTCTTCCAGCACAAAATCAGGGCATAATAGCTTTTTTATTTGCGCATAATTCCTCGCATGCATAATTAAAGCCCGTGCATGCAATTCACATAGTTAGCTACATGTAGCTAACTATAATGCAATCTATAAAATGCCTTACATAAATCCTACAGCTATAGCGTGACCTCAAGTAGCTCAAGGAAAGCGCTATCAACCCCCCTCGAAATAAAACGCCTCGATTATCCATTCAGCCCATACAGACTCGACAAAGTCAAATGAATCAGTCATTTAGTACGTATAGACGCATATATATATATGCATGCATGTGCCAGCTTGAACTATTTTCTCTGGCACCATCCGCCAACGAGAGCAACTAAAACGGCGGATTATTTATCCACCACATCCACATATAGGAAGAATAGTGTTCTATCCCCTTACTCTCTCCAAAACACGCAATAAGTAAATCCAAATGATCGTGATTTGGACGATCCGATTTAGAATATACATCCAAGTCCAGTAATATCTTCTGCATCAGCGCGTCCGCCGAGGATCTTGTCATCCTATACGCCTCATTCAAATCAGCCATAGGCAAAGTATAGTTGTGTCTTTTCTCCCATATACTCAAGCCTTGGCCCTCACTGGCCTTAGTTACGGTCTCAAGTATCGATGGCCATGAGCGGATGTGGGCACAAAGATCTAAGAGCCCTTGCGCTCTTTGTAGTTAGTGACGGGTAGGGAGATATCCAGGTGTTCAATAGCATTGTTGAAGTCTTTTCTCATCCAGTAAAGGTCCCTTTTGAGGGATGTCACATCCATGTCATTCCAGGTCCATCCTTTCTCTACAGTGATATTGGCAGTATAACTCTCGGGCATCTTGGCCATGGGAATTGAAAGCCCCGAAGAGTTAAAAAGTCAATGGCTTTTCTCGTAACCGTAGTACAGTGGGCTAGAATTGCCTAGACTTTATAGTTAACTAAATGCGTACGAGAAACATCTAAGCATACATATTAAACCCTCACCACTTACTAGTACGTATCTCGAGCCCCGTTTAATTTCTTGGTGTAATGAACAGCTATGTATATTGGATGCAAAGTTTGTATCAATAAGGGATCGAAGCTAGGGTAGTGAAAGGTGTAGAAGTAACGGTACATCGGCCTGTGGTGTGCGACGGATAATTAACATGAGCTTGATTACAGCTGGCCTCATGAGCATTTTCATATAATATACATGTAGCTACAGATGTGTAACAGTTACCACTATCGAATTCGAAGTACGTACTCCATTCGTCCGTATACTGGGAATTAGGTGGTTCTAGGAACGAGTTTATATTTATAGATAAAACGCCTGATTAATTAGAGTCGTGTACTACTTCTCTAGATCTAGACTATGAAAAACAAACAGCTTGTGCTGCATGCTTTCGGTTCACTCTTTCTCCACTCATGTTATCACGATCACATTCAATAAAAACCTAATGTGTGTGGTTCAAGAGACCGTGTACTGCATGCATACATATATGTGCATGTACTTAGAATTTTGGCTCCCAATGTTTTTGGCACATGTATTATCTGTCTCAACCTATCTCTTACGTACTCGCGCTGTCGGATTGAGGCCGCTCAGACAAAAAGGCAATTGATCTGAATACTGCAAAAACATGAGCTCTTAGTTGTTGCCAGATCACTCGCCACAGTTCTTTGAGCGGCTTCGAACCGGCCGCGCGAGTACAATTGTAAATACATGTAGCTACATATATATACATATACATATCCTAGTAGATCATCATATGTATTATAACCCACTATAGACACTACACCTCAGACATAAATCATTTTTCGTAATACATATATGTACTTAAGACGACCTTAAACAGAGAATGAGGTTAATAGATGGAGACGTTTGGCGCGCTTCCCATTATGAGCCTTTCGTACGAATATCAGCAAGTAGGTACTCCCCGGTGTGATTTGTGGAAATTTTCGAGCTCCGCACTGAATTCACAATCTGACTATCCTCCAGCATTAGTGGCTGGTAATTACCACACTAAAATCAATGCGATCATCACGAATCACTCGTATCTGTTTCAGAGCGTCGTCATATTGTTCCCAGCGAAGGTAGTTCGTTTGGAGATCACCGGCCATCACTCGTGGCTTGGTATTAGGACAGGGTTAATTGATTGACATTCGTTTCGACAACCAACTCTGCCAACTCTTATTTATTCATGTGTATATTTGCATTCTCTACATACACATGGCACCAATGGTCATCAGCTTACTCAACGCCGCCCGCCTGCAGATATCTAGAGTAAAGATGCAGTGCCTTTTGCCCCGGACTAATGCAGAACTTTAAGCAGGCTGGATTTTTCGCGAGTCGGGTTGCGAATAACCGATAGATTCGATGCAGGAACTAGGTATATATCTCCTATCGGCGGATTTATGTAAACCATAATTCACAACTCCCGAAAATCTCAAACCTAATAACTAATCAAGGTTCTACTGACGAAAACTGTCGTGATGTGCCGCATTTAATTGATTATCAATATGCAGTGATCTTTGCTGCACTCCGCGCACGAGATGCATGCATTACAAACCCTACTAGGGAGCACCTCGAATTGAAGCCTTGAGATCAAGAACTTACGTCCTGGTCTAACAGCCGCTCAAACAACCGTCATACACCTTAGTACTCAGACCTATAAGAACTACCCGTGTCCCCTCCCATTCGCAAGTTCGTTGGGCCCTCCATTCACCACACAATGCTACACCTTCTCTCTATCCTAGCACTCACCGGAATTTCAACCGCTTCCGCCGCCTCCACTTGTAAATCCTACCCCAATACGCCCTCTTGGCCATCGCGAGCAAAGTGGGACTCCCTAAACAGTACCGTCTCCGGCCGCTTGATCGCTGCCATTCCACCGGCTGCGTCGTGTCATAAGAAGTTTAAGAATACTTCTACCTATGACCCCGTTAAATGTGAGCTTGTAACAGCAAATTGGGGAGAGCAGGATTCATCGTAAGTATTTCCCTGCAATTTACCAAAGTGTCTGATTCATAGCATTAACTTGAAGGGTCTCCACCCCGTGGTCAGGTTCAATCATCCAGTAGGGGTGCTTTGGGACTTCTGGACGAATATAACCTGTTTACCGACCACGAATCCGGAGGAGAGATGCTCCCTAGGGACATATCCAGAGTATGTGATTAATGCGACGACTGTAGAAGATGTGCAAGCTGGAGTGAACTTTGCGAGGTTAAATAACGTTAGACTGTGAGTGCAATTAATGGGATCTGAGAGTCAATTTATCTCAATAGAAGCTAAATTTTCCGCTTGGTGATAGGGTTATTAAGAATACAGGGTAGGTTGCAATTGTTCATAGGCTTGAATTGTTTGAAAAGACCTGCGTTGACATGTTATAGCCATGATTTCATGGGGAAGTCAACTGGTGCAGGCTCTCTTAGTATCTGGACTCACCATTTCAAGGAAATCGAGATCATTGATTCCTACTCTGACCCCTCTACAACCTATAATGGTAGCGCAGTAACTCTCGGGTCTGGTTGGCAAACAGCCAGTATCTATAATGCCCTGGATGTGGTTGGGAAGGTCATTGTTGGGGGCGAATGCGCTGTATGATTACAGTACCCTTCGCAGCTTCTGCCCAGACTACTAATTTTTCTTAGGGCGTTGGTTTCTCTGGAGGCTATATCCAAGGCGGCGGTCACGGTCCTCTGTCCCCTCTCCATGGAATGGCCGTAGACAATGTCCTCCAATTCAAGTTGGTAACTGCAGATGGTCTGTATAAAACTGCCGACGCCCACAACAATTCTGATCTCTTCTGGGCGCTACGTGGTGGTGGTGGCTCGTCCTGGGGTGTTGTGACCTCTGTCACCGTGAAAACCTTCCCTACTCCAATGGTCTCTGGTGCTGTAATAGAGCTCCACTACGATAAGACTACACCAGAAATCTTTTGGGAAGGCATTAATATTTTCCACTCCTTCGCACCACAATACGCCGAAGCCGGTATATACGGTTACTACGAAATTAATGCGAATTCATTCCTCTTGAAACCGCTTCTGGCAACGGGAAAGACGACGTCCGAACTTACTGAAATCCTTTCTCCTCTATTCACCTCTCTCGATACCCTCGGCGTACCATACACCGCAACCATAACCACCTATCCCACATTTCTCTCCGGCTACAATTCCCTCTTCGACGGTGAAGCTGCTGGCCTAAATATGTTCACAAGCTCTCGTCTCATTCTTCATGAGCACGTAATAGCTAACCATACGGCGGTAACGCAAGCCTTCCGTTTAACCACAGAGGCTGGATTAGGTATAATCGGTCACCTTGTAGCGCCCGGACAGTTTGGAGGGGTGCTAGAGGAGACATCAGTAAACCCCATTTGGAAAACGGGATTGTTGCTGCCGTTATATAATCACTTTTGGCTGGGTAACGAGACGGATAGCGACTTCTTGGAGGGTTTGGATCTGATTGCAGATGTTGACGCGGCTTTTAAAGAGGTGTCGCCAGGGTCAGGAACTTATGTAAATGAGGTCTGTAGTGAAATTCTCGTTCTTCCATGGGGAGTGCTGATGCTGATTACCATTGATTCTCCACTAGGCAAATGCATATGACCCGGATTGGGCAAAAGAGTACTATGGAGCCTCGTATGAGCGATTGTTGCGTATCAAAAAGAATGTGGATCCTCACGGTGTCTTTTATGCGAGAACGGCGGTTGGGAGTGAACTCTGGGCTGAGGCGAATGGAAGGCTGTGTAGAGCGTAGAGGCGTTCCATGGAGTTTGATATAACTATCTAGCGTTAAATCTATCTGCCAGCCTTTTCGAATTCAGCTACAACAATTCTCCATTCATAAATATTTAAACATTCTACGAGTTAGTTAGAACCGTGAGTGTACTGACATGAATATGCGCATACATTACCACACATATCAAAAAGTTCGGGATATTGCAGACTTTTTCTAGGGTGGTCCGTCGTTCACGGGCAATATGTCGAGCCAACCCATTAGTGGAGTGTGTTTAGGTGATATCTATTGGTGCTCTGCTTTGATTTATGGGGTGGCCAACACGTTCCGGTAGTGGTTTGGATATTGAATATTCACACTTGAAGTTCGCCTGTCTGCTACTGTGCTTTGATATGATTGATGGATGATAGAAAGATCGGGGAAGAAATAGTCTCGTACCCAGCCCGTTACTTGCAGCAAGCTGCCCAAACGGGTTGGGACGAGCCTAGGGAAGAAATGACGGGGGAGGTATAATGGATCCGCTAGGCTAGCGTGCAGCGTACATGTAGTCTTCTACATGTACATGTATGTACATGGTATATTGAATCTTGTCTCACAGGGGGGCTCAATTCCAACTGCACACACCACTTGTTCTCGATCGCCCTATAACACAACTCTCACAACTCACTAACCTCTACTTCTCACTTAAGTTGGAATCGTCAGTCCACTATTGATAAAACCGTACCTCTCCAACCTCCACAAAGCTTAAGTTCGAGCCCGCCATACCCCCCCCCAAACTCCTTTCTCAGTAGTGGAACCGCCTCTCAAAGAGAACTTTGTTTCCATATGATTTCATTTTCTCGAGACAAGTAATGACCTAATGGTCTCAGTGCAAGGACTGTGGGATGAGGATGGTTTCGGTGAGTATGCTGGTCATTCAGAATACTTATACTTGAATAAATGTTTTCGATTACTTGAACGAGGATCATATATGCTGTCTGATACTGCGCAAAACATCCTTTAGAGACTAGGTGCGAGTGATAGCGTGTGATTCGCATACCTCATTACATGTGATGAGGGCTTGTGATTGGCATACGCCTATCAGCTACATCTAATTCAAATTTATCCTAACCACCTACGGGGCTATAGGTAGGTTAACACCGCTTTGGGCCCTCAAACCCTGCGGAGACATGCCTACAGATATACACTTAAGTCCTTGTGAGTACATAAGTAAACTACTAAACACAAAAAGACAGACGAGTAGATACTTGTACATGTAGTCAAACTTTTGAATATTAATTTTGACACCGGACTATATTTGAATCATAGGCGCGCTCAACTGATACTTTAGACTAAATACATGTAGGATGGGAGAATGACTTACTCAAGAAGCCAAGAGAAAAGGAAATACGGCGCAGAGATAACAACGTCTTGTTAAGTGCCATCATGTGCGTTAACGTTCTTATACATCGTTTACCTCAGAAAAAGTTGGAGTGACTTCAGCTTTTCATACATACGACTCATACCTTGATCAACCACATGCAAAACATGTCTAAGCAGCATGATCTACAGAGGGTCTAACTAGGTTCTCAGCTCAGTCGTCATGCCGAACACTCTTCCAACGGCAGCAAAGATTCCCGGATTATTAGCTAAGCCTTCGACTGTACCCCTGCATTGGACCAAAGCTGTGGGTTTGAAATAAGTCTTCTTGGGATTTGCTGCCGATAGGCTACATGATTGTGCTATACCCGCGGCGGATAGGTGTTTGGAGTTGCGAGGCCATTCCCTGCCACGTGTGGCCCCATCATTTCCCCAAATGTTTGGTTTAAACGCGTGTGGTGTTACTGCCGTAAACCTCATTAGCTATACATTGTGGTACAGTACTTCATTCCTTATCGTCAGCCAGAGTTATTGGTCAGGAAGCAACGTCACGGTGTCAGGGTACTTAGCTGTTGGTCGTTTCCATCCATCATCTCCCCTAACTCTGGTTTAGCTGGTCCACTGAAGAGGCTTCGTTCTTGACATGACCCCACTATCCACAACCCCCTCCCCCGCAAACATATGTATATCTACATAGTTGACACTGTATTACTTTGATCACGGACCAGGCGAACGTGCGCGCGCCGAACGAGGAACTCGGGTACAGCTGATGCTAGCCCTAACCCTGACCGGACGCGGCCTTCGCATGAATCCTAAACCTCTGAAAGGTTGGTTTGGGATTTATCGAGCCTTAGTTATTATGGTCCAACCGCACTGGCGGTATTGGTGTTTGAGGTGGAAATGACACTGTAATATCTGTGTATGGTATATTACACGTAAATTATATCCCAAGAGCCTCATCTCGGAGAACCAGGTCTCCCATCCCATGATTTATAATGGACCGCCTTCGCACGAACAGGTCAAGCTCACGCGCTGATTTGTGACTGTACGCAGAGTCTATGACCATGTAGTTAAAACATCGTCATGATAGGACTGTATGTAGGTACACGAGTCGTACCGTGCAAAGTCAGCGGATCACGAACGCTCACTCGTGACACCCGTTACAACAACCCCTGGCAGGGATGGAAGACGAGCTTAAGATAAGTCCCTGGTTGATAAGACACCAGGACCACCACAACCCCAAATCGTCCAGTCATGTCGCGAGAACTGACCCCCAACGATTGATAGTTACACCACCACCACCACCACCACCACCATAACAAAACAAAAAAAAGAGATGCCTTGCTTTACAGATCTCATACAACAATCTGATTCGAGTCTTCCGTGGCACACTCGGGAAACCACACAGGGGAAGAGACCGGATATTGCGCACCACAAAGAAAAAGCCAAATTACTCGTGCTGATCATTTCGCCATAGTGTCCGAGCGCAGGAACCGTACTAACCAGAGGTATGGTAGCGGAGAAACCCCTCATAGGTAAGTGAATAATAGCATTATTATATTGCCATGTAGTTACCGGTGCTATGCGAAAAGGTACTGGTCAAGCCCGCCGAGGTATATATCCTACTGGGCCCTGAGTTTTGAATGAATTGGTACCTTGCCCCTTTTTTTACTTTTTTTTCCTTCTCATTCCCCCAGGAGGGAGGAGGGGTTAATGTTGTCCCTTCCTGGGTAAGGTCTGTCAACGAAGGGACATGCTAGCACCACCATGGGGCATCCAGTGCCTCAGGGTCCATCACCAACGCTCACGCGTGGGTTGATCCACTGATCAATTTCCACCCAGGGTCAAGTGCCGTAGAAAGAGAAAAAAATTGTAGACTACCCTTCTAGATATGCTACGAGTACCTAGTTTTGGGAGTTTTGGGGTGTGGTTATCAGTCAGTGTCACGGATGGACTAGCTGAAGTAGAGTAGAATATTATATACAGTGACCCACGGACGCGCTCTTCCTCCTGGTGTCTGTCTGTCTGTCTGCCTGCCTGTCTGTCTGTCTTCCTTCGAATCCTTTCCACTTGCCTTCTTCTCTTCCTTCTCTTTCCCCCTCATCCTATCGATTCCCCACCTGCTCACTCACCCCTTCTCATCGATCGTTTGCAGCTCTCTTGTTCCTTTCCCGCACATACCCGAAAGTTTTAGAACAAACGAACACGGCGGGGTGCAGCATTTAAGCAAGCAAGCAATCGATTCGGTTACGTTTCCGTCGCAAGGCTGCAAGTCACCATCTACACGAAGCATCGAGCCGGATAGATAAAACCTCATCTGTCCCCTCTTCATTCCCCCAATTGACATTATCACGACTAGCTATTTTACAAACCCATCACCAAATAATTTCATCATCATGTCCGGAACAGAAGAACAGAGCTCCACCAGGTTCACCTACAGGCCAACCTCGTATGTTTCCCCTCCACAGAAACATATCCCCCCCCCCTCTCCCCCGAGAACCTCCTTTCTAACACCACTGGAATAGGACAATCGCGCGGTCCTTCTCAGAGCAGCTGAACGACGCGTTTTTGATCGATGACAGCCTTGACAAGCTCGCCTCCACCGTTGAGCAAAAGTACTTTGCCCCCCCCCCCCCCCCAATGTTTCACACCGCTACCCCTGAACGCCGATCTCTAACGTTCGTCAACAGGAAGCAATCCGTCACTTTCCAGTCCTCAGAGCTGAAGCTCCTCGAGGAGTCTATTCGTCGCGCTGAGGCCCTCCTTGAAGAGAAGAAGAACAGGCTCTCGCAGCAGTTCCCCGGCAGTGTTCCCCGAGCTCTACCAGCCCCAACCCCAGGAAGGCAAGACCCCAATCCCGACCTACGACAGCAACGGGAATGAAAACAGTGCCAGTGGTACCGAGGAACCGCCGGCAAGGGCTGCCCCTAAGCCTCCAAGTGCTGACGGGTTCGTAGTAGTGCAGAAGACACCGAGTATGCTGAGTTCGACGGAGGGGAAGCGGTTCGATGAGCAGTACAAGGGACGACCGCGCCCTCCTGTGCCAACTGAGAGCTAGTCAACATGAGCTGCAGCTAATTTGGTTAATATTACTTTTCTTTTTTTATTTTATTATTTCTTTCTTTTGAGTTTAAAGACGCGGGCGCGGTGCGCGTCTAAAGCTTCCTAGATTTATCCCCTCCGCTTGTTTGCTTATTATGGTGTTCCTTTACTTCGGGTTGTATTTTTCTTTCTTTCTTGATTGTGGGGTCCGTTGGAACTGCATGTTATGGAGGAGAAAGAGAAGGGTTTTAGATTGACGGACTGACGGACTGGACTGGACTGGCGTAGTTAAGGATATTGGTAGATTGTGATGTGATGGGTGAAGGGTAGAAGGTCTCTTTTTTATAAGATAGCGATTTTTAACTCTGTTTCTGGAGGGGAGTTCGGTCCTGTTCTCATCCTCAATGTTTTTCCTTTTCATATTATTCTTTCTGCCTTCCACCCACCACTCTATGTTCCTTGGATGTTATCACACAAATACATGTAGGCACGGCACAATGCGGCTTTGATAACAACATGAATATTCTAAACAAGAAAAAAAGACATGATATCATTGATATGTAGGACAAGTGAATATTTCCCACCGATCTGACCCCATTGAAAAGGAAGCGCCGGAACTATGCATAAAATGTCGCGATATTCTCTCCCCTGGCGCTCAAATGAATGAGCAACCCCATACAGCCCGTCGAGTGTGTTGGGACAGCATGGGGGACGTGGGGAGGTAACAGTGATAAGAGAAAAAGAGAGAAAAGTAGCAGTCACCACCCCCTCTGATACCTCTATCAAAAAAAATGAAGGAAAAAACCAACAAGAAAACACCGGATGAAGTCAAAACCCACCATCACCACCGGTTAATACCCCAAACGGATAATACAATTCCACCCCCCCCCCCCCCGGCTACCACTTCAGATTAATACATACAAAAACCAAAAAAAAAAAAAAAAAAAACTTACCCACAAACCAGCACAAAAAAAAGCACCAGCACCTTCGGAACCGGACATGTTTTTCGGCTCGGACCCCGGTCACAGGATCAGCCCCAATTACGGACCGGTCTCTCTCATTGTAGCGGCGGGTTGGGCGCGCGCGCGAAAACAGGTGAGAATGTAAGAGAATTTTTTTTTTTTTTCAAATTTTTTTTTTCTTTCTGTCCTTCAGGTCGGTTGTTTTGAAGAGAGACTCGGACTGGAACGGGGGTGCTGGACGTGACCTGGGTCCGAGCGAACATGGGGGGGCCAGAACTGCTGTTGTGTGTTTTTTTGGTTGTTGAGAGGGGGAGAGGGAGAGGGAGAGGGAGAGGGGGAAGGAGTCTGCTTTTATCGTAGTATCATGGGGAGGAGGAGGATGGGGAAGACGGAGGAGGATGGGGAGGACGGGGGAGGATGGGGGGAACTCCGAGGGGAGGATGGGGGAACTCCGAGGGGAGGATGGGGGAACTCCGAGGGGAGGATGGGGGAACTCCGAGGGGAGGATGGGGGACTCCGAGGGGAGGGAACAAAGGATTAAGGGATTGGGGGATGGAGAGGGGAAATGGAAGAGAGGAGAGAGATGATGGTTGCAGACAGATGAGAGCCCCGAGTAAGAGCCAAGGAATGAAAGGCACCATGACAAAGCCCTGCGCCCCAGTGCCACTGCCACTGCCACACCACTAGCCACATGAGCAGTCACCAGGCTTAGGGCGAACTGATTAGGGCAATCTTACTGAGCCCACCCACACAAATCAGACCTCAACCAGCTGCTGGGGGGCACGATACTCACAAAAAAAAAAGAGAATACTGCTTCAACAAACCAAACCCCACCGCCCCATCCTCAATCGACAGTATCCAAAATGGTAAGCTCTAACGCCATCACCAACTTTGACGAAATTGGAGCTTTTTTGCTAATTCCGAGCTTTTGATCGAAAAAACAGCCGTTCACCAAGGTCGTCAAGAACCGTGCGTACTACTCACGCTACCAGACAAAGTACCGTCGTAGACGTGAGGGAAAGACCGATTACTATGCCCGTAAGAGGTTGATCACCCAGGCGAAGAACAAGTACAATGCGCCCAAGTACAGGCTCGTTGTCCGCTTCACCAACAAAGACGTACGTTTTTTTCCCCCCGAGATTTCCAGACCAGAAATTCGAGATACAGGAAGAAAAAAAACAGGAGAGCTGATTGTGTGGGGGAATCTTTGTTGGGGAATATAGATCATCATGCAGATCATCTCCTCCGAGATTGTCGGTGACAAGGTCCTAGCCGCCGCCTACTCGCACGAGCTCCCCCGCTACGGCATCAAGCACGGTCTCACCAACTGGGCCGCCGCCTACGCCACCGGTCTCCTCCTCGCCCGCCGCACGCTCACCAAGCTCGGCCTGAACGAGGAGTTCGAGGGTGTTGCCGAGGCCGACGGCGAGTACAAGCTCACCGAGGAGTCTGAGGAGGGCCGCCGCCCCTTCAAGGCCGTTCTCGATGTCGGTCTTAAGAGGACCTCCACTGGTGCCCGTGTTTTCGGTGCCATGAAGGGTGCCAGCGATGGTGGAATCCACATCCCCCACTCGGAGTCTAGGTTCCCTGGATTCGACATTGAGACCAAGGAGTTGGAGGCTGAGGTGCTGAGGAAGTACATCTTTGGCGGTCACGTTGCCGAGTACATGGAGACTCTTGCCGACGATGATGAGGAGCGCTACAAGTCCCAGTTCCAGCAGTACTTGGATGACGGTATCGAAGGTATGACTTCCCCCCCGGAGTTTAGTTCGAAAAAAAAAAAAACCCCACCCGTTCTTCAGGGTGGGTTTTGTGTCCCAACCACCGCACTAACGTAATGCACCCGCAGCCGATGGTCTCGAGGAGATGTACCAGGAGGCCCACTCCAAGATCCGCGAGAACCCCAACCTCGAGGACCCCGACAACAAGGACTCCAAGGGCAAGGACTACTGGAAGGGCGAGTCCAACAAGTACCGTCTCCGCAAGATCTCCCGCGAGGAGAGGCGGAAGAACGTCGAGAAGAAGATTGCCGAGAAGTCATCATAGATTTCTTGTCTTTCTTCTTCTTTGGGGTAATTGCGGGGGTTCTTTTTTTTTTCTAAAAAAATTTAACGGGTTTTTCATTTTTTTTTCTCGCTCTTTTTTTCTCCAATATTTCTTTTTCTTCTTCTCTTCCCTGATCCCCTTCTTCTACACTGTGGTTTTTGCGTGTGATGTGTGTGTGTGTGTTGATATTTGCACCCTACCATACCGTACCTACCGTTAAAGGCTCCAAAGAAAGAAATAACAGACCGCATACCCCGGGGAACCAATAATACCGCCTCGACTACGTCATTGCCAGATCTGGAATTTGACATTGCTCTGCTGTGCGATACAATGTTGGTTCTCTCTTTCTCCCATCCATCATTTCCCACCCAGTGAAACCTATGGGGGGAGCGCAGGGATTATGGCGCTCCTGTGATAATCTGCATCTTGCTATGCATGGTACTGTGGTGCGGGTTCTCGTAGCTGTTACTTTTGCCAGAAGGACGAGTTATTGTTATTATAATTGCCAATGGACAAGCGTTGTTTTGATTGCTGTTTTCGTCTTGTAACTGCTACCAACCTATGCCATAAGAAAAGAATTGTTTGCGAGATAAGCAAAAGAGGACGCCTGCTAAATGTCGGTATCCTGAAATCTACTTTTTCCATATCTTGCCCCCAGATTCCGTCTGTGAATATCTTGTTTTTGTCCCCAGCTTCCCTTCTTCTTCCCAGGAATCGAGCTGGGGACAAGACAAACAAAACCCCTTAACCACCCCCCTACGGTATCGCTGCTAGAGTAGAGTAGAGAGGAGGTGCGGGGACACAACGTAGGTACCCCGCAATGCCGCGCTAAAACAGACCCCAGCATCTGATTGGCCTGTCTGCTGGCGGACCGCCGATTGGACGAGATACAAGCGGCTAGCTAAGGCAGCAGCTCAGTTCAGGGTTGCGGGTGGATTATGCTTTTCAGCTTAGGTTGGCTGTGACCGTCGCGAGGGCTGGCGATGGGGGTTTAAGCTCGCTGGTCCTGGCCCACAGCGTGTCCAGGAGATGAGGACTGACTGGCAGCTGGACCTGCGGTGATTACTTTGCTACATGCGCAGTAACCTTCACAATCGACCGCACATGCGTGTAACTACATACAATAACCAACAACAGGTGGACAGGCTTGGATACGGTTCTCCAGAGTACAAGTAGATAAACATCCGAGACCCCTTCAAGGTCGATCGATTAAATAGCAAAAAAAAAAAAAAAAACTTATACCCGCGCATAAGCATATATACGTGTATCTTGTGCTGTTTCCCGGCATCACAAGACCCGGCCGAATCACAACCTCTCACTCGCACCCCAGCTCCGCCGGCCCACCATGGTCAACAGACAGTCGGACGGACAGATCCCCGCAAACTAACCCAGGGTCTACGCACCAATCCACGAATCCCCACGCCCCTGATCTCTATCCACTCTTCACAAACCCGCCCCAATTGCACCCCACCCAGCGCCCTCCCTGTAAATAGCAGTAATTCCTAGTGATATGATATTCCCATTCCATTGAAAGTCCCTCTCGATATATACACACAAAAAAACACAAAAACAAAAACAAAAAGTTCTCCGAAAGAAAAAAAAACAAACAAACCCATGACCATAACCATGCCCAACGCCCATTAACGCCGGCATCCCTCCCCCCTCCCTCCCTCCCTCCTTCCCGCGCTCTTCCGCCAGCTATCCCCGTTCCTGCCTCTTCGCCAAATCCCACGCCCCACAACCGCATCCTCGATCGGTCGGTCCAGGATTGCGGAATGTGGCACAGACCCGGCTGATCCCACAGACACTACCTACCCTAACCCTGATGATCCACAGCCCCCGCCCCTTTTAGCAAAAAGTGCAGAAGTAGCTTGGAGGGGGGAAAAAAAAAGTGCATATCGGTCGTGAGGTGGTGAGAAAAAAAAATTTGCGCGCATGTGTCGTTGTATCGTATTCGTTGGATGTTGTTTTTCGTTGCTTTGGGGGGGGGGGGGGGAGGAGGATGAGGATGAGTGGTATATATGTGTATATGACGAATTGTAGCGATAGTAGTAAAAATGAAATGAGAAGAGGTTCGTTCCGTATGGTGAAGATGTAGTAGTAGTAGTGGTAGTGGTACATAGCTGTAGCTGCCCACTCCCGTAATGACAATATGTTCCTACCCGCCTACATATGCCTCCAATCAACACACCAGCCTCCCTCCTCATACCACCCCCCCCCCCCCCCCCTCCCTCTCACCACCGCAACCGCCGCCAAAAGACCAGAGATCAACACGTACCCACAATGTAACCGCTCTGCAACCGCTCCCAGCCCTACGCTACCCCATCTACGGATTACACCCGCACTTCAAGCACTCCACGCAGCAGCTCTCGCAGCACTCAAAGCAACCCGTAAAGACCGCAAGGTACTCTCCGCAGCAGACAAAGATTGCGCCGCAGCAGGTGTTGAAGAAGCTCGTGCAGTCGGCGTTGGTGGCTGCGGGGCCGAGGTTCCAGCGCGCGGAGGAACTGGTGCCTCTGGGCTCCTCGTCCTCTGAGGTGGACGAGGTGGCGTCCATGGGTGGGGGGTTGGTGTAGCCGGACATTGTGCGTGAGGGTGTGAAGGGAGGAGAGGGAGGAGAGGGAGGAGGAGGAGGGGGGGGGGGGGGGTGCCTGTTTATAAATTCTAGGGAGTGAGGGAATGGGCGAGTGAGAGTGAGTGAGAGAGTGAGAGAAGAAGTGAATGAATGAGTGAGTGAGTGATCAGGTGTAAGGTGGGACGCCAGTAAGAGCTATTATACTGGTATAAGCACAAGCTACATACTTTGCTAGCATGGCATGCATACCGCTGTCTCATATTTCTAAAATTACATACAGCAAAAAAGCTTCACTCGCATGCCCAGCCGGCTAGCCAATTAGAGTACACACTCTAGAGAATGTAGAGTAGAGTACCCTGGCTGCAATAAACATCACGAATGAGGCTGAGATCCCACGCTGCACAGTCTGCACTGCACTGCGCTGCACTGCACCGTCTGCAGTGTGCAGGTTTCGAGTGAGATTCCGAATTCCAAGCAGTGGGTCGAGTAGAGTGGAGAGTGAGAGACTCGCAGTGAGAGTGAGAGACTCGAGTGAGAGTGAGAGAGACTCGAGTGACCTCAGCCAACCAACCCGGTTGGCACTCTCTTTTCTCCTTCCTCTGCAACACCTTACCTCTTCACGTTAGTAAGCCGATGTGTAGCTTCCCTGTCCTTAGTCACTCACTCCCCACGCCTCTTTAAAACAATTTTTTTCATGTTTCAACAACCCCACCGAACAGACAGACAGACAGCTCTCGAGATCTCTCTCTCTCTCTCTCTCTCTCTCTCATCATCACCCAACAACACAACACACTACCACACAAACCACCATGGCGGAGTCTATCTACGACCAGATCGAGATCGAGGACATGACCTTTGACCCAGCACTGCAGATCTACCACTACCCGTGCCCGTGCGGCGACCGCTTCGAGATCTCGATCGATGACCTGCGCGACGGCGAGAATGTCGCCGTCTGTCCCAGCTGCTCGCTCATGATTGAGGTTATCTTTGAGCCGGTTTGTCCCCCTTCTTCCCTCTATATCTCTTTCGACGGGGTTTTGCTAATACCATCCATCCGTCCAATAGGAGGACCTACCACCACCTGAGGGGATGATGGAGGCGGCCGGGAAGGGCGTTGCTATTGTAGTTTGAGCATGAGGATAGCTTGGTATTTTTTTTATTTTTGGTTTTTGGTTTTAGGCTTCTATGGAGTTTTTCGGGAGAAGGAAAAGAAAAATGGGTTTTGTTTGATCGATCGCCTGGGTTTTCCTTTTTGATGTAGGTAGCTATGTAGGTAGGATAAGCTTATAATAGCCCTCGGTTTACATATTGACTTGCATATAGAGAGTATTGTAGCCAGGGCTGCACTTCTGGATCATTCCGCACTTACATAAAAACTCTCGTAGCACTGCTGCGCCTTCGCGTAGGTAGGTTTAGAGTTTTTTTTTTTTTGATAGAGTACTTGTACTGCCCTGGCCCCCACGGTCAGCGCTAACCACTACTGCGGTGTTTGTTTGTCAGCCTATGAGCATTTAGAGTAGAGCTTCACGTGTGCAATTAGCCGGTTGATTGTGGCTGCGCGTGCAGTTTGTGGGTGTTGTTACATTTTTTTTTCGGTCGTGAGATCATTGGCGGGGCCGGCGGTTTAGTATTAGGTATTACCTACAGAGTCTGGTAGAATTATTGCGAAAGTCAGAACTAAAAGAGTGGGCTTCTTGGTCCGTGCTCACTGCAGAAATTCCTTTAAGGGCCAATAGGACTATCCGGTCACGGAAAACCCACTTTCGCAATAATTCTACCAGACTCTGTAGTGGGTTCTACTGGAAGAAAGAGGACCCGCTACCACCAGCCAAGAGCATAAAGTCTCGAAATCTTGAAGCAAATCAGACTTACTCGTTGCTAGTAGCTATTAGAGTACCTATATACAGCTTCCCTAGTAAATAGACGAAACTGGCCCAGAGACGAATTAACGGGGATGCTCATATATCAGTCCTCTAACCACTCCGCCAGCCAGTGGAGCCTCGGCCCGATCGAAAGCCTCAGACGCCATCATTGGCATAAAAGCTTATCCACCACCAACCCCACCCCACCTAGATAAGCACCCGTCACATGCACACAAAACCTACTCTACCCCAGACCCAATCCTAAGCCCTTAACGTTCCCTCCCAGACAGCCGCAGTTTCACGATCCCGCGCTACCGGGAGAGTTTAATCTCTTTCTGGGGTAAACTGGGGTGGTGGCGGTGGTGATGAGTGGACCCTGGCTATGGGTAGGGCAGGGTGTTCGGTTCGGTTCGTCCAGTACCGAGTTGAAGGGTGGGCGGCATGTGGTGGTTATGTATGGTCCCCGAACAGCTTATACCTGCAGCTAGCTAGCGGAGAGGGAGCTGGCCCGCGGTTGTGCAGTGGGGCTGTAGCATATGTTTGTATGTATGTAGCTAGACGCCCTACTGCCACCCAGTGATAACGGCCGTTGGAGGAGATGGTCACACTTGTGTTGAGTGTAGAGTAGAGTGCAATTTCTATTTCCATCTACATGTATCTATCAGGCGCTTTTTGCACTGGCCGAACAGGGTCTTGGCGGGGCAAAAGAAACACGAGTGATGCCCTATGAGGAACGGTCATCGATATGTCGGCTTACATGGGAATTCCAAATGCTGTGTTTCGGGGGACCTGTACGTCGGATTAATGATTCTTCTGTTGAGGTTGGTTTTTTTTTTGTTGGTGATATGGTTGTTCATGCGGGATGAAGCATGAGTTGGGTGATGAGGTTGAAAGATGATTGATGGATTGGAAAGTCTGCACGAGTGGGAGGTTTGCAAGCTTTGGAGGGTTGGTCTCAGATATAGCTACTTATCCTGTGTGATAGTCAGTCAGTATTTGAAAGACTGGATTACATACCATAGAGCTACATGTAGCGTATCAAAGGGACATTTCCACTCCTCTTCTCTCCGCACGGATGACTTGTAAAAAAAACAACTCTTCTGCATCTCCTCCACTCATTTTCAAGATCCTAAGAACTAACCCCCCATTCATCCCGAAACCGGAATCTAGCACAGGCTGAAACCAGCCAAGGTCCCACTACCAGCCCTATAAACGAATCTGGGGGCCGGGGGCGTTTGTGTCAAGATCAGACATTGTATTCAAGACACTCTTCCGCCGCGAGCATTCGATCCATCTCTAACCCACCCATCCATCTGGCGCCGCCAGAACCACGATGCATGATCTCATCCCGCCCGCCGTCCGTAGCGTGCCACGCGCTCACATCCGAAACCAACAAGGGCCTTCTTCTTTCAGGGTTAGGGTTGGACTGGACTGGGGGGGGGCCAAAAAAAGAACAGCAACGCTTCAATGTTACAGACCTCTTCGGAGGTGTATGCAGATGCGGCTCCACGATGACACTAGTTAGCTTCGTGGGCGGCGATTGTTTGGCTTGAATCTTGAAACAGGAGCGCGGCAGGGGGGGGGGGGGGGGAGGATTCCCACTATGCAGGTACAACAGCTAGCTAGACTTGCCTAGGATGATACCCCATAGTCTCGAGCTGGGCAACGAGGATGATCGATGATCGATGATGAGATGATGAGCTAGGTCGGTCTCTGTTTATTTCGGTTCATGTGATTTTGTGCCTGTAAACATACTGAAGTGGCAGCTGTGCAGCGATAAGTACGTGTATTTTCCCGTACTTCCTAGGTCAATGGCAAACCTACACAGGCCAGCAGCGAGTGAACGGGCCAGGACAAATGGTGCAAGTTAGATATCCTGCATTTAAACGATTACTTAAAAAAGCATGATTCTATCTTTTTTTTTTTCACCTGTTGGACTTTTCTACTTTGTTTTTTGTGAAGAATAAATTAATTGCATAAACCAGTTCACCATTGACCCAGAAAGGGTTATCTGCAGGTATGTACTCTACTCTATCAGTGCACCAAAACGGAAGACAAGGAACACTTATTACCCAGCGGATAATCACCATCTGTTGAATGTTCTCGTTAAGCGCCTGCCGTTGATTCGCCTGTTATTTGTGGAAAACCCGACAGACCACCACCTCAGCTAAAGTAGCTAAAGTAGTCGAAACAGATGCCCCAGCCCGCCCACAGTTTGCTATTGGCTATCTTTATATGATTGCTGGGGAGGCCGCCACTTTCTGCGCTTAAGGGGTAATAAAAGAAGAAGATGAAGAGAGCGATAGAAAAGATATAAGCTCTGCCTCCTTCATACTTACTTACTTTTGCTCTAGAACGTGTGTTTTTCATGTGAGTGCGTGCAGGTACCGGGTAAGATTTTTTTGGTGTGCCTGTAACTGCTCCCTGGTCCCTCCTGGTCCTTTATACTTAGTTTAATTCTCTTCCTTTAATTTCTTCTCTTCTCCGTTCGATATCGAGAATTTATATACACCACATTACTTGCTGCTGGACAGAAGACACCAATTTCACACAACATAATGAGTCAACGCACACGATCGGCATCAGCAGCGGCGGCCCACGCGGCCATGGAAGCCACAACCGCAACAACAACATCATCACCAAACCCTCAAGGAGTCGCGGAGCTCGAGATGGAGAAAGTGAGGGCTGTCGGAGATCTGTAATTACACACCCCTACTTGCTCACAAAGGAGAAGAAGAAAGTAACTAATTAAATACTTACCTCGTTGTAGAGAGCTCGAATACGTAGCATGGAGCTTGCCAAAAACCGAGCCGGGCGAGAAGCGGGGGCGGACAAAAAGCGCAGTGATAACACCACTGGCACTGTTTGAGCCCGGATCCTACTTCTTGAAGTCTTCTGGTGGATCCGAGAGTTCATGGTGTATGTGCGCCCGGGGGAAATTAAACTCAGAGGAGAGAATAGAATCAACAGAATGCTGACACCAGTTCCGCAACACAGTGAAGAAGCGTTGCTCCCAATTCCACAGTACCCTCTCAACCCGCTGCGTTCGCGATATTAAGCGCGACTTCTCCTGGAAGCTCTACGGCACATGCTGCAACCCGGACACCGGCGCCGAATCCCACTTTGTGCGCATCAAGTTCCTCACAGCAGCCGCCGATGAGTCTTTCTCCGCCATTATCGATTTGCTCAATGCCCTCGCCGCAAAACGGTTTCTCCAGTCCTCGCGCAAAGAAAAGGTGCATCCATTCGGCATCGGCTTCGACTGCGGCGTCCAAAAGTCAAAGGAGCGCCTTTACATCATTTCGAACTGTGCCAAACAAACGCCCTACCTGCGCCGCGTCGCTGTCGACTTTGAGGTCCTCATTGACAACGAGTGGAAGCGCCTCGATGCAACCGTCGACAGGATCGGCTTCGCGACATATAAGAGCGCGCCCAAGTCATCCGTTCTCGCCGCTAGTACGCTCGACGCAATCAGCTTTAAGGACGATGCATACCTGCGCTTCGCGCGGGTGACGCTGCGCTTCGGCGAACAAGCGGAGCGGACAGTGCTTGATATTGGTCGCGGCTTTGAACCAGCTCTCGTATATGGAAAGACCTCGACCATACTCACCATGAACCGCGCCCGAGTGAGAACTTGTGAAGGTAGTAAGGTATCCGTGCCCGTGCGGAGTCAGGTACGGCTGGTATTCACAGACATGAAGGAGAGTCGGAGCCGCAGCGGGACCTTTCGTCGGAATTCGGGGGGAAAGCACAGCGCGTCGGAAGCAGAGAAGGTACTAGCGCTACTGAAGAAGACGGTTGCGCTGGCGGGGGTAAATACGTTGGGGCTTGAGGACGACCTGGAGGATGATGCCATCTTCCAAATGAATATCCAGCGCTTGGTCACAGAGCCCGGATATGCGATCCGCGAGAAGGGAGAGGCACAGGCGGCGAGGATGAACTTGAGTAATCACTTCAAGAACTCGACACTGTTTCTTGTGCCGTGCTATGAGTCGAATGGTGTGAACTTGATCCTACAGAGCAGGAACGGGGAATATGTTCTGCGGCAGTACAGTGAGTACCGCCCTGTCCCTCACCCTCCCATACCTGATATCATACTGACATATAGCTCTGCAGTTAACGGCCCCGTCCGCTTCATCGGCTCCATAACATCAAACTGCTTCGCGGGCCCCAAGTTCAGCACGCTCGTCAAACACCAGCATGAATACTCAGGCATGGGAAAGGTCACCTACATGTTCGAAACCCAGGAAACCGACGCCACAAGCCTCGTCGAGATCCTCGTCTCGATAATCGAGAAACTGCACATGTTCCACACCACCGTCACCTCCTCCACACCAAACCACGTACCCTCCCTCCCCCCATCACTCCCGCGCATCCCCGCAATCCCCAGCATCCACCTCAGCCGCGCCGGCACAGTAGCAACCACACGAAACAACAGCACCCGCAAACCCCCGGCCCCGTCAGAGATCAGCATACCCCCAATACCAGTCCTTGCCCGAAGTGCGCAGCCGCCGCCGCCGGTTTCGGAACCAGAGCAGCCCGCACAGGCGCCGCAACCAGTATATAAAGTCCCCCGAAAGCCCGTCCCGACATCAGCACACTCGCGCAGCGTCTCGAGCAGCACATCAGGCAGTACATTAGGAAGCACATCAGTGGGCACATCAGGAAGCACCTCAATCACCTCAAGCAGCTCGCAGCCAGTCCGCACACTCGCGCCACAGCGCGATCCGTCCGCGCTCCCCGGGGGAAGGGTGTACGAGCTGCGGGCAGCGACACTCAAAAAAGTCATCACCACAGCGGGGCTGCAGGGAACTGTGCAAGCGGTCAGTACTACAGGGAGAGTTAGGTGAAAAACTGGGAACTTGTAGGGAGCTAGGAAATCATTATTATTAAATAGGAGCCTTTACACGCAGTCTGCCACTGCTTTTTTTTTTTTTATGTTTAATGCTTGGGACTTGGGACTCGTTTTTTTTCTTCTTTTCTTTTGTTTGGCTTGGTTTGGTTTGAGTGGTGAGGGAGAAAATGGGGATGGGATATTGGCGCCTACATTGTATCATATTGGCTGGCTAGATAGCTGGTACTTTCTTCCTCGTGCAGGATAGAACTACGTTCAATAAACGAGTTGACTCGGAATATTATTTTGTGTAATAGCTTCCCATGATTCCACCACTGCAGCAGCACGCCCCCCAAATGAATTGCAAACTTTAAGTAAATAGAAATAGAAGTGGCGAAACAGATAACCGAAAAAGTTGTCTCATCCTCATTTTTATTTGCCATTCACTGCAAAAGAAAAATAAAGGTGTGAAACTCCGATGCGGGGAATCGAACCCCGATCTGCTCGGTGAAAGCGAGCGATGCTAACCGTTACACCACATCGGATTGGTGTTCTGTACTATTTTTAAATATTTGTTCTCAATTCTACACTAGCACTGTAAGGATCGTTGATTACGTGATTCATCATAGGATATCACTCGGTTTCTACAGTCTGCCGCGATCCCCCCCCCCAAGGGCAAGGAACGACAACTGAGAAGCGAGTTATAATATTATGGTATGCTTGGAATTCTCGTCTTGTATAAGGTGAGCGAGCCACTGAGTTGATGGTTGACACCGGTAAAATGAATGACTTTTGGTCTGTCCATGGCCCAAGATAACGAAAGGTTAGCATGTTTAACGTAGATCACCAACTCATATGTGTACGTCTTCCGAATATTTCACAACGTACTTTTGTGGAGATTGGACTTTATGGGAGCCTCGTGCATTGTCTCAACTTGATATACATAGGGATCCCTTAGTCAGTCAGATACATATCGTGATGGAATTTCAGTTTGCTGCGGGAGGTCTCGGTTCCATTAAACTCCGCTCTCGTCAGTGATAGTGGGGAGAGCTTGCGCGAGAAAGCGAGGTTGTGTGCTTTCCAGAGACCGCACTAGCGCACTAGTGGATAAACGTGTAATGTTGGGACTTGGAAAAAGTTTATCTGGCTCTGAGCCCAACCTCACTTCCCGTGCGGACGAACCGACTACACCACATCATACCCCTCATTTTTTTTTTTTTTTAACCGACTAACACGAGTTTCTCACCAACTCATCGTCTCTAGACTCATGCCCTCCTCACATTCGATTGATGAGAGCCGCATCACCTCACTGCTGAATACACGCTCACCGCTTTCTACAGCAGGATGTCCTCACGACCTGGGGGAGAGGTCAACCGATACCGCGCTCTGAGGGTGGATATGGGCCACCACGCGCACAGCATGAACTATACAACTCGCAAGAAACGACAAGAGGCCACTGGCAGCTGGCTGTTCATCGGCTCCCTTGGCTGCTAGGTACAAGTCCCAACTGAGACCAATACCACCTCTCTACTCAATACTTGAAGGTTTCTCTCCCACAGAGGGGCAAGACCAGCGCACACGCATGTCCACATACTATCGCAGCATACCGCCCATTCAAAAGCTTCACGATGCCCAATTACAACCCAACTCGGGATGTCTCAAACCTCACACCCACTAGTAGTAGTGGTTCGTCGCCGCAACCAATGAGATCAGCGGACAGGGTCAACGCTAATCCCGACATGGCCACCTCTACTAATTCTCGGCACGTTTCTTGGCAAACTGAAAATTTTACCACCTCCATCCCATGCGAGAAAGGCTTCTTCGATGGTTTTCTCCTGCAGAGTGCTTACATGAAAACTTAACCTGAGTCATGCTGGCCTTAAGCATATTTCGGTCTTGTTTGGCTGGGAGATCATTCCATTATGCTCAAGACCGGCCGGCTATCAATATCAAGGACTTCATCCAGGGAGGCCTAATACCACAAATTCACAGCTGCCACTCTCCTTGTCTAGCCTCTCTGCGCCCCACTTTTCTCTCAAGGCTCACCACCCGCACTAGAACCCACATTGGCACCACACCCGGCCCTTTCCACAATGATAAATTCCTTGCAAGCCTCTCTCACCAACGGTCGCATGGCCCAATGGCAAGGCGCTTGACTACGATTAATATCCGAAATCAAGAGATTCCAGGTTCGACCCCTGGTGCGATCATTCAAGACCTCAAACCAATCATCCACAAGCATATGCGGATACCTCATATTTTTGGGGCGCCCGGGATTTACTTTTGGTCTCTGGGGCTCTGTTTTGTTTGAGTCAGTCACGCTGGAAATATACCTATTCTAATCTAGGACAATTATGTATGCACATGCGGGTATGTACACCATAGGCGGGACTGTGCATGAGGTTGGGCGGCAATGCAGGAACCCGCGCGGGAGTTTATCTAAGATCCGAACTGTGAAGGAGAAAGATCGTTTGACATGACTGGCCTAGGAGCTGTTGCACAGAACGGTAAAAAAAAAGGAAGATCGATCATTTCATGTCTCAATAAGGTATGTCCTAATCGGCGGGCGGGTACACACATGTACGGACATGAGCGCAATCTAGATGATGGTGCCGCAAACCCAAACCTAATCTTTGTTATAGATACAATACAGTATCAGTGCGACACAATATCAAACTATAAGGAGCGTAGCCTGCTGTTGGGGACCTAGGCATTATAACTGGTCCCGACAGTCACAAGGAACAAAAAAAAATTTAAAAAACTCAGATGATCTTTGTAATATTTTCACGTCAGATCAAACTATATACAACAAAATAAAGGTCTTTTCTCCTAGCTACCACCAACTACCTCCCAGTCCACGCTCCGCTCTGCCAGTACGCGCACCTCGTCTTATCCATATCTGGATCGTTGATTGTCGAGTATCCCGAAATGTTCACATCCAAAACCTTCACAGTATCGCCAGCATTCGTCACTGGGAAGGTTGCTGTCGGCGGGACTGACCCAGACTCCTTGTAGGTGTTTGGGTCTCCACTCCTCACGAAGCTTGTGATGTAGCTCTGGAATCCCGTCGCCAAGTTCTTTTGTGTAACGAAATCAAGGTCAAAATCAACCTGCAGAACCTGCCCGATGTTCAGATCGCTCCTCCAGAACGCAAGGATCAGATCAAAGCCATGAATTCCCGGGGGGACTGAGAATTGGTATCCCCATGATTTGGTTGGGAATGCTTGTGCAAGATAACGGAAGTTGCAAGTTACAACCCATTCGCCGATAATGGCGCTGAGACGGGCATAGTTGGTAAGGAACGTGCCAAAAAGACTGGGTTCGGGATAGAGTGTCTCGAGATCGGCCAGGTTCTGGGTAGTCGCGTTGGGGAAATTGTCTTTGAGAAGTGCATCGATCTGGCTATTAAGGATCTTTGTAGGGTCTGCGAATAAGAATCCTTCGTTGCTTGTGTGGCCGAGCATGATGGTAACATCCTTATAATAATTACCGGACGCCAGTTCAATCCCAGGTAGGTCCCTGACAAAATCATTATCCACTGCGGGACCATACCCGAATGTCCCGTAAGGAGAGTCATAAACCGTCGCGACATTCGCGGCTTGCAGGACGTCTGATGATACTGTACGCAGACATGCAAGACCAAGACCTTTACATCCAGCCTTGACTTCGAAAGTCTGATACTGTTTTTCAAGACGGCCAGGATCATAGAGTGGCTCAAAGGCCGGGGACATCAAGATTGCACGCTTGAACTGCGGGGTGAGAGTTCCGCCTTGGGCAGTGAGATGGTGCATGATTGAGCCGGCACCGGCAGATTCTCCCATAGCGGTGACTGCTGTCTTGTCACCTCCAAGGAGGGAAATATAGTCTTGGACCCATTGAAGTGCTGCCCTCTGATCCCAAAATGCAGCGTTTGGAGTACCTTGGGACTCCATGGTTGGTCCATTGAGAAATCCGAATGCACCGAGCTTTAGACAGAACGTCGTATCAGTCAAAATAGTCATGCTTAACTGAACAGATATTCAACTTACTCTGTAATTCGGTGCTACATAGATCAAGTTATTTCCGCTAGCCTTTAGGAACGGATTTCCATCGTAGAGAAAGAAGGATTTCGACCCCAATACTATCAATAAGCAATTAGTGATACATTTTTCCCAATTCTGGATTGAATTATCATTGTCGGGTAAACTAACCATATCCTCCACCAAAAATCCAAAATAGAATAGGCAGGTCTTTGACTTCTCCCCTCACAGCCGCGCCAGGAACCTGGATATCAAGGAATAAACAATCTTCCGATGCTGGTTCAAGAGATTGCAAGATCGGGTATGCAACTACACGGCTATATTAGAATATACAACATCAAAACCGACTACACTTCAACCACCCGGTGAACAAATTACATACCAAATAGCTGCTGCGGAGCTGCTTGCATACACTGATATCCTACTGTTCCATCTTGAACACCGCTCTGGGTCAATGGTGCGGCGGGTTTAGCCCACCGCAAGTTCCCGACAGGAGGAGCGGCGAACCGGATGTTCTTGAAGGTGTAATACTAAAATACAAACATGAGTATTCCAAAGAAGAACGAGATGTTCAAAAACTTACATCGTCCGTAACATCATATGAATACGCCTTATATGTCGCATATGGCAACGTCAATTCCGGCAACCCATCTGTGGACGAAAATGCGATTCCTAGGGATAAAGGAGCAGCAAGAACGCTGGGTAGCAATCCCGCCAGGAAGAAAAGTGCACCACGCATCTTGAGATAAGAAGCTATGAGGAGTGTAGCGAGGATATTGAGACTGCTCTATCCTTCGAGAAGCTGATTTTGAAAGGGAGATACAGCTGAATATATATATTCCCCCTTTTGATAGAGGGCGCAACTAAACGTCTTTTTTTTTTTTTTTTTATTATTATTATTACTGGGGGATATCTTCCAAAGATTTGGTTTAGTGATTATTCCTCTGGTAACGCACGGATATTTCATGGATGTTTAGCTCCGCTCGGCGGTCTGCTTGCGGGGTAGTTCGAAGAGGGCTTTTTTCTGGAGCGGATTTCGCTTTCGGCTTGATAGTTCCGAAGGAATTAGAAAGGGGGAAGCGGAAGATGAGGTGACCCTGACAGTAGCTCAATTGCTGCAGATTTCAATCAATGCGTTCCAGATTTGGGCGCGCGCTGTGGCTGTGTGCGGGCTCTATTGGTGATAGTGGGGGGGTGAATTCTACCCGGAGGAAGATGCTGAGAACGACCAGGCAAGGGCTTCATCCCAAGCATTTCATCCTCTTCCAAATTACACCCTATCTGGTCAGGTGGACGGCTGTAAATCCTTTAAATTGCAGATGCATACTGGGTAAAAAGTAAGAAAGGCAAGTACAGTTATTTTTGGCGGGCCGGGGGAGATTGAATTTGTGGGGTACCTTGTAGGTGCCAAAGACGGAAGTGTTTCTCTCGGTGTTGAGATCATGGCCAGTCAAAACATTCGACATCTGAAAGGGTCTCAGCTGGCTTGTGATGCCGAAAGGATACCTTTATAAGTGGTAAGGAGGGGTATCTTTTCTTTTTCTTTTCTTTGTTCAACACCCTCTCTTTTTCCCAAAAGTATTACGGGTGCGTAATAGTGCAGAGAGAGCTTCGCGCCCTAACAGGGGTAATGGGGAACCATGTGGGGAGAAAGTAGATTAATGGATGAACCGGAAACTAATCCGATATCCGGGGTAAAGCTTTGTACAACGTCGAGCACCGTATCTGCAGCATCTGGAAATGATTTTATACACACTTGTACCGTTCGGGGCGACCGAAGGAACTTGCCGGCGTAGATGCACCGCATTCGATGAGATGTTGCTTACTGCATAACGCGGGCAAGGCAAGGGATGGCTAAAATTCTATCCGTCGCTGTTGACAGGGCTGTTAGCTATGTGTGGCAACCAAGTGGCTGCAGCGTAAGCTGTCAGAACGGTCGATCGACAGGAACATTCAGGAACGAGAAGCTGAGACACTGGACGTTCAAATAAGATGTGGCGAGTCCCGCTTGTAGCGAAAAGCAAAAAAAAAAAAAAAAAAAAAAAGACGAGATTGAGAATTAAAACAAAAACATCATACTCAATCAAGAGCTTCACGGGGGAGCGCTCTTTCTCCACCTCCAATTGCATCGACGTCACATCGATATGGCTATAATGAACAGAATAATACTATAAGACTTCAAGGTTAATATCAGAGTACTTAGGGCGCCATCTTGCGTCGTGTTACCTGCATGCGGCAAGGCTTTCTCGCTTATTTGAGTAAATCTGTCGGTAATCGTGCCCAAGGCTACCTTCTAAAAACCAAAAGGTGGACACGGAGTAATTTTGGACCGTGAGATATGTTTTGCTTGGTCTGCGCCTGTGCACCCAAACCAGAGTCTATACGAGTGAGCTTCTATCGTGAGTCCCCCGCAGCTGAGCAGAATAAAAGGCCGAGAAGACATGTGAAAAACTGCGACTGCATATATTTGTTTCTGTCACTGGGTTTCATTCGAGCTTACTAGTGGTCAGTGTGATTGCACCCCACTTTGCGCCTCCATCGAGTGATTATCCGTGAAAACACCTCCACAACGTTAGCATGTCAGCTCAGCTCAGATATAAGGCTTTATGTGCCTACAGGAATTAACCTATAATTTGGAATGTCGTTATCTCAGCGCGGGGCCGGCACTAGGTGCGAATAACCAGCTTACTAGATGTAAAGGGCAGAAAGTAAAATACCGCAGTGATTCGGATAGATGGCCAGTCACACAAGATGTTGAAATTGCCCTTTCAAGCCAATCTGAGGAGAGATTCTTAGGGGCATATTCAGGACAAATAACCAAATACGGGAGACATCCATCTATTAGAATGCTGCGGCGCCTCACTGAAAACTATTAACCACTACCCATAGGAGAAAAACTTTAGATATGGGTACACTCACCCTCGCATCTGTCGCCTTTAAACACACCTCGTACGATTAAGGCTACAATTGCACAATTTCTCCAGTGAAAGCAAATTGAAGGTAGGGGTATTTCGATGCGAATAGCAGCCATTCGTCCGGACGACTTAAGGCTGAATTATATGGTGAGCGAATGTGTTGTGATTCTAGCATCTCGGAGGTGCCGACAAAATATGGAAGGGTTGTGAGTCTACGATATCGAAACTTATGTGAGGCACTAAACCAGTAATCGAAGCTAAATGGAGGGACACCTCCTAAGGCCACCCTGCACCTCAAATTTTTAGGTAAAAACTCGGAGAGATGTATCTAGATACACATATATAAAGTGGGCTCCCTCGATTTTTCTTGGGATTGAAAATTTTCTCAATTGAGCTCTTCATTTGGAAGTTAACAATTGCTCGTGTTTGTAAAGCTTTAATAAAGCCGGACGTCCAAACAAAGGATGTATAGTTGTACACCATGCCACAATTTCAGATCGAGCGTAGCCACTGTATCACCACCCGACTGGGCCATGGGGTCGGTACATCTAAGTATGTATTGACCCTCAAACCCAGTCTTTTCGTCCGAATTGAAGTTGATTAAGTTTGAGTTTTAACTTCTGATTATGCCTCAACCCGGAGGTTGACAGCTAGCCCTATATAAATACAAAAAAAAAAAGCCACGAGTTTCTAAACCATCAACCCTTCTACTCACACAATCCAGTCTACAGAAACATGTGGTTTGTATCTTCACCCTTGCACGTCATCCTAACGTATAAGGTGCCCACGATATACAGGGTTAGGGTTACTTGTTATTAACACCATGCTTCTCAACAAGAGGTCAGGCGACAATATCCCATCCCAAGAACATTCTGTGTACTTATCTGAAAACATAAAGTTTATTTGCTCGACGGTCATAAGAAATTTTCTTGTATAATTGCTTGGATCTGATTGGACATGAGGTTGAGTCATAGAACTCAGTTGCGGTATTACAATGAATGACCACTAGAAGATCAATATCGTTAAGTGATGGCTTGTGAGCTGCTCTGGTGTGAGGTAACTGGTTTTGCGCTAGGGGTGACCTTTGGCCGTGCGTGACTAAGGAAGTAAAACTATGCCGTGAAATTTGCTTAAGGATGAGGTTTGAGTATATATGTTAGATGGAAATACAATCTTTCGGGGGACTTTGAGGAATGATTATCAGGAGGAGTAATACTTATATGGAGAATCTGAAGGAAAGGGATTACTCGCATCTTCTGTCCCCTTCTTATATTTGAACGGGCTCAACAATCATATTTATACTACATACAAGCTAAATAATTCGTAGCAGGCAATGTTTGGAAGTTTCTCATGTGCTAGCTCGGCATGATTCGATCATACTTGTATTTGGTTATGTCTTGAGGTTCATCTGTAAACTTGGGAATGCAATGGAGTATCTTGTGTCATTTTCGATACCATGGGCAGGGGCCCATAAAACATAATATTGTTGAATTTTAACCCGTTGGCAGCAGTCTAAAACGGCGGTTACAAGGTTAAAAACTCCATTTCAATGACCTTCTTGTTAGGCGTTGACCTTTGAAAACTCCGTTTTGTCTTGTTCCCGAACGGGCCCTATGTTATACCATTTGATGCTTCGTTAAAAGTTTGAGAAACTAAGTGGCGTCACTAACAGTCAACAACTGATCATTAAGCACTGCTAATACTAAAAGCAAAACAAAAGCTCCTTCACCCATACTTGTGTTAATTAGGGAAATTTCTCATATTCATTTAATGCATTATAGTTACTTAGATCATAACGACAGAACTATATACAAAATAAGTACTTTACAAAAGGAACGAGAGGTGTATCCAGTACAACATGCCTTGAAACATGGAATAGTGTAAGAACTTGTAGCAGAGTGGAATGTTAAGAAAGAAACCAAATTCCGAACCAGAACACATGGAAACAAAATAACAGTGGACATTTGCTACGCCCTGCGTCAAGTGTTATCCAAGAGAAAAAGAGAGAGAGAGAAAGAGAGAGAGAGAGAGAGAGAGAGAGAGAGAGAGAGAGAGAGAGAGAGAGAGAGATAGAAAGTAGAAAAACTGAAAGAAATATAAAATGACATGTCCACCTGTGGACGAAGGAGAGGGCAAACCAAGCCGGCTCGACAAGGGCCCATCTGTGTATTCTGACAGAATGATCTATTTCACCATCTTGCAACCCATCCTCAGCTGTCAGGATCTGAATTATCGATATTATCCAGGTCCAAAATCCTCTCCATCACTGCCATTCTGTCTGGTCCAAATGAGGCATCCTCGAAATCAAAGTACGAGTTACCGTCCTCATCGATAGGTCGGGTATGGTAGCGCGGTTGAGGGTTATGCCAACTCATCTCTGCAGTGTTGTGAGCAGAGGTATGATGGGCCGATATGTTGCCTAGGTTGTTTTGCTGACCGCCAGTAGTATAGATCGTATCTGGCGTAGTTACGAACTCTGATTCTAAGATAGTTTGAACGAACCTTTGATCAGGAGTCTTGTTGTAGGAAGATCTGCCTGGCATTGAAAGATCTGCATCGTGAGGCCCACCGCCTTGTCCGTTGTTCGCCCACATTTGAGTCTCTAGCTCCCCTTCAGATCCAAACATGAACATATTAGCAAGTTCTGGATTATTACCGTGGAACTGGCTATTGCTGCTCGAGGAGTTGGCTTGGTGTGGATTATGAAGCCCGGGGTAAGTGTTCACTGTTGCGTGCCCAGCGTCCCGAAGACGGGGATCCACATTATCCATTCCTAATTGCTCTTGGGCGACAAACTCCTCCCCGAAATGCTCAGGTGAGACTTCTACCTGGACATTAAACTGCTGTAACTTCTTGAAATGCTGGTACTGCTGCTTCTGGCGCTTCCCGCTCTGGAGCTGCTTTGCACGTTTTGGGTCCACGCCAACCATTGGCGGGGGCTGCACCTGCGTAGTGGCCCGAAGAAGTGTATGAGTAGAGACTGGGGGAACAAAAACACCTTGAGAAGAGGTGGCACCAACGGTGGCCACGGCCTTCCCTTTTCCCTTTCCCAGTGACCTTTTTGGAGCGGTAGAAGAACTGGCCGTAGCAGTGGCTTTTCTTCTCTTTGCAGCAGATCTTGTGTTCGTACTTGGTGTTTCTGCTTCCGGGGCGGGTGTTTCTTCTTCATCCATAGATTCATCTTCAATTTCGGAAACAGCACGCTTGCTTTTATTGCCTTTGGCAGCACCGCGGAGTGCACGAGACTTTGATGGAGGGTCGACACCATGTTTAATGAAGAATTCTTGGGCACGACGAGCAGCAAGTTCACGATTGTCAAGCTTTTTCTTAGCGTTGTTTTTTTGATTGTCGGCAAATCTCTGTAAGAGGATATCAGGTTAAGAGCAGTTGGAGTTGGTTAGGGCGAGATTAGAAGGAAAGAAACTTACAAGTTCCATCATGTGGGGGTTTAAGAGAACGTCCTCATAGGTGGATGGGCGAGACATAAAATAGATAGTTCCCTTGCAGTTCTGTTTATTTGAGCAAGGCTTAATTAGCAAGGAGTAGAGTTTATTATGATCTACCCGCCATTGTTAATCAGAAAACTTACTTTTAGTAGGCTGACAAGACTGTTATATCTGTCCACATAGCGGAACCCTTCCACAAAGTCACGACCTTGATGAAGATCATTCAAATGTTTCTATACCCGTATCAGCCGGTATTGTCACTGGAAAAAGCGAGCTTATATTAAGGGGTGCATACAAACAAACTAACAGACAGATGCCAAAAATCCTTATCGGTCATTGAATGCCAGTGGTCTCTATATGGTTTCGTATCAAAGTAATCCAGGACATCGGTATTGTTCTTCATGGCAACGAACATTTCAAGGGTCATCCCTTCAGCGTCTGGGACCTTTCCTCTCGCCTGTTTTGGGATGTCCCATGGGCCTGGATTCGCGGGGTCTGTCGTAGCAGCGACTATTTTTGCGAGAACATGGTTGTAGCGGCGAATTTCCTTCTTTCCTTTGGAGGATTTTTCGGGGTTTTGTTCCACTAACCCACCAGAGCTCATGTCAAAACAACCGGCGAGCTGGCCCATGCCCATAACAAACTCCCAGAATTGCTAATAGAATTAGGAACAGCGCCCTTGAAGAGGTTAAAAGGACACAAGGGGTGGATGGGAAGCTTACATCAAGTAATAAATCATTTTGATCATCCAAAGCCTGCAATGCCTGGAAATCGAGCGTTTTCCCTTCCCTACTGGCGTCGAGCGAGGTATCAACCTTACTGTGATTTTTGTAGACTTCGCGAAACGCAGCGTAAAGTTCTACGAAATCGGCCTGAGACCCGTAGTTATTGGCGTCTATCCATGTACTGAAGTGGTTTCGGAAGAGGTAGATGAGCATGGGGTCGAAGAGCGAAATTTTGGTCGCTTTGAGGAAGTTGACAGGAGGCATCTCGGTGAGGACAGGTGTGGGAAGCGCGGCGACTTCCATTGTGGCAGACCTCGTCACGGACGGCATCGTTGGTGAATGGATGGTCAGTGTGTTATAAAATCGTTATGTAAAAGCTGTCGAGATGACGGGAAGTTGGATAAGGAGGAGTTGTGTGGCGGAGACGATTGTTCGGAAATAGAATTCGAGGAAGCTGCGGGAAGTAGAGGTAGAGCCAAACGATGGTGGTGCGAGGTTAGGTTAGGGTCCGAGTTGCGCGCTGGCGTTTGGGACCTTCTTGATGAGAAAAGGTTCTTTCGATGGTGTTGCAATGGTGATGATGGAGGAGAAATAGAAAAACAGAAGCAGAGTGAGAAGAGGGAGGATTTAAGCAAACACAGCCAGGGTATTGCCGGTATTCAATGGGGGTCAAACGCCTATTGAGCTTAGTGGGGCATAGACTGGTGGTGGTGGTAAGGGGCTCCATCGTGAGCCATTAAGGTACATGTAACTTTTATTCAATTGGGCAAAGTCACTTAGCTGAGCAAACCCATTCAATTTGCGAGCGTTGAGGGTGCAAGTCTGCATGTGTATAGAATGGGGAAACAAAGTTTACACGAGTGAGAAGTTATGACTGATCTAGTTTCACAGGAGCACAAGGTGGGGGGAGAAGTGGCTTGACTTCGTAATATGGGCAGTCATTTATACTTCGAAATGTGTGGTGGACGGGGTTCGGAGCTTTGATACATGTGTTCAGGGATTCAACAAGGACATTTTTTTTTTTAAATATAACCCATCCTCACCCAGTCAGATTTAGTCTTGACCTCGAGCTCGACAGAGATAACATTGCTACATCATGCGGGCCATTCCAAAGACGAGCTACATGTAGTAGATTACCCTTTTAACTTTATGTATACTTTACATGTGGCCCCATGTGTGGCCGGAGTCAGGTGCAGACATCCGAATCATTCAGTGGATCTATAGAGTTATAAGGCCAGTATAAAGTAACTCCCCGAAACTACATGTACTTATGACTGATGATAACTTTGATCAATTGATTGTAGCAAGCGATACCAATATGTATTTAATCGAACTCTTGTTTTGATCTACATGTAGGTACACGCAGCGCCCCATGAGGACTTTTGCTCAAGAAAGTTTCAATTATATAATACCGCGGTCCATGCCATACATTGGTGAGATCGCTGCTGTGTTTAGTAACGTTCATGAACTCACTTTTTATTATGATTTTTTGTTTGTAAGATAATCCAGTATTTTTCACTGATGTATGTACTGCAGCCGCAGTACATCTTATTGGCAACCATCAAGTCGCACCAAACTCGAGATTATCATTGGAACGAAGCCCGATCACACCAACAAGTAACTTGTAATAGCCTCAGCAAAAATGAACTATGTGCATATGAAGTAGCTACGCTATACACCCGGAAGCCAGTTTTTGACAATAACTACATTGTAGTTTTAGCCGTGTGTAGTTTTAGCCGTGGGTAGCTCTAGGGAAAATGCGTAGCCGCAAGTACATATTGTACTGTATGTACAGCGCCATGCCATAAGTCATGGGAAGGCGCGAGGTCGCAATGCCTGAACACAAAATCTTTCACCACCACCAATGGCGCCCAGAGACCATGTACCCCACCAGACAACTAGGAGGGAATGACCAGCCTCCCTGCTGTGGCAAAAAACCGGAGTCTTACAACTCTGGTTGGAGGAGAATAGGGTAGATGTTCTGGAGGACTGGCTTGCCTATTCCATCCCATTGAACATGTTTGGGTACACCTCAAGAAACTTTACCATCAACAGTACCCCCATTTGGCATATGGTACTAGATCACCTTAAGTATTAAAGCCCCTCGTGGAGGAAGGTCTAATTCATTGCTGGGAACTGTTACCTGATGATTTATTTGGTAGCTAGTTGAGAGCATGCCTAGGAGAATAGAGCTGTTATAAAGGCAAGGGGTTGGTATACAAGATATTAAATGTCAAATTATTTTTATTTAGCTACTATTGAATAACTATATAAAAAACCAGCTCTCCAAAGGATCAATTGTGGTTGCTGGGTGGGTAGTCGTGGTGGCCCGGGAGGTTGCTACGCCGCGCCTTCCCATGATTTATGGCCTAGAACTATACATACAGTAGCCTCTCGACATATAAAGATACGGTCGGGACCAAAAATCTGTGCTGAATATATTCTTATAAGGCGAGTATCACTATAAGAAGTAAGGAGATACTGGTAAAAGATATTTCGGCACCACTGATTGCTATCAGTATAACGAGAGCATTACTATGAAGTATACGTATCTATAACGAGAATCGACTGTACATACATGTACTTTCTGGTAACAATTATATGTACTATACTCTAAGCTTTACAGTACCAAAAAAGCAGGTGAACCCAGTACCACACCTAGTAGAATACTGCAAGGCTACGGTATTGCTACGGTATTGCTACAGCTCTACAGTATAATCGATTTAATTCGGAAGTTTGCACAATTCCGTACTAGTACAGCACCTAGTACATATTCCCCTTTTTGGTACTGTATCTAATATACATGTATATCTACATATTATGTAAGTACATGTACCTACATGATTAATTGGGAATCGGGCAGCTGGAATGGAAGCAGGTGATAGGGCTGAGATGCACCTTCTTTTGGTGCAAGTGGTTACAAATATGCTATTGGTTCACTCGACTACCACCACACTCCACTTTTGGATCTTCAGGTATCACTCGACCCCAGTAGAATAGACTTCATTAATTAGGGGATTCTGACGAATGAAGTGAGTTTTCCCAAAATTCGGTATTAATCATAAAACCTTCTGGACCTCAAAGCATAATACATTATTTTAGTTTAATAGAAAGGCCTGCAGTTTGTCCTATTATTAAAAGTCTCTAAGAAAAGCTCAAACAGGAAGTAGGAACTTAATTTTGATACTCAAGTACTCAACGGTATTAATAACCACATGTCGGTTGTTTTGGCGAGGTGTCTTCTTTTGTGTCTATCCATGAGGATCGCGACATCTTGGCATCTTAGTCATCGCCAAACTTCAACCTCACCTCCCGAAAGCTTGCCTCGTCATTCACCTACCGCCTCAAAGATCCACCCCCCACGCGTCATTTTCGCTCGTCGCCTATCGAAAATTCGTATTTGTCGCGTCTTCCGCTACCATTTCGATACCCACTTTACGCGTTTGTGACCCGGAAGGTCCCCGCGAGCCACCCCAGAAACCCCCGTCCATGAGCACCCCAGCACTTGAGATTACTGCCTACACGCCGCTGGAGACGTTATTGCTGTTTTACAACCTATCGACACATGGTATACACCCGACATCCTTTTCGCTGATCTCAAATATCTTGGTCAGAAACCCACTCGTCAAGAATGGGGACACATTCGACAGGAACAGGCTAGCGCCGGACGCGTTGAAGGAGTTCTATCTGTTACAATTGAGGGAAGCTGAGCTGGAACTTGGGAGTGGTGGAGATGGACAACCTAACGGTGATGGGGGTAGACAAGGCTCTCCAGCTACGTCACGGAAAAAGAAGGCTAAAACACCTCCGGCAGCTCTATCAAACCCCGACAAGACTGGTGTAGTCAAGATCTTGACGTCACGACTATACGAGAAATACCGAAACACTGTTTTTCAGCAGATACGTGATGATGAGAGGAGGTATGCAGAATTGGACCGGGACTTTAACGATATCTCGGCGGGATTATGGGATGAACGGTTACTGCGTGAAAACGCTGTCAAGGCAAGGAGTAGAAGTAGCTCAACGACGCCAAAGAGCTCTAAACAAAAGAGAGTCAGCTCTTCTCCAGGTTCGGACAGGCGGAATCCTACACCCAGTGTTAGTCCTATCGCTGAGGCGAGAGATGAACCATTGGCGACGAAGGTATCAGTAGAAGTCTCCCCGCGAGCATTGCCAGCTGCGCGAACACCCACTGCCCAGCACGCTGTCCCTCAGCTTGCAACTCAAAAAAGTCCTCAGCTTAAGTCTTCGTTACCACTACGCCCAAATAATCATTCCGGGAAACCAGAGCAGCAGAATACACCAAGAAATGCCACAGATCGCCCACCTCGGAATGTGCCGGCATCTACGCCTTTATCACAGCAATCACCGCCTCCCCATACCCAAGATCAAGAAGGGCAGAAAGAGAGCTACATGCCCCTTGCTCAAACCAAGCGCGATGTAATGAAAGTAGCTTCAACACCACCAAAGACCCAACCGACCGCGGTTTGGTCGAATCAAACTATTCAAACTGCATCTCCATCCCCGCGACAGACCCAAGCACATAGAGCCTTAGCTGCGCCTATTCCCTCTCCCCAAGTGCCACAAAAGATGGAAGCTGTTCCACCACCTCCTCCCTCGAGTACATCTTCGCCTATTGCTCCGCCATTATCACGTCCAGGTGTTAAAATTGAAGCACCAGTTCCTCCGCCAACAAGAACGCCCTTTCCTCCAATCACTCCAAGACCTATACAAGGCCCTTATCCACAACCACAGAATACACCCTCAAGACCATCCAGCGTTCCAGGTTCAGGGCAAGGTCCTCAAGGGTTAACTGGGTTGCAACAACTGGCAGATGTCGCAGATACACGATGGCAACAACAACACACGCCTCCGTTTGTGCAGCACGGAGCACCTCCGGGTCAACATATTGTGTATTCGTCGCCAGGGCAACCAGTTTCATATGGCCCAGCGCCTATCTCTCCCAGTGTTCAACAGGGCCATAGAACACCGACACCTTCAACCCCCGGGGCCACCGCGGGGTTTGGTGTTCTTTTCCCTACTCCGTTACCTACCACACCAGCCCCCCCAGTTCAACAGTACCCCCCACAGTTTTCTCCTCAGAATCAGGCAAGGCAAGCTGGCGTTCAGACACCCAACTTTCAGCACTATAACCCTCATGTAGCAGCACAGCAGCAGCAGCAGAGCTTTGAACAAGCCCCACCGGTACCTTCACCAACTGTCCAAAGAATCGCTCCGCGCCCTCCTCCTCTAGCTCCTCCCGCCCCTCCGCCACAGGTTCCAGCAACATCACAACAATCTAATCCGATATCCCCTTCAAAGACACGCCCTCCACCAATTGTAACCTCTACAGGCTCTGCAGATATACCGCCCTTCTCCCATTCGCCGGGGCACAAAGGAGAGCCTGGATCACCAATACCTCCACGGCCTGATGAAATCTCTCCTATTAGTACGCCCTCGCGCTCTCCTCCTCCGCCCCCCGAATCCCCAAAATTAGCTGTGAGCGTTGAGAAACCCCGTGGCAAAAAGCGTCTTTTCCAGGACGATGGAAAAAGTCCCCAAGAGAGACGGAAATCCGGCGGGAGCAAAGAAAATACTAAACAAGCGCGAGCAGATCGGGCGAAAGAAGACAAACCAGCACCCAAAAGGCAAAAGAAGCACGAAAAGACGCCTGCAAAGAGTCCAGTCGCCAGGAGAGGTTCAGTGGTTGAAAAAGAAGTGGGAGTTGTTTTAGCGGTTCCGGAAAGCAAAGTTAAAGATGAAGAGGCAGACGTTACAGAAATTGAGAGTGATGCGCCGGTCAGCATCGTTGACGAAGAAGAAAAGCCTCAAAAGCCGAGGGGAAGAGGAAGGCCGCGAGGTAAAGCGAAGCCTCCTCCGCCACCCGAAGAACAAGTGGAACCCCCGGTGAAGGAAAAGCGCACAAAGAGAAAAAGAACAGAAGTAAACGCACCTACCCCACAAACAGTTGACGACGACGAGGAGGAAAGTGAGGCTGAGGCAGCTTCTGTCTCTCCGACACCGCAACGACGACATTTCCCAAAACTTGAAAAACAAGGCTCGAATATGACAAATTCTGTACCCTCTCCATCACCACTCACAGTTTCGATTGGCCAGCAGCCTCTTGTTGTTGCGACGAAGAAGTTTTTGCAACTCAGCGCACCGCTACTTGGTGATATTAGCAGCCATAAGTTTGCGAATTTGTTCTCCCATGCTGTCAACGAACGAATGGCACCTGGTTATAGGAATCTAGTATTTAGGCCTCAGGATCTAAAAAGTACATCGCCAAGTATTATTCCATGTATAAAATGTCAGTGTTAACAATCCGCTCGAACAGGTATCAAGGCCGCGGTCAAATCCGGCACGGCGGCTATTACCAATACATCGACAGGCACTCCGGCTATGACACCTACCACTGATTTTGCCGCCGCCACCCCTCCCGCAAGTTCTTCAACCTTTGCTACGCTGCCTGCAACAACCTTGAATACCCCTCCAAAAGGGATAGTCAACTCCGTGCAGCTTGAGAAGGAGCTCTTTAGGATGTTTGCAAACGCAATTATGTACAACAAGTCTACCACTGAGATTGGGAAAGAGACTGTCATAATGGCGAGAGATGTTGAAGGAATGGTTGATAACTTTAGAACTGCTGAAGAGGCTGGAATGAAGAAGGCTCTTGGCGCGGCAGCCACAGGTGGCGGGTTTGGTTCTGCGAGAAAGGGCGGGGTGAGGGATAGAGAGCGGGAGACCACTGTTGGCACTGCGGGAGATGAGGAGCAAAGTATCAGTGGTGATAAAGAAGATGGGGATGAAGATAGCGTCATGGGTGATACTGATGGGGCTTCAGAGAAGGGCAAAGGGAAGGCGATAGTGAAGCGCAAAAGGCTAAAGCGTTAGATGTTTTCCCCCTTGCTTTTCCATCCCTTTAATTTAGACCTACGAATTCCTTTTGCCTACTACTACTAGGGCTCGGGTTGGATAATCTTACGCTCCCTCCTTTGGAATGTCCTGATATGCCCCTTTCATCCTATCTTTTCAGCTATAATTATCCTATCAGTGTTATAATCTGAGTTTTAGGTACACAAATACCTTATATTTTCTTCTATGGCTGCGTCATCGGTAGTGGGTACTTGAAAAGAACATCTACCAGTTACATTTATCCCCCCTTTTTTTCATTTTATCTTTGGGTGTTACTGTTTTTGTATTTTCTTATTATTTTTTTCTTGGCAGGACGGATGGTAAGGGGATCGTTGTACTAGTACTGATACCGCATGATTTTTTCGATTTTTATTTTTTTCTTGCTGTTTTTTGGTGTTTATACTTGAACTTGCACGTCAAGAAGCTGTTCTAGAATACTGTATGTGGTACTGCGCCCAGGTCTCGGCGTGTAGGCAGCGGAGGGTATTGGCCTTGAGTAATGGATTATTTGAAGATGGTGGTATAATTCAGTTGGATGTGGGGGAGATATGCGGGAGGAGGGCGGCGGAAACAGCTACCTGCTTTCCAAATTTACAACCGATGAATGTATGATACTATGCGTGGCCACATGGTTTTGTGTGGAATCAACGCAAATATTGTATCACTACAGCGTATTATGAGGCACAGAGGGTCTTTGGCGCAACAGCCCTGTTGATATTGAGGCTATTGTGTTGTGAACAATCGCCAACCACGCCTGCTAGATGGTACAGATAAGATCCCATCCAAAACGCTTGCTTCAAAGGCGCACAAAGAAATATTTGGGAATCAAAATATAGAGAGGTACAGCTCGATAGGGTTTCTACGCTCTGCTCGGGTAAGTCATATCACTCCTTCATAGGTTCTCACTCGTCTATTGGCTTGGCTTACTAGTACGGTTTGAGACGTACATGCATGTACATGTAGTCCCGATTTCAAATTGTAATTAATACAGTTGGAGAGAGTTGCATCATGGCCGATAACTCGGCACCTCAGTCGGCCTAGTTGACTACGGTATTTGAATAAAATGCTACTGATATATATCATTACAAAAACTATCCACAATTGAAGTATTCATAGCCATCGGCGCCCCGATGATCTAGATTCTCTACAAAGCCTTTTTTTTTTTTTTTGTTTATTCCTGGTGTCTCTTGACGTGACAATTAGAATTGCCCAATCTATTTATACCCGTGTAACCACGCCAATTTCGGGGCCGCCTGCCAAGCACAATGCCTTTCAGGAAGGTTCCGCACATCGCATAACCCATAATTCCTTCTTCAAAATGGCTTAATTCAGCCCGATATTTATCGTGTAAGATAAAGCTGTCCACTTGACATGCCATAGAATTTCCGTGGGGAAGACCTCTGGAGATTTGATGACAGCCGTTCTGCATGATCGTTATGTAGCTAGCCTTGAATATTGGAGTTGATTCCTACAGAGATTTGCGCTGGAACTGAACCCGCGGAAATTTGGTAATGCAGGTCCCACCTCTTCGATCTATGTCTTGTTGAGCTTGCTTTTTTCACTCCCACAACAAACAAAGCCTAAATGCGTTTTTTTTCCTCAGCTGTGGGGGAGGAGGAGGTGGATTGTGTTTATAAAATACAATCCCATCGCCGGCTCATTACTGCATTTCTAGGATCTACAAAGTCGGATTACTTCCTATCAATTGACAGCAGCGATGTTTCGGTCGCTTTACATTTTCGTTCTAGTTTTGTGCTTTTCGCTCCAGCTGTATGCACAGACTAGTGAACCGACCATCTTCGTCGAAAGTATCAACCCTACCGCGACTGTGTACGGAGGAAATGTAGTTGGTACATCTAATCAGACGACTTTATGGGTATCGAGTACGCCTACACCAACGGGGATAGTTTTGACCACGACAACGATCACTAGGAGTGGATCTGAGGAAGGTATGTCAATTGAACCTGTCGATAACGATACCGATAACGATAACGATACTGATATGGATATTGAGGAATATCAGTTTCGATATTTGCGGTATCAGATACCACAAATTCAAAAAGTTCAATTACACCAATAGAAGAACTGAGCGCAACCAGTACCCCCGAGTCAGTATTCAACACCACTGTAATTCCAGTCACTACACTTGAAACCACGACTACAATCCCTCCACCCGGGCCCGCACAGATAATCACCGAGACTAGCACTAGTCTCCTTACGACCACCACCCTCTCACCAACTGCTTCAACTGCCACCCCAATACCCTCTCCCGAGAAGGCTTCTCGTAAATTGCCACCTGCAATGATCGCAGCTGTTTCTGGCGGCGGCGGCGCAGTCGTTCTCTCTCTTTTAGGTCTTGGGCTTTTTGTGTGGATCCGCCGTCGCCAGGTAGAGGAACCAGAGTTTATTCCTGAACCTGTAAGGTCGCCAAGGTCGCCGCCGGCGATAGTGATGTATGTGGAGAAGAGAGAAGATGGGGGGTATATTGATATTGAGAAGGAGGAAGGGGAGACAGGATGGGACATGGATCCGATGTATGTTGGGAACTATGGGAGAGGGCGCGTTTAGGTATGAGGCCTATCCGAAAAGGATGCTTTTGGGAAACGGGGGGAGAGGAGGAGATTAATAATGTTAATGGATTGTAATGATCGTAAGTGGTGACGGACCATTCTGTAGTTAAGGAGGCAGTAATATCGTTTTTAGAAAGTTATTTATCCTTGGCTAGCCAACTTTTGTATGCCTAAGTACTATAGCTGATATTTCAGAAAAGTAATAACTATAGCTACCTGAAATGATTGACAGGGAAATAAATAATGGAAAACGCCTATTAAAATTATGAGTTAGCCTTATTTAGTAGGGAGCCGAATCATAATGTATGATGCAACATACCTGATCTTGGCACTTATTGACCTTTACTTGATTGGCCAAGAAGGCCAGACTCTTTGAAAGCTGTCAAATTGGCAGAGAAGTAATATTGCGGTAAAAGCCCGAGATATTACAGATGATTTGTGCTAGGAAAAAATGATTGTGAATTGATGGGATATATTTGTTTTCGCCGGGTATCTACGTCGGAGGCGCCGGCCGGGTTTGCACAGTTCATGCCATACCTGAGTGCGAACAATGATGTCTATTGTGCTGAGCTGTCAGAGAGCGTACGTATTTTTTTTTTTAAAAAAAAAAGAGGCAGAAATAGAAAAAGGCGATAGAAACATAATCACAAGAACCTAGACAATTTATATAGCTATGCCCTGTAAGGCCAGGCAAAAAAAGGTAATATTAAAAATTAAGCAACCCGTACTTTGATTTCAAGCCACCTCTACAAGTGATGGCTCAAAACCATTAATAGCCAGCTCTAAGGTCAACTATAAACTCCGCACAAAAAGAAATGTCAAATACCCACCCCAGTAGTGGAAGCTCATAGAGTGGACAGGCATAAAGGTCTACCTAATCATCTCCCCACCGTCCTTCTCGATGCCCTCCAAGCCTTCAAGGATATCACTCCCACCCAGTACACCTCTCCACCCTAATACCCCTCTTCTTGTTTCACTCCATACCTCGTGGAAGCGTACCGTCTCATCGCTAGCAGCGACGACAATACAGCCCTCGCTCTTTGGCCTATTCCTTCCAGGCCATCTAGGGAAACCGATGTTTCTACCGATGACACCAAATTCTTCCCTCAAAATATCGGCATCATCATTCCCGCTCTCAGTCCGCCCCATGTTCGATGCGTTTGTTGTAGCAGTGTCGCTGGCGAAGCTCGAGGGAGAGTCGTTGGGACCTCCAGGATATGCCACTGCGTACAGAGCTCTCATATCCTCTTGCCAAGGTATCTGCACAACTTGTTTACATTCTGGCCAGCTAAATACTGCAATCCTTATAGGATGATCAGGATTGGCATAGCCAAATGTTGCGGCGATTTCACGATGGTTGACAGACCACAACAAGGAGGTGACTTGGGCAGAAACGTTGATTGTTGCAAGTGCTGCACCGGAAAATGTGTGAAAGAAATGAATACAGCGATCGTTAGAGCCCCCGCCTACAAGCCTTGAGTATTAGGATATTTCTATTGTCTTAGAAAGGAGTAAACATACCAGTTGCAATCAAGCTCTTCTGCCAGGGACAAAATGCAATTGCCTTCACAGCAGCTCCATGCAACCACTTGTACTTTTCTCCGCCCTCAATCATATTTTCTCCTCCCGATGAATCTCGACGCCTATTCACAACCTCAGATGTATCGAATAAACAGGCCGCATTATCATTTCCACCAGTGGCAAACTGCTCACCATCTCCACTCCAAGCTAACCCGCAGATTTGCTGAGAGTGTACTACAATCCTCTTCAATAGGGTGATTGTTGCATTAGAGACCCTTTGACCCAGTTGTTCCCGCTTCCCATTCCACTGAATCGAGTAGTAATACACATTTCCAAACTCGTCACCCACAAGAAGCTCCTCAGTCTCTATTATTGCAGACGAGGGACGAGAACGATCTCCTGTACCATAGGGCTGAAAAAATGCCAACGGGCGATGAGAAAGCACTGGCTTCCAAGCCAAACAAGCAACTCCTGCGTTGTGAGGACGTTCAATCCTCGGAGTAAGCTCAATTGGATTCCACAAGCTAAGAGAACCATCAATTCTACCAATAGCAAGAATGTTATTTCCGCCTTGTGAACTTGAGAATGCAAGAGAGGTCACATGAGATGTAGACCATGGCTCAAAAGGACGAGCGCCTCCGGCTTCAGTCCAACTATACACATCACTATGAAGGCCTACAGCCAATGAGTGGGTGTGTGGTGAGTAAGCAATAAGGGAACAATAGTAATCGTCACGCAGACCTGGAGCATCTAGAACTCGGAATGGGGTAGTGGGTACAGTTCGTTTCTGGGCCTTACGGCAGGGGGAGCTTTGTGGCGTAGAGTCGCCTGTAAGGTTAAATTTAGAGAAAGTTTTCAAATAGACAGTAGGAATGACTCTTACGACTTCCAGCATCCAAAACATCATCCCAGAGCAAATCACTCAAGTTCTCACTCCGTGGACTCCCTAGAACGCCCCCTTTCCTGACCATCCCATCCTTTCTAGGCTCGTTTTCTCGAGTGAAGCTAAGTACTCGGGCACTTCTATCCACACCGAGTGCGGCAGAGAGTCTCCTCTCGTGTTTCTCCATTTCAGCTTCGGGAGTGGCCTTGTCACCGAATACATTGATGTGGACCTCTCTCCCCCTAGGAATGGGCTCCTGCCCTCTTGGTGCAGCACCGATACCTATCCCGAATATACCCACAGCACCAGCACTGATACGTCTGTTAATACCAGGTCGGAAAGGATTTGAAGATCCGGGACTAATTCTCACTGACGCAGATATATTTCTTGTATCGGGGGAAGCACTGCGACCTCTTACTGCTGTACCAACACTCCGACGTAGAAGTCTTTCCTCACTTGATAATAGATGGGCTGGACAATTCATGCGAAAACTTTGAATATTTGCCCGACTTGGAATAAACCTATCTGGAGACCTCCCAGACTGCCTAGAATTAGAACTGGACCTAGACCTAGTACGTCCGTTTCCAGGAGTCAAGAAAGGTGAAGTTAAATGGGACGAGGTGTAAGAAAATCTCATCTGCGAAAGAACATCAGCGGGAGAGGGAGAAGGATTATCTGCTCCATGAGGCGAAGCAGGGAGCGGGATATGGTTGTAGAGAAAAGAATCGTTCCTTCTCCTTCCTGTAGGGAGATTTAGAGATGTAGCTGGAGGATTTATTCGGGTGGACCTCGATGGTGGAGGGGTGAGTGTAGCTGGTAAATTGGTGGTAACTGGCGTTGACGGGACTGAGGGCATTTTGAACTCGAGTGATGTGAACCCTTATCGTTATCGTGATAGTACCACTCTCAAGAGCTAGTCAAGCTGTAGTTACTATTCCTGATGACTGTGATGTAGGGTTTAATCGACAGAGGGTTAAAGAATAGTATGAATGAATCTTCTTGTTCACGAATTAAAGATTTCTGTGTAAAAGAAGAGGATTGGTAGGTCTTGATTGGCTCGCCTGCAAAATGGTTTTGTCACACATGAGATGTCACATGCCTGGCTCGGTGTTGTCCCTTCAACCATGTGCGACGTAGGCACTTGCAATCCTTTCCTGGCCATAATAATATTAAAATGCCAAATTAGATAGATCTAGTGATAGTACCCTGGATGAAGCTAAGAGCAACTGGAATTGAAAGTCATCACGAACATTCAAATCAGCTGCTCAACTATGTCAATTTAACTCTCTTGGTAATCACCCTTCAATCAAGATTGTGTCAAAAGAGATAGATGTATGCAGTGAAAGGCTTTAGTTGAAATGTACAGATATCTTAATTACATGTACTTAATTGGCATCGAAATAATGGTATTGGTAATATCTAATGACATTTGTATCTCTACCTATTAGATTATGCCGAACCTATCAAGCAACACACATGTACATGTATGTACCTACATATAGTTGTACTTTAGGTCCCGGAAACATTAAAAATCCCAAGCCCAGGAATAGACACTCGTGTCAGCCATTTACCATCTGTGGCGAGCATTTTACACCGATTTAGGGTCAGTTTATTGTTGTATCCGACGCAGAATCATTAGGAGATTATGCCCGCGGTTCAGGAAGATTCAGATTAATGTTCATAAGGCGGTTTTATGATATGGCTCCAAAATGGGTGCAGAGAAATGCTTTCCACAACGCTGACGGGCCAGGCCGACGGGAAACTATTGATATCTATATAGCTTTAACCCTGACTCTACTCGAGTACTCATGCGTTTATTAAATGGTCGGAATTCCTAGTAGTGATTTGGTTGCAATGATATCCGCCCATTTAATGAACGCCTGAGTAGTGAATCTTGACAATGCCACAACACTACCACATACTTAACCACGTTAAAATACTATTCTCACAATTCCATATTGATATTGCGGTATCACTTTTGCCCTCATTTCTGGATATTCGGAGGAGATAGCATACCATATAGTTGGCACAGGCAGTTTCTGAGTGCAAGCGGTCTTCAAATCAGTATCATCATGTAGTGTCGGATAAAATCCTTCCCGGAGGTCCGCCACCAATAGGGCAAGCGTATCTGTACATGTACCCAAAAAATGTTTACTCTTCTGAATGCTATTGCGGCGCTATTGCGGGCAACTTCTTCGCTTGGAGATGAGACTTTCATTGCGTTGTCTGTGAGGTAAGCCCTAAAGCCAACCTATTGACCCAAGCCCCACTGGTGTTACTTTAACAAAGATCGATGATTTCACATTGTAGGAAACCCTAGAGTGCCATCCAGCTGTATAACCGACATGTTTTCGAGTTGAGGAACTCTAAATACCGCCATAACTCGAGAAGTTAGCTAGCTTCCAGGGGTCAGGTTTGCTTACATGACGCTATTCAATCAACCACTTGAGCAATATGTAATCCCTGGCCGGTGATGGTATTTCTAGTGCAACTCTTATTGTACGACTTCGGTGACGCATTACCATATCCAAGGCTATACTGAGCACATGCATGGGGTATGTGGATAAGCTTTTTGGCATGAACCTGAGAACGCTGTTTATTCGTTCGCTGGCTATTCCATTCAGCAAACCGCGTATCTCTAGATTCAACGTTATTGCGACTAGGTATTCGATACTCATTTAGGTACAAAAATTATTCCCCTTCATCCCCTTCATGTTCACCAAGCTAGATGATGGCTAATGCTATCAGGATTATAATTCACCTCTCGAATTCGCTATGGCTCTACGACCTCTTAGTTCGTGCGATTGATAACGTCTCTAAGCATTTCAACTTATCTATACAAGAATCTCGCTGGATAGACGGTCTGGCTTTGTATGCCCTACTGTTTAGTAATTAAGCATGCTCTCTCTATTCTTTAGAGTACATAGAGGCACTACAGGCAAGGCTGACCGCGCGGTGATAGTATCTATCGATTAACTTGGCAGCTAGGCGGTGACAATGCCGAAATCCGAGACCCAGCCTCGAAACCCACAGGGATATGTGCGCCTCCTGGCCCGTGGCTGTATCCTTGAACTTCAAGATATAACCTAGTCTCGTACCCAGCCCGTTACTTGCAGCAAGCTGCGGAAGCATGGAAGTAGACCGGTTGGGGACGAGCCTAGATGTAGCCTTAATTTTCAGTATTCGTTACACAAAGCCCTCTGGCCTTTAGTAACATAGATAGGGAGATATAGCTGTAGGTAGGGTAGCTATGTGATACTTTAGGACTTCAATACCCCATGTGAATTCCGTTTGACGTAAAAATGACATTTTTTTATCCTTCGCATACTCGTTCTATACTTTTTCTTACCCTCATCTGTGTTTCTTCGGTCGCAGCTGAAGATGCTGGGGATGAATTCTCAAATAATCTTTTTAGTGACTTGGCACCACTGCTCACTCTCTTTGGAGAGCAAGTTGCAAAGCAGTTTCTTGGGCAGTCGATGGGATGGGCGGATAACCTGATATTTTCTATGGCGCCATTAGGTATATATTCATTTGGCGCCCAGAGTCCTATACGTAGACACTAGCTTATATCAATCCAGGAATTATCACAGCAGTTGTAGCAGCTATCCGAGTTGGTGGACCGAGTTCGTAACACACATACCGTTTTTCCCAATATTTAACAAATGAATACTAAAGTTTCGCAGCTTGGCTACGGGCGATTATTGGTCGAGCCAAGGAAAGTCAGGGAGTGGCCGAGTTAGAACTCATGTCCTCAACCTCTGCGAGTGTCTGTGAACTATGGAACGGTCAAACTGTTGTCCGGGTTCTTGGATCTCCAGAGATAATCGAGCTAGTGTTCCTTGAGAAAGATCCTAGAGTCCAGGATCAAAACCCATCGACTGATGCCCCCTCGGTAGACGTCTATTCCTTCGAAGAGAGCAAATCATGCCCGTCGGAGTTCAGTCCTTTATATTGTCAAAAGCGGAAACGTCGTCACATTAGTAGTGATCATGGATACAGTAATGAATACGAACTACTTGCCATGCCATCGCCAGATATGGCCATGGATGGGTCTGCAGATGTCGAGGACCGAATTCCGAATCCATGCGCGCCAAACATTTCTCTTAATGCCCGAGGTGAGACTGCTAGCCAGAATGAATTATGGTCAGTAGCAATATTGGGAACTATTATTCAATCTGCTGTCATCGCATATTGGAGTTTAATCACAAAATATGAACCATGGCTTGCCACGGACAAATTTTTAAAAGGAGGGAGACCTACCCCACAGTATGCGTTTCCGATGACTACCGTCGGTACAGTTGCGGTTGTTATGGGGATGTTAATATGTTCCCACGTCGTTGATGCTGCTAGCGTGGAGGAGAAATGGAAGGCGAAGGAGGACGAAGAAGGGAAGGTGAGGTTCGCGTGGCTGCAGAGGGGACAGATAGTGAATGATGAGCATTTCGACTCGTATGCAATATTTTGTCTAAACGACAAGCAAACTATTATGACATCACGGGTAAAGAAGGATCTGAAGGGATTTCAGTCGTTAGTTTTGCTTGGTACCGTTATTAGCATATCGGGTTTTGTTGCTCAGTTTATGGGTCTTAGAGGTAATTTTGAAAGATCTTGTCCTTTTATATTAACTATCTGATATCTGATTAAGGGTGAATTTAGGGATGCATTGGTCGGCCACAATTGCACAGTTAGTTGCAACTGCAGTGATGTCCACTCTAAGAGCAGTTATCCGTCGACATCTTACTCGGAATCCAGCCGCCAAGAAAATCACCAAAAAGTAAACTCTATCGACAAAACCTTTTTATATATATATACACTTACTTACGTGTTTTAGTTTTGAGCTTGACTGTATGGCACGTGAGATTACTAAATGCGAACGATTCTCAATTCCAACCGGACTGCTTGAGGGCCTGAAATTCGCACCACTCGACCCTCTAATTCCAATACCAGATGGTCCTGGAAAGAGGTTAATTGAGACACGTGAAAAACTGAGAGGTATATCTGGATGGACTTCAAACTTTCACAAGGAAATGTCGGCCCTTTGCGACGCCATCGAACGAACTATGGAATACATATCAGATCCTAGCAATCGGATGACACAGGTCGAGAAATTTAAATCTGTTCCAGAACCTCCAAACGGAGCTCCCTCGTTAATCCAACGCGAACTAGATTTGGCAGAGTTCAAATGGCCTTTGGTAGTGGGTGTAAAGGGAGTTGGGCAAGATTCAGAAACCTTTGAAAAAACCGAGCTCCATCTGAGGCGGCGGAAGCCCAGAGAAGCAGGGGAGTTATGGGGAAAGTGGAAAGTTGATCGCTCCAGGATAGAAGCTGTATACTCTTTATGCATGCTTGATTTTCATGAACTACAAAGTAAAGATAGAAGAGGCCATAGCCACAGAGACCGTGAAGATTTCGAGTCGCAAGACAGCACACTACGGATATTAGGATTTAGCGGTAGCGATATAAGCCTTCCTTATGCCCGAAGTTTATACGACTGGTGGATAGCAAGGGAAACAAAATGTATCGAGGTTAAAAATACTACCGACGGAGCCAAGGAGAACGATATTCCTCACTTCCGAGTTATAGGAAACATTTCGGCCCCTCTCGATGGCAGTGACGGCATGCTCGCGGTTGTTACAAATACTCCTCTCGAAAAACTATGTGCTCAGCATATATTTTCGGTATTCCTTTCGTCAGCTTCGGAACTTATTTCGTCGATGCCAGGAAAGATGGCGGTCAGGAGATACAACAAACGAACCGTCGGAACCTTTGGGATTACACATAGCTCGGTAGATAAAATTGCCCAAATTGTTCAGGAAGTCGGCTTAGCAAACTTAGAGGAATCTTATATGACCA